GCCTCCACCCATCCCAGGCTGTCGCAGAGCAGATAGCTGTCCCTGTCTCTGTTCTTCTTGTGGCTCCCAGTGTCCACAGGATGACATTCTAGGCCCTGCCTGCTCCTCCCTTCTGTCTTCTACCTGGGTACCCGGACTTGCTGTTCAGAGCAAGCTTGGATGATGGCTCCTCCAGGAAGCCTGCCAGGGATGCACGCCTAGGATCAACTCACTGAATGTCTTCTCCAGCTCCTCACAGCGCCGGACATCCACCACAAAGCGTCTCTGGAAGGCGCTCACAGATGCATTCAGCTGTGGTTGCCACATGGAGGAATTAGTGTTGCATGGAGGTTCCCAACCTGGGGCCCAGACCTGGGTCTCCTTGGGCCTCAGCTGCCTCCTCCAAAAAGGTGCTGAGTACTCTGCCGACCTTCAGATGCCACACACCCGGAGAGGGCAAGAGCAGAAGCCAAGGAGGCCACCTAAGAGCAGAGCACCTACAACAGGGCTGCCGGGACACATGTGGAGCCACCAGCGATGGGGGGGGGGTCCCCCACCAAGCCCAGATCACTGTCACCCTTCAGTAGCCATGCCAAGGATGAAGCCCGCCAGCTGTCCCAACCAGACTCACATCTCTGAACTCCACGAGGCCCAGCTCACCCAGCTGGCTCACGCAGGTGTAGGCAGCTGCCGTGGGCAGGAAGAGCTGGACCAGGGCCACCTCCTCTCCACGAAACATGGAACCCATGGTCCTGCAGGGTGAGTGGGGCGTCAGGGGCAAGCCACAGAAAGGTCCCAAGCCAGTGAGTAAAACACACGTCTCTGCTAGCACAATCCCAGAAGGTGCTGCTATCAACCCCACTAGACAGGTGGGCGGGGAAACTGAGGCCTAGGAAGAGGGTGACGAGACGCTGAGATCCACAGAAAGTAAGCAGGATGAGTGGGCATGGGATTGGCCTGGCTGACCCCACAGCCCCCCACAGCACCCAGCATCAAGCTCTCAAGCTCTCACCTACTCCGCCGCCCTGTCCCCTGCCCTGAGACACTGGCTCTGCTCATCTCTGCTGCTTCCTCCCTCAGTCCTTCCCCTGGGCTCTGGGCTCACCCTAGATCCTGCTTATTTGTCTCTGGGACTCGGGCAATGCGCCACTTTGTCTTGCCTTGTGTACAGCAGCCAGCAGGCAGTGAGTGCTGCCACCTGGCTAGGCTGGGCTTGCCCTCGGGCAGCTCCTACCTCCCTGTGGGAAGGAAAGTGGTGGGGGAGACCTCCTCGGGGCCCCCAGCACCCACCAGGCTGCGGCTGGTGCGGGTGACCCTGGTGGCAGTTGGAGTGGGGGCTGGGACAGCCTCCCAGGTGTCGAAACCAATGAAAGTGAAACTGTGAAGCAGGCGGGAAAGGACTCGCTGAAATGCAGGCAGGGGGAGGGCCAGGGTGGCCTCTGCCAGCCCCCCGTGGAAGCCAGGATGCCCTGCGGGCCCCTTGCTTGCTCTGTGGCCTCCCGCTTCGGTCCCAGGACCCCTTGTCCTGGGTGAGACTGACTTTTCTGAACTCACAAATCAAGGCAGAGAGGCTGGAACAGGGAGCCTTACCGCCAGTGAGTCCAGCCTGCTGCTGCCTAGGCCAGCCCCGCTGGTCACTTCCTCCCCAAGGCCCGGATTACTTAACTCTGAATAGGAAACCGCAGCCCCATCCCCAGCCTGGGAAAGGACACTTCGGGGCAGCCTGTGACTGCAAAAGAGCAGGTCCTGGGCAGGGATGCAGGGCAAAAGAGGCAGGGTTCCACTGCCCGAGGAAATGGCTCTGGCCACTGGGCAGAGGGTCAGAGATCAGGGCTTGGAGACCTGCTGAGGTTGGGACTGGCTGTGTAACATAGGCAAACCCCTTGCCCTCACTGTGCCTCCACTTCCTCTTTGGGTGAGTGGGTCCCCAGTAATGTCTTTCACCCCCGCTACCTAACACTGGCCTCTGGAAGCAAGGTGGGAATCTGGTCCTATAGGTCGGCCAACTGAGGCTGGAAGATGAGCGGTTTAAAAGTGCCTGACCGGTAGGAGGCTCAAGAAGGGGCTAAGCAAGCAAATGCCAGGTGAGCCAGTCCCAGCCAGGCTGGAACTGAGACCCCAGCACTCCTCATCCAGTGGCCCTTCCTCCAGAGCCACCGCGCCTCTCCTCTGCACTACATGGTCGGCCTTGGAACCACCCAGCTCCTTTCTAGCCCTGACACGTCCTATTTGGGCCTCAGTGTGCTTATCTGTAGAATGGGTCCCAACCTCCAGGCAAGATGCAGCAGGACAAGCTGCATCGGCCCTGGGCCGAAACAGACGACCCAGAAGCTGTCAGAGGTTAAGACCCCACCCTCTTTTCCTTCCTGGTCGCCTCTGCCACCCCCAGCACGACCAGACACCGGCGGGGTGACTGCCTGAGTTGCTTCCACTGTTCCAGCTGGGTAGGGCGCCAGGACCCCCTTGTCGGAGCGGGGGAAGTAGGTGGCAGACAGAGCAGGGGCTTCGCGGACCGCGCCGGGGCACTCACTCTGGTGGACTAAGTCGCTCCGCTCTCAAATCTCAACCGGATCAGACAGACACTGCACCCTTGCCTCGGGCCCGCGCGGCTCACTCCTGGCGGGGTGGGCGGGGCCGGGATGGGGCGTGGCCAGAGCCGGAAACGCCTCTGCCCTAGCCCCGCCCCCGCCCTAGCCGGGGGCCCAGCCCGACTCCTTTAGACTCTCAGACCTTGCGGGCCGTTTTTTTCCCCTCGTCGGTTTACTTAACTTTGAATAGGAAATCGGCGACGAGACCAGCAGACGGACCGGCGGCCAGGAGACTAGGGAGACGCCCAGCACTGCCCGGCTGCAGCCTAGCGGATGGGACCCCTAATTTCCCTGCCTAGAGGCCTCGCTAGCCCTGTGGCTGGGGACCCTGGGGCCCAGACCGTCTCTACGTCGCGGGGCACGGACCTCCCCGCTGGGACTCCTCCCCCTTTCACCCTGGGCTCACAGCTTCCTACCCTAGGTCCCAGGCCCAGTGTTTTGTCCTTGTCGGGTGAGGTAGGGAGTGCTTCTCTCGGGCCCTGTGTCTTTAACGGCATCAGGGCACGGAGGGCCAAGCCATGAACCCAGCAGGCTCTAGGAAATTCTCCCCGGGGCACAGTGGGTTAACTGTCCAGCCACCTGCTCTGGGTGGCTGGACCTGTCCTGGTGACCTGATTCTAATCAGCTTCATAAGGTTCATCCAGTCTCAGTACCTAGAAACTAAGAGTCATGACTTCCTGACTGCACACTTGCCCGTGCTTTGGACTGGCTGAACTGTACCCACAGGGACCAGAGGGAGGCTCTGGTGCTCCTCAGTAGGGAGCAAGGATCTGGGGGGTATAAATAGAGCCCCAGAGTAAAGCCTACAGAGTCACAGCAAGGTCAGCATCCTCACAAAACTGAGGGGCTTGTGTTTGGGGCTCATAGGTCTGTCCCGACCAGTGGTGGGAGGGACCCCAGAACAATTTTTCAGAGTACAGGAGAAACTGGAGCCCAACCATGGCCACTAAAGGAGGTCATTCATAGGTGGTGGTGGACGCCTGTAATCCCAGCTCTCTTGAGCCTGAGGTAGGAGGATCACCAAAAGTTTGCAGCCAGTCTGGGATATATAGTTAGTTCAACACCAGCCTGAGTTACATTATCAAGAGCCTGTCTAAAATTACTAGTTAGGAGCCAGGTGTGGCAGTGCACGCCTGTAATCCCAGCACTCAGGCGGCTGAAGCAGGAAGATCGTTGCAAATTCGAGTCCAGCCTATGCTACAAAGTGAGCTCAAGGCCAGCCTGAACTGCATAGTGAGACCTTGTCTCAGAAAGACAAGAAAAATAAAATAAAAATAAACCACCAGCTGGGTACAGTCTGCCCCATGTTTATTGTCTGGGTACAATAAGGAATCATGCCAAGGACCTAAGTTTTGTCTAGGAAAAGGTAAATTAGAGCTGTTGAGGATTTCTTAAGCCCGCCTCTTTAGAAAGCATTACTGTCTGCAGCAGCCACCAGGACTGGCAGTGGGTAGGACAGACACCTCTGGGCTGTTCTTCCTTCTGTCGATGCAGTTTCATCCCACCTGTACCCAGCTCCACAGGCTGCCAGGTCCCCAGGGACAGGTCTCTTGGCTGCAGGCCTTCACACGCCTGGAGGGATGAGCTGTAATCCTGCCTGAGCGGAGAGGCCACTCACATCTCCCACTGGCCACAGAACCCTCCCCCTGCTTTCACAGACATATCTTAAGAGAACGTTCTATAAACCTCCTTTTTGGAAAGCATGAGAAGAGGACTCCAGGTATCCCAGACCTGAACCACACATTATGTACAATGTGACCTGAGGATGTCGCTTTGCCTCTCAGCCTGTTTTCTCACGCTGAGAATGACAGAAAACCAGCAGGCCCTAAGGGCTGCCAGTGGCCCTTACATCAGTGCACAGAGCTGGAGGGAACCATAACACTGTGCCAGGACTGCAAACTGGGAAGTCCCAACACTGAGCTGTAGCCTGGTAGGGGGATTTTGAGAGGAAGGGGATGTGGCTGGAGGCAAGGCCAGCTCAGGGGCAGTAGGCTTTGTGTCATCCCCTCGTGACTGTCACCCAAGGAGCCTTCTTCCTCAGCCCAAGGACCCCTGGGACTTTCTGAGTCTCTGATCTACTTCAGCCTGAGGCCCTCCAGGCTCCACCTCCTAAAGGTCTCGGTCCTGGGGCCTTAGGAGAAGGCAGGTCCGGGCCCCGCCCCTTAACATTGGAGATTGTGGGAGCAGCTGGCCTCAGGTGACCTCCAGCATCGCTGTGGTATGGGTGTCAAGTGGGCAGCCACCGACAGGGCCTGATGGGTCCATGGAGTCACACAGAAGAGTTGGACCAGCAGGGGATCCCTGGACAGCTGGAACCCACTCGGAGAACAGGCCTGGTGGACCATGCCCTGGTCAAGCTGGGAGAACTCACAGGCCTTAGGGAGGCTGGGCAGGTCTGCCCTAGACCCCTGCATGTAAGACAGGACATGACTGTGAGGCTCAGAGCTTTTATTGGGCAGCTGGGGCTGCGGACACCGAGCAGGAGCTGGGCGCATCACCGGTAGAGGTAGTCGGCCTGGATGTTGGCGGCGATCTCGGCCTCCCACTTGTCCCCGTTGTTCAGTAGCTTCTCCTTGTTGTATAGCAGCTCCTCATGTGTCTCGGTGGAGAACTCAAAGTTGGGGCCCTGCAGGTCAGGGCACAGGTACAAAGCAGGGTGGTCAGGTCCCTCCCAGTAGTCCCTGCACCCTGCTACCCCCTCCACGGCCCACTCACCTCCACGATGGCATCCACAGGGCAGGCCTCCTGGCAGAAGCCACAGTAGATGCATTTGGTCATGTCAATGTCATAGCGGGTGGTCCGGCGGCTGCCATCAGCCCTGGGCTCGGCCTCAATGGTGATGGCCTGCGCGGGGGAGTGGCCACCAGTCACTGCCACACTGCCACACTGCCAGCTACGTCCTGGTCCCAGATCAACCCCTCATGGTCCATCACTACCCCTGGCATCTGAATGGATGCTCCACCTCTTCAGACACCATCCAGAACCTCTAGGGGCCACCTTCACTTCTGCCATCTCACCCTCTGTCACTTGTCCCAGATGACACTCTTTTTGTTCCCATGTCAGCTGTCCAACCTCCTTCTCTAGAATACCATTCCCACAGGGGAGAGCTGTTACCTGCTTTGTTCACTGCATTCCCATTGTCCTGGGGGTAGGGGGTTTCTCATCCATAGTAAGTGACCAGTGACTGACTGACTGAGCCTAGCAAGACTCTAACTCAGGTCTAGTTATACCCATTTGGGGATGAGAAAACTGAGGCTCAGAGAAGAAAAGGGCTTCCTGAAGCCACACACCCAGGGAGGCGCAGTGTCTAGACCTGAAGATAGCCTCAATTCTCAGTTCCCAGGGTCAGCCTTCTAACAACTGGGGGAAAGAAGCACTGGCCGGCCACCTCCCAGAGCTTGGAGGACCTTCCAGGACATTTAACTCTCACCCCCTCTCTCAGGAGTGTCACACTCACTATTCACTGTGGGACCTCTGCCTGGCAGCCTCACCTTTTTCTGCCAACAGAAATGGAAATATGATCTCCATCTGCTGGCACTGTTATCAAAATTAAATGTGATAAGGAACAAGCTTGGCGCAGGGCCTGGCCTGGCCCTCACCACCTGGCAACCGTGACTATCTCCATTGCTGCCGCTGGGGGCGCCCCTACGTGCTCCTGGACACTGGCTGGAACCTGGCTGGAGTAGAAATGTCAAGGCCATAGCCCGTGGCCTGGAGGACCTGGGAGAAGTCCAGGGGATGAGCTAGGACAAGGCCAGGAGCTGCCTTGAGCTGTGGAAAGGGGAACAAGATTGCTGCACAGACTATGAGCAAGGACTGTGTCTCCCAGAGCTCCTGCTGGGCACACCAGGGCCTGGACCAAGGCCATCACGGCATCTGTTCCTGCACCAGCGGCCTGACTCCAGGTGGTTTGTGCAAGATCCACCAAAACAACCAGCCACTGCCACACCAGCAGCTGTCCTGGCAGGGTTCCGAGGAGCAATCATGGCAGATGGGGTGGGGGTGGGGGAATGGGTTTGGCTGTGGGTCCTCAGCTCCAGCCTAGGATGCGCTCCTGACACTGCTGCCATATACAGGGAAGAGGACATTTGGGTGCCACCCAATGGCTCCTAGACCCAAGCTGCACACCCTTGGCTGATCCCCAGGGCAGGCCCCCCATGTGCCACTTGGCCTGCCTGCTGACTCACAATACTTGGACAACAAGGCCTCACTGGTTCCATTCACGGGGTAGGAGGTGGGGCCTCAAGGCAAGAAAGGGAATTTCCTAGGGAAATGCTTCAAACACAGGGGTGAAGTTGTGACCTAGGGCTTCCCAGGCTCCCCTGCATAGGGCTAGGGGCAGTATGGTAGCCAGGTGGGCCAGGCTCACCTGGGCAGGGCAGATAGCCTCGCAAAGCTTGCAGGCGATGCAGCGCTCCTCCCCAGATGGGTAACGGCGCAGAGCATGCTCCCCTCGGAAGCGTGGGCTCAGCGGGCCTTTTTCGAATGGGTAGTTGATGGTAGCTGGCTCCCGAAACAGGTAGCTCAGGGTCATGCCCAGGCCTGTGAGGAGCACAGTCGTAGTGGGTGGGCCACTCTCCTCCCCAGCATAGGTGTACATGAGTCCTGCTCCAAGCCTGCCCACCTCCGCCAAGACCCACCTCGGATGAGTTCAGTCCACAGTAGAGTCCGAGCTGCCCGGTCAGTCACTGACTTCATATCCATTGGAGGCTCCTGCATATTCACGTACTCTGCAGGGAGACCACGGGAAGAAGTTAAGGAATTCAGCTCAGGAGATGAGGCCTGACCCTTACACCTAGGTACAACCACTCGGTTTATTTCCCCAGCACCAGCCAGAGCCCTGGGAGGTGGCCTCTGGCCCTACGCAGGCCTTGTTTGCTTCTCTCTGTCCCAGGTGGCTTCCTGATCTAAAGACCCTCAAACAAGGGTTGAGTCAAAGGGGTAGGGGCCTGTTGCTTACCTTCGCCAGAGGTTCTGGTGAAGATACATAGGTTCCCTCCCCATCACCCTCAGAGGCTCACAGAGACCACACCTCCTCACCTCCTTCAAGGCTTCTGCCTCATGAATCACATTCAGTCTCTACCATCACCCCTTTTTTTTCCCTATGACTCTGTGTCTTCAGAAATCACCCTCATTTTGAGAGTAGAAACTGAGGCTCAGAAAGCAGTCCCTGGAAAATTCAGAACTGGGACCCAAGTCTCCTCTCTGGCCTCCAGCAAGACCACACTCAGGAAAGCCTGGACTGGAGGCCACCCCAGGTACTCACTGTAGGTTGCTATCATGGCACTGCTGTGCAGACTCCGGCCACTAACATATCCTGCAAGGGGGAAGGTGATGCTTCTGCAGGGAGGCCTTCACACCAGAAGACTGGGCTCCCCAACCCAGGACACACACCCTTGGTCCTACCTGTGCGCCCAGCCTGGGCCAGGGCCCGCAGCAGTATGGGCGTGGTCAGGCAGTGCATCTGGGGGACATAAGGAGGAAAGCGAGAGGTCAACGATTGCCCACCCCTGTAACTCCGGCACTGCGGAAGCTCTGAGCTTCACCCAGGACCCTCTGTGTCATGTCCTGTGCGACTCACACCCTGTTCCTGGGGCTCCCAGCTCAGCTGGCCTAAGATTCTGGGAGCTCCTCTGGACCTCAAATTCCTTCTCTCTCACGTCCTAAAGAGTTTATTAAGTTTATTTCTTCCCAGAGCTCCTGCCTCTCATCTCTGCCTTATCCCACTCATCTATCATAGTCTCAGCCAAAAATCACAATGAACAACCAGTGGTGTATACAGAGAAGTAATTAGTGTGTGAAGATGCATCACACACACTGACGTCTTGTCCTGTCAAGTGACTGGTCAAAGTCACACAATAGGACTGGCACAGAACTAGAACCCTGTTCTGCCCCTGCAGAACACTTAAAAGATTTAAATAATGCTTGAGTCAAATTCCTCTCCCTACAGCAAGGCTCTCCTAGAACTGCTTTGCAGCCCGCTGAGTGACCTTGGGCAGGTGGGTTCACCTAGCCTCAGGGTTCTCATTAACAAGATGGGGGTCTGCCAAGAGACTTGGGGGGTTCCTTACACCCCAAGGACAAGAGCCTAGTTTAGGACCTGGCACTTCACAAGAGCCCGAAAGGGCCCCTCCTGTAACTTCTGGTGGGCCCCACTCTTGACCAACCACAGATTAAATCCCTGCACCCACTACCTTCCCCGCCCTCCCCCATGACCTCTGACCCCATGGACGCCAAGAGGCGTCTGACTGGGCTGCGCATGCGTCCGGCGAAGAAGCCGGCTACACGCTGAAGGACACAGAGGCCGCGGGTCTTAAACCGCCACAAGTAAGCCTAAGCACAGACTTTGCGGGATTAACAAGCACACCACACTTGCCCTGGACGCCGCGCTGCACAGGCCTGACCTTCACAACTGAACCTTAAACACCCACCTTGAGGAGCTCTTGCTCCTTCCCTAGCCGAGCGGGCTGGACGGCCGAGAGGCGGAACCTAACTCTGTTACGCCACTATTGGGTGGGCTGGCTTCGCTTTTTCCTTGGCAGTCCTTCATAGAGTGGTCTGATTGGCCGGTGGTCCTGGTTGAAGAAGGTAGACTTTTCGTTGATTGGCTGAGAGAAAGCAAGGGCTTGAAGCTATGGAGGGCGCCGCCATATTGGTTCAGAGAGGCAATTAGCGAGGACTTCTGAGCCACTGGAGACGGGACTTCCGGGGCGTGGTTTAGGAAGTGGCTCAGGCATGCAACAGAGTTGGGTGGTGGGGCGGGCTCTCTGGGGTCAGTATCAGGACCGCGAAGTCTGCCGAGCAATAGCGGCTCTCCGCTGTAACACTGCCCACATGACATCAGCTATCCTCCCTCGTGCGAGAATCATTATTATCCTTTTGCAGATGACATGAAGCATGGACCAGCGGCCTGACTCCAGGTTTGTGCAAGATCCACCAAAACCACCAGCCACTGCCACACCAGCAACTGTCCTAGCAGGGTTCCGAGGTGGGGGTGGGGGAGGGGGACTGGGTTTGGCTGTGAGTCCTCAGCTCCAGCCTGGGATGCGCTCCTGACACTGCTGCCGCATACAGGGAAGAGGACATTTTGGGTGCCACCCAATGGCTGTCGAGCCGGCGAGTCGCGCGGTGCGACCCTCTGATCTGCGCCTGGATCCCTAAGGCTCGGGATCCTCATCTCTCCATCCTTCTGTTTCCTCGTGTTTGTGGTATAGAAGAACCTGCGAGGGCTGTGGGCTCTGAGACTCCCCTGAGTCAGTCTGCGTGTGTCGGGGGTAGCTGTCAGGAAAGACTTCCCCGGAGGAGGCAGTATCTTGGGTGATGGTGAATAGGACTTGAGCCGGCCAGGAAGGATAAAGGGCAAGTGCCGCGTCCTCCGGACAGCAGCAGGGTGAGCGCAGGGCTGAAGCGTAGCCCTAGAGCCTCCTAGGACTGTTGTGGCTGCGGGATCTGCCCCAGGAAGTCACCAAGGGGTCTCAGCAAAGGAGTGAGATGGTTCATTGTGCACCGGGGAGAAGGGAGGGGATAGGTGGTGGCCTGCACCAAGCCTGACTTGATAATCATGATTTGAGTATGAGTTGAAGTATTCCTGGGCGCTACAGAATCAGCACAATTTGTGCCAGGATGGAACTTGAGTGTCAAGCAGGGAGCCTGGGCTCTTGGCTTCAGTAGCTGAAACCATGAGAGCCAGAGATACCAGGAATGGGGTGTAGGGACCTGCAGAGAGTAAGGTGTGTGGAGGTCTGGAGAAGCCTACAGAGGGCCCCACCTGGCAGAAGAGGGAGGCAGCCCCCAGCACACACACTCCAGGGAGCAGAGATTGACAGCGTCTCCCTCATTTAATCCTCAGGCAGTCTCAGGAGGTATCAGTTGATCATCACCTCTCATGTACAGCTGGGGAAACTGAGGCTTAGAGAAAACAGGAATGGTACAGTCATACAAGTTCCAAGGTGTGGCAGACGCCAGGGCTCCTCTGCTGTGCCATGTGTGACTGGTGCAGGAGGAAGGGAACAGGGCACTGTCACTGCACACCTGTCCTGTGTCTCCACTCAGCTTAGCCTAGTTGGAGGGCAGTTGAGAACCTTAAAAGGGAACCCGAAGAGGGCAGAAGATGGGCATTGCTCTGGGTTGAGCAGACTGCTCTGTGACCTGGCAAGTGTCCTTGTGCGCTAGACTTGAGGCCACATCTCCAGCAGCCGTGGGGGGGGACACCTGGTGCCCACAGGCTTAAAGCAGCGTACAGCTGCAGCTGCGTTCCTCCATAGCCATCAGCAGCACCCTCAGGTTTCTCGGGGTGTAGGGTGGGTAGCGGAAGTCGTTGATCTTCTCCATCCCAGGGCTGCGCAGCAGGCAAGCACGGTGGTGGGAGAAGGTATCGAAGGAGAACTTGCCATGGTAACTACCCATCCCACTGGCACCTGTGCAGTAGCAGAGAACACATGTGGTCAGGCCCTCGGCTGGCCAGGGGGGTGTCAGGCAGACTTGGGCTCTGATAGAACCGCTGGATTGCATCACTTCAGTAAGCTTCAGCCCTGCAAGCCTCAACTTGCCCATCTGTACAGTAAGCTAATTATGGAGCATTGTGTGTAAATGCCAAGCCCCAAGGCAGGCTTTAGCACCAGCTCAGAAAGCTCTGGGGATACTAGATGGTGTCAGTGATGTGTCTTCCAGAGCCACACTGGCCAGGGTTGGGTTGGCTCTGCTCTGAATAGCAGCTGCCTCAGTCTCCTCTTGTGTAACCGTGGCACCCACTTCCTAAGGTTGTGACCATGGACACAGTAAGCACTGTGCAATTGTGAATTCTCAGGGTTAAAAGGAAGTAGACAAGGACCCAGCCAGGATCATTCAGGGGACACAGCCTGGGCGGAGTTGGGCAGTCAAGGAGGGCTTCCAGATTTGCCTGCAGATCCCCACTCCTCCCCAGGGCAGAGGAGGCAGATTGAGGGGCTAGGACTGGAGAGGGGCAGGTGGGCAGGGTCTAGGAGGGACTCTGGGGAGAGGCTCACGGAGCAGGAGGGAGGTCCAGAGCCACGGATGCAGCATGTGCCCTGGCCAGGAGAGTCCAGCTGCTACCAAGTGCAGCTGGTCAGGCATGGACAGAGAGGGAGACCTGGAGTCACCCCTTCCAGTTCTGCCCTTTCATTGAGGAAGTGGCCTTAGGGAAGGAAGTGGCTGTCCCAGGTCACAGCCTGTCACGGGCTTTCTGGGACCAGCGGTGGGGTTTCTGACTCAGAGGTATCAGCAGCTGTGCAGTGTGTCATGGGGGCCATCTCCATGCTCCAGGCCCCTGTGCCCTGGGTTAGATGGCAGGTACTTGGTGGGTGAGGGAACAACATAGAGTGAAAAGCACTCAGTAGCTGTGTGTGTGGACAGATGGACAGACACTGAGGTATGCTGTTTGGAGAAAAGTGAGCAGTGACAGAGTGGACAGGGTAGCCACAGTGGTGTTTTTAAGAAAAATAATGGAATTTTGGTCTATCTGCACTGAGAAGGAATCAAGTGGGACAGTGGGGGTCCGGGATGGGACACGGTTGTTGGAGAGGGGCCTCTTTGCTGGTCCCTCTGTTTCACAGCAGGAATGTAGTCAGGGAGCACTTGGTGCCATCATGGAAGAGCACAGGGAACAGGACCTACCTACTCCTCCAAAGGGCAGGCTGGGCAGGGTCATGTGCATGAAGCCGTCATTCCCACAGAATCCGCCGCTGCTGGTCCGGGCCAGCACCTGTTTGACCACCTAGAAGAGAGCAGGGAGTGTCACCTCCACCATCTCGTTTCAGCATGGGTCTGGAGCCACTGCATCAGCTTGAGGCAGATAAGGAGCAGCCCCTTATGGAGCCCCTAACCTGGAGCATGTGTCCTGGGTGTGTGGCCCTAGAGGAGGCAAGAGACCCAGCCTTGCCTGGGGACCTGAAGAATGCAGTGACAGCGGGAGGCACCCCGGTCAGGGAGGCAGGGGTCTCAGGGGAGGGACCTGATGTGCCTGGGGGCCTGGGAGGAGGGCAGTCTGCGCAGGCAGAGGGGCTGTGCGGGGCGAGCTTGAGGACACTGAGACAACGATGTGATTAGATTCCTACTTAGAAACTTGAACTTGGTCCCTGCTTGACTTAATAAAGGATGTTCCTCTTCAGTCTGTGGGTTTGTTTGAAGAATGAATAGAAAAATTAGGTTGATGGACAATAGTCACACTGCATGGCAGCTTCATTCTGTTTAGTTCCTGTAGGTGTGACCCTCAGATGACATCTGAGTCACAGCTTGTCTGATGGGTAATAGGGTGACCTCTTCATGTGTGGGCTCAGAGATCTTGCACCTTGAGGCCAGCATTCATGCAAGGCCAGAGGACGGTGAGGGTAGGGAGCTTCTGTGTCCGGGAACCAGTACTGGGCAGCTAAGACAATTTGAGGACCAGGTGACCCCACTGTGGAAAACCCTGTGTGGGGTTCCTTAAAGGACACAGGATCCTGGTAGACAGGGCTCCCTGGTAGAATGACTGGGTCTAAAGTTGGCGCAGGGAATGAATAGGATGGGCCTGGGGCTTCTTGAAGTAGTCACAGACCAGAGGCTACACATGCCACAGGGACACAGGTTCTCCCTCTGCCCAGGCCTGGGACAAAGCAGCATCCCCTGAATTGCATATATGCATGAGTCCATTATGAATTCAATGTAAGTGACTCAAGACACAAATCTCTCTTTGAGGTTCTGGATAATATATGTAGATGATGTAATGTAGCAGGTATTTTCCCCTCACAGATAGTGCCTAACCAGGCCACCTCTGGAGAGGGTGGGCTAGACTGGGAGACTTGTCCCAAAGACAAGAAAGGGTGCAGTGGAGCTGGGTATGGTGGCATGCACCTGTCATCCCAGCACTCTGGGAGACTGAGGCAACAGAATGGCAAATTTGAGCCCAGTCTGGATAAGTTAATGAGACCCTGTCTGAAATGAAAAGGCCTGGGGTTGTAGCCCTGTGTGAAGCCCTTAGGTTTAAACCCAAGTTAAAGGGGCGGGTGGGTTCCCATGGTATCTCATGGTGGATGCCCCAGCCTTGCCAAACGAGTGATGGTTACACTTGCCAGCCCTGGCCCAGGTGCCCTGTAGTCAGCTCTAGCTCTCGAGGCATTCCTAACTAAACCCATTCCCGTTATTCAGTCGTGATAAAAACCAGACAGCCTGAGGTTAGGGAGGTCTCAGAGGCCCAGCCAGCTTTCCAGGCTGAGCTTAGTGCAATGTTAAACCCCACAGCAGAGAAGACATTAACAGAGAAGCTGGCAGGATCCCAAGACAGTCACTAGTAGTCACTAGTGATGTCCCCAAGTCAGCACCTTCTGCGGGGAAGGGGGTGTGGGACACATGGGGACTGTACAGTCTGTGTATCTCAAGTTAGTCCCTAGTGAAAAGTATTTTTTCCCCTTTTCTTAAATTTAACCCATCATATATAAGGTTTTTATATACCTTCTCTAAAATCAGTGTGCATTATAATAGTTTATATTAAAAGCTAATCAAGTTTGTCTAAAATAACCTGGGTGCACAGCACATTTGAAGTTACTACCCACACAAAAAGGGAAAACAAATGGATATTCAGTAACCTTTGGCCATTGGATTCTGAAAATGTCATACATCTATCCTTTTATACCAAATGCAAGTCTGGGGATACAGCTCAGCCGCACAGCCCCTGCCTAGTAAGTCCAAGGTCCTGAGTTCAATTTCAGGTACAAAAAGTCAAATGCATCAGAAAAAAATGTTTCCAAACAAAACAAAAATGTTCCCAGAGCATGTCATTTAGATTTTATATATTATCTCTTTTTTTTCTTGAAAAGTATATTTAACAACCACTGTCTAGGTCCTGGGATACAGCTCAGTGACACAGCACCTGCCTAGCAAGTTTAAGGTTTGATTCCAGGTACAAAAAAACAAAGCACTGTTTGATTAAAAAAAAACTAAAGTGTGTATCTCATGTACCAACTCCCTGTGACAAATGCAATCATTACTACAAACATACTAATAAAAATTTTAGAACAATATACACCATTGTTTGGACAGGGAAAGAATCTCATGAGGGATGGGTGAGGGGGCTGGGGAATGTGCTTCTTGGAGTGTCATAGGCTGGGGACCCCTCCACCCAGTGCCACTGGGGCTCCTCAGGATGGGGAACCAAGGCTCATTCTGGGGCCTCACCCTTTACTCCACACCCCAGCACATTTTGTGCCTCCAGAACCAGGCACTGAGGGCAACACTGGCCACCAGGCTGAGCTGTATGGGAGAGTACACAGGTGAGGGGTACTGGGCCCGGAGACCTTGGGGAGCTGAAGGCTCAGCAGAGTGTGGTGCAGACAGGCTGCTCCTGGGAGGGAGCAGAGGGCCCGAGGCCTTCATCCCTGAAGTCCTACGACTGTTTCAGAGGGGCCACATCCCCTCTGCTGCCACCACTCCCATGGCCCACTGGGCCCCACCTGGCTGTTGTTAGAGAAGGCATAGAGGGCCAGTGGCTTTTCCCGACGGTTGATGAAGTCGATGGCCTCGTCCAGGCTCCTCACAGTCATCAGGGGCAGGATGGGCCCAAAGATCTCCTCTTGCATCACTGGCTCTGTCTCCTGCACATCCACCAGCACTGTGGGTGCTGCGGGCACAGAGGTGGCTCAGCCTTGTGTGGGAGCTCGGACACCCGCTGCAGGCCTGAGAGTCCCAGGGCCTGACCTCCCAGGACACCATGCTCAAAGAATCTGAGGATCTAGGGCCCTAGTTCTGCCCTCAAGGATCTGGGGTGAAGGCCCTTTAAATCACACTCTGGGCCCCCAGAGCTGGAGTCCAAGCTCAGCATATCCAGAGTTTTGGGACCAGAATTCAGAATCTCAGAATTGGGGAGTCACAGGCACAGAACCACAGTGATCTGGAGCATTCGTGCTCTGGGTCATGGGACTGGGCCAGGCTCTAGCAGCACGGACAGGCCTGAGCCAGGTGGGCTGTGATGGTAGAGAGGGGGACTCACCGATGTAGAGATTGTTCTCGTCACTCTGACCACCGATGGCCACGCGGCCACAGCTCAGCAGTCCCTTAAGCCGCTTGAAGTGTTTCTCACTGATGATGCGGCCCAGGTTGGGGGAATTCTGGGGGTCGTCACCATAGAAACGAGTGATGGCATTCTGCAAGGCAGGCACCAGCCGCTCCCTCGTCTCTGGGCTGCACAGGACATAATCAGGGGCCACACAGGTCTGGCCGGTGTTGAAGTAGCGGAACCAAGCCAGACGGTTGGCCACGGTCTGGGGGTCACAGTTGTCATCCACATAGCAGGGGTTCTTGCCCCCCAGTTCCAGGGTGACAGGCGTCAGGTGCTTGGCAGCAGCAGTCATGACAATCTTGCCTACATGGGGGCTCCCTGGGGACATGGAAAGAATCCTGAGCACGTGGATGGCCTTGCCCTGGAGACCCAGCAGTGACCAGCCTTCACCTGGCTGTCCTTGCCATCCTGCCCCTTTGCAGGAAGGGAATCTGCTCATCTTACTCCCCACAGAATCCAGAACACAGGGACTTCAGCAACACAGGCTTTGCTCTGGGCGCCCATTAGTGAGCTCCCCAGGCCTTTGCATCCTTTGATTCATCCATCCTTGGGCAGACCTGTGACTTTGGGATTGCCCTGGTTTTACAGATAGGACACTTGAGGCCTGGGGAAATCGAGGGGTGGATTCATGGGTCTGGCCTGGAAGTCAGCTTGCAGTAGTCACCTGGCCTGTGCATCCTGGTGCTGGGGGCCTGGCCCAGCACCCATCAGCCCGGTGAGGTGTCATGGTTGGGGGTAGACTGGGGCCCTCCCCGCTGCTTATCCACCCCTCATCTGTAGGGACTGCAGGAGCTGTGGCTTCCCCAGTGAGGGCCAGCCCCTCTGCTCCACAGTGGCTTCCCAGTCAAATGGGGCTTTTCCTGTGCCAGGTGCAGGCCCTAGAGAGCAGGACAAGGCTACATCCTCCTCCCTCTGCCAAAGTGCACAGATCTGGAGGCGAGCAATGGGCACCACCTCCTGCCTTCTCATCTCCAGAAGCTGCACTCTGGTTCTGAAGCCAGGCGTGCCTGGGCTGAGTGCGCACATGCTAGGGCCATGGCAGGTGACTACTGGCTGAGTACAGTGGTGATGTGCCCAGCAAGGTGCCCCTGAGCAGGGTGCTTTGGCCTTTCCTCACTCTGGCCCAGTTCCTCAGCCAACAGGGGACCATGGGGACAATCAAGGTCGCCAATACAGTCCTGGCGGCAGTGAGTTAGCAGGAGCTCAAAAGGGCAGGTGCTTGATTCCTGAGACTGTGATTGGCGGAGGTGGGCTGTGGCCCCAACACCCTTCCTGAGGGTCCAGGTCTGCTTCCAACCAGGGCTCCCACTACCTAGCTGTCCGGCAATAGCAGGGACGACTGATCCCCAGTGGCCTCACCTGTGAAGAAGATGTAGTCGAACCTGTGTTCCAGCAGCTTCTTGGTCTCCTCGGGTCCACCCAGGGCCACGACAAAGCAGCTCTGTAAGGCAGGCAGTCCAGGCCTCCCTCAGGGACGCCTGCTTTAGAGCCTGGAGGGCAGCCTAACCTGCCTAGCCTCTGCTGCTCTCCTGGATAGCGTGACCAGGGTTGCCCAGGTTCTAGGGGGCTGGGTGGGGTGAGGTGGGGGTGGGGTCTGGAGAACAGGGCCATCCCCAGTCAGTCATGGAACCCCCCTCAGGGACAGGCTGTCCTGGCTCCCCCTCAGAGAAGAGCTGAGGTTGAGGGACAGTGATTTGGCCACCCCCACGCACCTCAGAAAAGGCAGCCCTGGGCCCTCCCACACCACCCGGAGGCTGCCCAGCCTCTAGACCTGGCCTGGGCCTGCTCCTTGGGCCCACAGCCCTGCTCACCTGGTCCAGGTAGCGGGGCAGCACCTCAGCTAGGATCTTCTCCACACTCTTGCTGATCTCTGACGGCTTCAGCACCACACAGTTCCCTGCGGGCAGCACAATGAGATCCTGGGCAGAGTGGCCAGCCCCATCTCCATACCTGAGGGCGGGCTGCAACCTCACCGGCTTTCAGACAAGGAATTCATCCTGGAGGTGAGGCGGGACCAGAAGCTACACAGCCCCAAATGGGGGCCGTGAGCCACCAGAACACCTGGAGCCAGCTTCCTCCCTGGCTCTGTGTGGCTCAGGTCAGGGACAGGGAAAGTGGAGGATCCCCTCTCACCTGCAGCGATGGCCCCCACCAGGGGCACCAGGGTCAGGTTCAGTGGGTAGTTCCAGGGGGTGACAATGAGCACCAGGCCGAAGGGCTCCTTCCGGATGAAGGCTGAGTCTAGCTGTGTGGCCTGGGCCAGGAGCCATGCAAACAGTGAGAGGCATCCACTCCCCAAAGCCACCTGCCAGCCCTGTCCCATGAGCCACTCACCAGGTTCTTGGGCACCTTCTGATCCTTCATCCAGGCCTTAAGGTTCCTGAGGGCCAAGTCTACCTCGCTTTGGCTAATGGCGATCTCAGATATCTCAGACTCAAAAGCTGACTGTGGGGAGAGGACCAGGTCAGCAAGTGGCTGGAGCACCAAGGGGCATAGCCTTCCCCAGCAGGGTCCATCACAAATGCTCAGTAAGGGTTGCAGTACAGATGCTGTCTCTACCAGGAATGTACTAGTGACCCAAACTGACAGAGGAACTTTCCCTGTGGGACTGGCACAGGGGACAGTCACCATGTATGGGAAGTCACCATGTATGGGAACAGTGATAGCTGCGTTGTCATGACAAGAGCTATGGGAAAGAGCAGGGCCTGAGCATGTACAGGGGGTGTGGGTGTGCACAGTGCACATGTACGTGTGCATCTGCTCCATTTCACACAAGGTAGTCAGGCCTTGGAGAAAGGCAGGGAAGGAGCCTTGGGCAGTGGAGACAGAGATTGCTGCCCAGAGATCCCAGCAGGTCCAAAGGCCCCGACGCCGGAGGGCCGGCTGTTTCGGCTCAGCACGGAGCGAGGTGGGTAAGGTGATGGGCTGATCCTGCCTCCCAGAGCAGGGGCAGATCTGACTTGGCTTCCACAGGACTGACGTGTGGCTGTTGAGGCCTGCTGTGTGCTGACCTGTCTGCAGGGACATGGCACATGACCATCCTGGGGCAAATGTTGTCAGTTCCCACAGCCCAGGGGCTGGGTGCAGCTGTCAGATTTCCAGTGCAGGAGCGGGGAGACAGAATCTATAGGGGTGCTGTCTTGCTCTCCACCAGCTGGTGTGCCCTGTTGCCAACCAAGGAGACAGCTATCCTTAGGGCGCTGTCCCTGCCTGGGTTGCAGCCATTATGGTGCAGCTGTTCTCTCTTAGAGTAGAGTGGGATGGGCCGAGGGCTGCTGGGAAGTTCCAGCGGGCCGATGAAGGCCAGGGACGAGGGTGCCCTGTGCAGGGTACTGCAGCAAACTGGTGGCAAGACCAAGGCCAGAGGACGATGCCACATCCACTTGCACTTCCTGGTGGCTGGGCCTGGCTCAAGCGTGCCTTCGCCCACATCTGTGTCCACAGCGGCGCCTTCCCCACTAGCCTGGCAGCCTGCCCCTCGTGCCCGATACATTGCCGGGGCCTGGATGGGATGTGAGCTGGTTTCCAGGACAGTGTGGTGCCAGCTGAACGTCAACTCTGGGAGAATAGGCTACTTTGAGCCAAATTCAGAGCCTGACTCTGCCCCTCGTGACTGTGCGTCTTTGTGAAGAACGTGCCCTCTCTGAGCCTCCCCAACACCCCAGGAAGGGCTGGCGTGGCTTAACCAAGAATACAGCGGCAGAGGCTGCCCACTGGGGGTGGGGACTGAGGGCTGGCTGACTGCAGGGAGGGACTGATGGAATTTTCTGGGCTGCTCCTTCCTTGTGTTCCTCCCCCTGCTGGATATGGAATAAGAAAGCAGAAGCCAAATCTGAGCTGCAAGAACCAGATAGCCCAGTCAGGGCGGGAGGCAGCTGGGCTGCCCCCTGAGAAGCAGGCAGAGGCTCTGTGGTAGTGAGGCAGTCCGTCCCCAGGGGGTCCACTGGGTGGGGACGGGCTCCACACGCTGAGGCCTTTGAGGCAATGGCAGGGGACCCTTTGTTGAGAAGAAAAGGCCCAAGGGCCTGTCCTGGGCTGCAGGAGTCAAGCAGTGGCCTTGCTAGGGGGCTGGCTGCGCTGGCCTGGAGGGGCTGAGCCCCCAAGCCTCATCTCTCACTTCCATCCCTGCTACGTATCCATAAGTGCTCCGGCCTCAGAGCTCTTGCACGGCTGCTATGAGTCCCCCCATGCTCCACCTCTGCTCTAATGTCCCCTTCCTTCGCAGGAACTTTTCCTCCCCCACATATAGCCAGCACGCACACACACCCTGGGAGCACCTCTGTGGCACTGCCACCTCTCCAACACCTTGTGACTGTTAGCTGCTGCGGTGTCCTCCTTAGATGGGGACTTTGGTTACTTCTCTGTGTGGCCCTAAGCCCAGGCCAGAGCCTGGTGCAGAGTGGGTGCTCCACGCTCCTGACCAGAGGAAGCAGATGAGGGCTCTAGCCGGGGAAGGAGCTGGGATCTGCCAAGCTGCTAGCTCCCCTTCCTGGAGGACAGGCCACTCCCTGTCTCCTTGGTCCCAGCTGCCTCTACCCCTAAGCGGTGTGCCCTCCCTCCAGCCCCAGCCCCAGCCCCCACCACCTTCCGCAGGTCCTGGGCCAGCGCGTCCAGCAGCTGCTGCTTGTTTTCCCGCAGGAAGCGGCTCAGGCCTTCTAGCTGCGCTGCCCGGAATGCGGCTGGCCGTGTCCGCCCCGAGCTGAAGGCTTCCCGCAGCCGCCGCACCGCGTCCTGGAAGGGGTCCATCCTGCAGACAGGTAGGGGAGTTGTGAAGCTGCCCCCGTCTTTGGGGACACCCGGCAGCGGCCCTGCTCCTGCCAACTTCACGTGGCTCACAGTGCCTCCCCCACACAGGGGCCCCCAGAAAGTCCATAGACCACGCACAGCCCTCAAGCTCTGACCCACGGGACACACAACAGCCCTCAGACGGCTCCCTCTGCCAAGGGAGCTCCAGGCTGCAGGACAGTTTGTGGCTTGGCACAGCCACTCCTGGCCCCCAGGGCTGGACAGGCAGGATAGGGACATGGCGTCCTCCTGGGCCCCACCTTTTTACTTGAGGGTCATCAGAGGAGCACTGTGACACAATCTGTGCTCAGCCTGGTGCCAAAGACCTGTGAGAACCCTGTTCTCAATCCCTCTCTGCCTCTCTTCTCTTCAGGTCTGAGTTTGGCTGTTGCCTCCCCCAGGCAGCGCTCCCTGATTGCACTGTCATTCGCCCTCACAGTAGCCTTTTGTTTGTGCTCCCACTGTCCTAGCCATGTTGTTTAAAAATGTCCAGTTACTCTTCATCTACTTCCACTCCATTCCAGGCTACAAGCTGGCATCATGTCCTTAAAGCAGAAATCCTGACCTAACCATGGCCATTTTGATAAATAAAGCTGCAGGCATTCTATTCTCTGCCACTGAACTCAGCTAAATCTTATGATTTGTCCTCAAATTGAAACCTCTGCGAATCTGCTAAGAACAACTTCGCTACATACAACTCTGCTTGCCAAAAGATACCCAATGTACACAGCCTTCAGCTAAAGTTTATCTTGTGAATTCTGTTTGCCACCTATATAAAAAAAAAAGACAAGCTCTCTGTAATCAGGACCTCAGATTTTATAGATTACACCTCTTGGGTCTGGCTAGCATCGATAAAATTTCCTTTCTTAGGGGCTGGGGATTTAGCTCAGCAGCATAAGCACCTGCCTGGTAAGTACAAGGTTGTGAGTTCAATTCCCAGTACCAAAACAAACAAACAAAAAAAAAAACATTTCTTTCTTCTTCTGAGCTCCCGGCTACTGTTAATTCAATTTTACCAGTGACACCTGAGTGGCGAACCTGCCCTTACCCTCAAGATGTCTGTCCTGAAGCGTCCAAGAGCAGGTTTGGAGCCCTCAGCTGCTCCAGCTCCAAGTCTGAGGGCCAGGCTGACTCCACACACCTCTTGTTCTGGCCTGGAGGGGCTGGGCAGTTGGCTCAGCACAGCACAGGCCCTGGCCCCAAGAAGTGGGTGGGAGCAGAATTGGGCACAGCCCTGCCAGCCTCAGGGCACCACCAGGCTGGGATGCCGGCTCTGCCTCTTACGGGCCTTGGGATCCTGATAAAGCCCTTTTTCTCCCTGCCTCCGTTTCCTGGTTCCTGGCTCTGCTGGGGATCCCATGGCAGAAAGGCTACACAAAGCACTTGGCCCTGTGCTCACAGAAAGCACAGGAAAGGTCAGCAACAATTATTTTGCTAAGAAGTCCACAAATATTTGCTCCCGCACCTGCTCTCTGGTTCTCAACTCTCACTGCCACTGATGGGGCCAAGGTAGACCCAGCTTGCCCCTCCCACCTTTCATCAGGGGCTCAGCAGAGCCCACAAAAATGTAAAACTCGAGGCTGGACCAACGCCTGGGGGACAGGGGAGCTCTTAGGGGCAAAAGGTTCCAATACCTGCTCCTAGCAACAGTGAGGACAACACTCTCAGCAGCAGAGGCCACAGACCTGACCCACCTGGGGCCCCAAGGAGTGCCTGTTGGGCCGTAGGGACGGGCAGGACCCCGGCAAGTGGAGGAGCCAAGGCTGGATAAGGGGACCCTGGGCTCTGATCATGCAGAGGAGCTAAGCAGCTATCACAGGTGCAAAGAATCAGGGATCCTGATGCCTGCGCACGACTGGGCATTGGCCCTGCTCTATTGGCGTGTCTTGCACTTAAACACTACAACTATTCACCCAACTGAAAGAGACAGAGACCAAGACAAGAAGGCAAGGAGCTTGCCTGAGGCTGCCCAGCTCCTTCAAAGTAGATAATATGGATCCAGAGGAGCAGAGTCTCTGCAGTCTGTCTCCCAGTCCCCCTGGGAAAGGGACACTTGTGGGCTGGGCCCCCGGGCCTGTCATCTGAGGGCAGAGAGGTAGCCAGCAGGAGGCAGACGGTGCACTGCCATCCCCTAGCCAAGGCTCAGCCTTGTTCCTGCAATCCCCACCATACAGGGTCTTCTGCAACCCCTGAGGTCCAGGGGCTGTGAGGCCCAGGGGTCTCCATGAGGGTGGGGCGGGCATTGCCACATCCTTTGATGGTGAGAAGATGGTCTTGTTTCCCCTGAGGGCCAGAGCAGGACTGTGGGCTTGGGGAGTCCTCTGAAAATAATAATCAGGCAAGTTGGGTGGGGTGGTGCAAGCCTGTGATCCCAGCAACCTGGGGTGCTGAAGCAGGAGGATCAAAAGATCAGGCTGGGCAAGTTAGTGAGACTGTCTCAAAAATAAAAATGGCTGGGAATGTAGCTCAGTTGTACCCTCGCCTTCATTATAATAACCAGGCCTTGAGTCTGCCAGGCCCGGGGTCAGCGTGGGTACTGGCCCTGGGATGCAGACTAGAGGTGGGAGAGGGATGAGGTGGGCGCCAGGTCTGCTGGCCCTGATGACTCATGGCGGTGACTGCTGCCAAGGCCCTGCCTGCCCTGTGCTCCACCAGGCTCCAGCCAATGCGCCTGCCCAGCCATTGGGAGGAAAGGGAACAGGCAGCCCATCTGCTTGTTCTTTCTCACCCCAAGTCCTTGTCTAACTGTTGCCTTCTAAGAGTGCCCCAGTCAGCGCGGTGAGGTCCACAAACACAATGATCTGGCTTCAAATCCAGCAGCTACACTTACTAGCTGCAGCGTCTTGGGCAGGTCTTATGGCCTCTCCATGGCTCAGGGTTCCTATCTGTGAATGGGGACAGTGCCTGTCACCACCCACTGCATTGCTAGAAGAGTGTGAGTCAAGCGTCAGAGTATTTAGCTTGGGGTAGAGCTTAGTTACGCTGGCTCTAAGTGGTTGAGACTCAGACAGATGGTGAAGGACAGATGTCCCAGAGGGAATCTGGGAGAAGAGTTGGGGCCCAAAGGGACCTTGATGCCCGGAAGTGGGCATCAACTTGAAACCCAGGTGGGGGGCAGGGATGTGGTAGCAGAGGTAGGTGAACACATTGTTGGAGGACCTAGGGAACCCCATCAAGGAGGTCAAAGGGCACAGACTGGATCAGCCTGAAAGCCCCACTCCCAGGGTCTCTGATTCTAACCTCTGACCTTTTTGCCGGAACCTGGAATTCACAGGGTCTCCCAGGCTCTGGCCAGCAGCTTGTCCCTCAGGGGGTTCCTGGGGAGCTGGACCCAGGCACCCCATAGCCTACAGACTGAGCCAACCCTGCCCTACACACCTCCTGGATCCCGGAGTGCCTCTGCACCCTGCGCGGCAGGACAGGGTGGTTCCCTAGTCCCTCCCTCTCCGGGCTCTGGCAAAGTTCGTTCACTGCCAAGAAGTCTTTCTTGAGGTTATTTGCGCCTCTCTGTGCCTCCCTGCTGGCAGCCAGTGCCCTCCTCCGCCCTCCCTCTCCTTGCCCTCCACCTCCGGTTCTTTCTTCCCTTTTCTCCCCAGAGCAGGCGGTGAACTCAGCAGGACAGTGCAGCCTGTGTGCGAGCACTCAGAGCAGGGCTGTGACTGCAGCTGTGTAGCTAAGTTTGCTCAGACTCCAGCTACCCAGAGCAGCCACCCGGAGCAGCGGAGCTGGGTCCTGGCCTCTACTGATGGAGGCAGCCCCTCCCTCCCCAGCATACAGTACCTGAGCCCCGCCAAACTGCTGTCCTTCCTGCCGTCCCTGCCTCTGCCTGGGTCCTGAGGTTACGAAATGTCCAACCAGCCGGCCCATGGGCGGGGCAGCCCTGGCCTGGTGCCTGACCTCGGCTCAGGGCCAGCTGGAGGCTGCAGGCTGAGCTATCACCACCACCTCCCGTGGGGGCCAGGCCCACAGAGAAGGAACCAGGGCCCAGAGAGGTCTGGCGCCAGCCAGGCCACACAGTAGGCCTGAACTCTGAGCCCAGGGCAGGGGCAGAATACCAAAAAAAGCCTGGGTTTTCTCTGAGGCATTGCCAATTCTGAGGCTTAGTTCCTCTCTGCAGTACGAAGAGATCAGAGCCAGGACCACACCCGCTGCCTGCTGTACTCCAGGCCCTTGAAGACCACCCCACAGAACAGCCCATTCCCAGAGCACCCCCAAAGCCCACATTATAAATGCAGAAAGGGGCGAGGGAGGGCCAAGACTTGCCCACATGGGGTATGACAGGGCTTCTTTCTCCAGATCAGGATCTGTCCTCACAGCTGTCCCTCATCTTCTGGGGATAAGTGCCACCCTCCACCCTCTCAGACAGCAGTCATGGCGCCATGTGTGTTACTGTGATGGCTCCTATAGTCCTGTCTCTTCTTGGGTGCAGGGCTGTGCCTGCGGCCTGTCCCCTGCTTTGCCCCCGCCCTGCCCTGGGCACACCTGTTGGAGCCAGCACAAAAGGGGTGACTCTGAGCAGCTGCTGGCGACAGACAGGCAGGTGATTGGGTTACAGGTGTCAGGAGGAACATCCTTTGTGCCACTCCACCTCCACAGTCTCCCGCCCCGCTGTGCCCTGGGTCTGCCTGGAGGCTCCTGGCCTGGGGCCTCTGGGCCGACCTTGCACCTGGGGATGCTCATCATAATCGCCCCACCCCGCGCTCACAGCCTACCTGGGAGGGCAGGAGAGGTCTTCGGCCTGCACCCACTCTGGTACCCCCGGAGGCTTCAGCTAGCTGGGGTAGGGCCAGGGGTAAGGGGATGCAGCAGCCCCTGTTCTCTGCATGGGATGGAGCCCCCAGCCGCCACCTGTCACGTGGCTCAGCATGTGACAGCTTGCTCTGCTGCTCTCTGGAGCTGAGCCAGGCAGAAGCCAAGGCAGAGCGGGTGCCAGGCGGGGCTGGGCTGAGGCTGAGGCTGCAGCTCCCAGCTAGGAACAAGGCTCAGAGAGGGACAGCCACTGGTGTAAGGCCACACAGCCAATCAGGGGCCTATCTTGGGAAGCCCTGGAGGGTAAAGGGGGTACTATAGAATCCTGAGGGCTCTCTCTTTGGCCAGAGGGCTGTTGGAAGATCCCTTTGCAGGGGCTAGATTTGTCCTGAATTCAGGAGCAGCCTGAGAGGAGGCCTCTAAGCCCTGGGCATGACATTTCTCCAGGGTGGGGTGCCTCCATACCTTGGGTCATCAGGGGCTGGCTCTCCCCTCTCTCCTTGCTCCTAGAGACTCCAGGGAGCTGGATAGCTATGACTTTGCAAAGGAGAGTGCAGGATAACTGGGGACTCCTGGATAGGACCTCTAGGGGGTGCTTTTAGAATTAACTTGGTGGATTCATTTACTCACTCATTCAGAACTACTGAGGACCCAGCGTCTTACAGACACACCTGCAGACAGGCTCCTCAGCCCACCGGCTAAGTGACCTAAGCAAGTCCTGCCACCTCCCTGGCTTCAGTGTTCTCCTCTGTAAAATGGGTTGATTTTACCTACCTCACAGGCTGCCTGCCATGAGGGCAGAACAGAAGCACACCTGAAAAACACCTGAGAGGACACTGGGTACTCAGCAGGCACTCAAATTTGTAGAAGCCTTCCTGAGGAAGTGGATGTCCCAGGCTTCATTCTTGAGGTCCCAACCCTTCTAGCCTTGAAGGTCAGAACCTCCCTGGTTATACCAAGTGTTCTCCTCTGACCTTCCTAGGGTGAAAAGCACAGTGCCCAGGACATAGCAGGCCCTCCATGGGCAACAGTAATTGCTGGCACCCTGACCCCTGTCCTACTGGACACCTGCTGTGTGCTGGCACAAGACAGTCTCATACAGCTCTCAGATGTTACCATGCTTCGCCTGCTCAGAGCGGCCACACAGGGAGGACACACGGAGACTCCCACCTGACCAGGCCTGACTGCTCACCTGCAGTTTCCAGGTGTGCCTGGGAATCAAGCTGGGGCCTTGGCCTTAAAGGGTGCACCCCTCATTCTGGTGCCTCATGCCTCAGCTGAAAGCAGCAGCCACCATTTTCTGGACATTTGCTCTGCCAAGAGCTGGGCAAGGTCCTTGGCTCACGTGGGCATGGGAATCTCCCAGCAGCCCATGCGCCAGATCTGAGATCAACACTCAGTGGTGTGGATGCAGGGACTCGATAGCCTGTGAGAGAAGCATTTGGCCCGGGGTGCCATTGTGTGGGCGTTAACAGTGGGGTGGCGGCACTGCTGCTGCCCTGATCTTTTCTTTCCTGGTGTCAATCTAAATAGCAGAAATCTCACCACTGTGTTCCGAAGGGAGGTTTTGCTTCGTCCTGTTTTGTTTTGTGGCACTGAGGATGGAACCCGGGATCTTCGTGCTGAGCTACATGGCCAGCCTGAAGGTGAGGGTTTTTTAAAGGTAAACTGAGGAAGGCTGCACAAATTGATTTATAATAATAGTCCTTGGCTACAAGGACCCATGGCAAGGGGGCATCTACCCAGAGTTAGCCAGGTTTGCTGAGCTGCATTCTCAGAGAATTTCTCAAAGAGGTCCCCTCTGTGTAAGGCTGTGACATACTTGGTTTTGTCACAATGTGTGCGAGAGCCACCGCTTGATAGTCTCTGAGTGTTTTGTTGGGGTCTGGCAGCTTTCATACTGGCTTGTTCTGCGTTCTCTGCTTGGAGGACATACTGCATGGTTAGGCTATGAGGAAATTAACACAATGTTTTACAGGGAAACATCTTATACAAATGTATAAGAAACTACAAGATCAGCTTATGATGGTCACCGACAGAGTTGGATAAGGAAGTGTGCAGAGGATTTGTCTGCACACTGGACACCAAAGGTTTGAGCCCAAAGTCTGGAGCTACTGCTGTGTCCCGTGCAAGTCCGTTTCAGGAGGCCGATGGGTCTGCGATGGAAGGCTAAAGAGTCCACAGTGCACAGCAAAGAGCCTGCGCCGGGAACCTGGAAATGATGTCCATGCTGAAGGCGAACACTGACGCTCTTCCAACGAACAGAAGTGGGAATGTCGAGCCTCATTTCTGCTTTATATGAGTCTCCCTAGGGTGGGTCTTTTACCCTCCAGGGTGTCTTCTGGGGTGTAGAATTACTGAGACAATTTAGTTGAATTTGTAGACTTTTCATCACACAGAGGGATGTGATTAGTCCCGCTCCAGTGCCCACCCCAGGTGCTATGCCCAGACCTACTAGGAGAGAAACACGTTCATGGCTCACTTGGTTTTTGTCTTGGTAACTAAGGAACCAAAAAGCATTGGTTATTAGGGGCTACATCAGTCTCTGGGGCCAGAGAAATGGGGTACATGTTCCAGGCCAGTTGGCTGGAAGATTCAAGTAAGTGCTACCACAGAGGAAGCGAAGTTCCTGGGTCTTAGGACAGAAATTATTTTTAATAATAAACTTACGGGTGAGTGGGTTGTTGTTCCTTTCTGATACAGATAAGTCCCTGCCTTATGAGACCGTATACCTGCCAGGCATATCTGCCGAAAGGGCCCATAAGAAGCACTGGCATCCACTAATACTTGTTGAGTTTTTCTAACTACACTGCAGCAAACAATTGCTCACCATAGGCTGAGAGCAGTCTTTCCATGAGAATATAGATCTTCCTTGGCAATGTTCTGACAAGCTGCTTTCCAACTCTTGTGTGTCTGGAGATGGCTTTTATGAGAATCACATTAGGTTTTGTTTTGTCTTTTTGAGACAGAGTCTCGCTATGCAGTTCAGGCTGGCCTTGGGCTCATTTTGTAGGCCAGGCTGGTCTCAAACTTGCAACAATCCTCCTGCTTCAGCCTCCCGAGGGCTGGGATTACAGGAGTGCACCACCATGTCTCGAACCACACTAGGTTTTTAAAAAACAAAGCTTGGTTTGCCTGGACACTGGCATGGTCCAGTGAAGGCTTTACCTTTAGGATTTGTTTGCAAAGGGAGTCTTGTAATGTGCCTAAATCTTGACTCTGGCCCTGTCTTAAGTCCTCTTTATACAGAGGGGCATTCAGAACTTAGGCAACATGTGAATGAATATTGGGCCACAGATGGGTGTCTGTGGAAGAAAGGTGAGTAGGTTCGCTTTGATAGGATCTGGGGAGAATAGCAGCCCTTTCCATTGAGGTTACCTTGGTGATTTCATTGACCCCAAAATCATATAGGCTGTCTAAATACATTAACTAAAAGGGGGGAAAAATAAAACAAGATAAAAACAAAAACAAAAGGGATGCTCGGAACAGTAGATCATCTTTCCAGTAACTCAAGGTTGAGTCAGGATGGGCACAGCAGAATACTGGCTGGAAGGTAGGGGGAGACACAGGTAGCGGTCCTTTGTCTCGCTGTGATTAGTAGAGCTCAATAAAAGATGGGTCAGATTCAAGGTTTTGTGTGGTATTCACTGCTCCTTGAGCCACCAAAGAGAGTCCAAGGCCAAACAAGGAAAGCACAAACTGAGAGAGGTAATTTTATAGCTTGGGGTGAGGATCTCAAGGGTAAGTCATAGCAAGAAAGAGGGTGGCAAAACTAGCTCCACAAGACACACAGGGAGAAACCCTGCATCGGCAGGGCTGATATTCTCTTGTTAAAAGAAAGAGTAAACTTATCTGACTGAGCAGGTTAGTGTTGTTTTTTTTAAAGGAACTTGCCATCTTCCACTAGTTTGCAGGTGTACGAGGTTTGTGGTCTCTCTTCTTCACTTTCCGGTGCTTCGGGGGCTTGGGTTTTATGCTGGAGAGGTGAATCCAACTATCAGTTCCCTGGATGGAAGAGGGTGTGGTTAGGAGGATGTTACAGGGGCCTTCCCACTGGCAGGTGAGTTGGTCCTGGAACGCTTTCTCTTTCCAGGTCATGATTGAAGCCTGGTCACCAGGGTGGACCTTGAGTTGACAGTTATTGTGAGATCCTGGAAGTAAAGGAATCTTGTTTCCGTATTCCTGCAGGGCCTATTGGAAGATTCCCAGATGGGTGATAAGTTAGAAGAGCTAGGAAGTCTTGGTGACAGTAAGCAGGTCAGATGTCGAGAAGGTTCTCCCAGAAAGCATCTTCAATAGGCAGAGATGAAGTTTGGGTTTGGAGGGAACCCAAAGACTTATTAAGGCTGTTGGGAGGAGATCTGGCCACTTACAGTAGGTTTTTTGGCATAGGCTGTTGGCTTAAGGGTTCATTTAACCTTGGTTCATTTAAGCTTTTCAGTGGACTGGGGTCTCACACAGCAGGAGACAGTAGTTAATTCTCAGGGCTTTGCCAACTCCCAGTGTAATCAGAGATGTGAAGGAGAGCCCAGCACCTCTTTTTTTTTTTTTAACCAGGAATCAAACCCAGTACCTTGCACTTGCCAGGCAGATGCGTATGCTGCTGAGCTATCTTCCCAGCACCCCGCACTGAATATCACTGCTGATGGAGCCAGGCAACCCAAACCTAAAAGTTCCTTAAGAAGGGCTCTTACAGGGCTGGGGATTTAGCTTAGTGGCATAAGTGCCTGCCTTGCAAGTAGGCAGTCGTGAGGGTACCGATAAAAAGACAAAAGACAGAAAAAAGGGCTCTTACTACCTCCAAAGCTCATCTGACCTGGTAGCAAAAGTCTCTTCCCGTCCAGTGAAGGTACCCTCACATGGAGGCACGTGGGTGAAACCTATGTCCGGTCTTCCCCAGGGGTGTCCTTCATAGTTGTACAGTGGGAGTGGGTGGGTCTGTGGGTCACAGAGGGCATAGACAGGGCACGCTTTACAGACCTCAGTTACAATGTTTGGGCTCTGGGCTCTTTAAAGAGTCTATGTACTATAGCAGCAGTAGCTGAGTGGAGGGGAATGGTCCAGCAGTGAGTGGAGAGGAGCAGCCCATTAACCCCAACTACTGTTTGTATCAAGGTGACTTCTTGTGTCCATCACTTCCCTGGGCAGACAGCTTTCTGCCTCCTGGCCATATGCTGCTCCCTGAGTTCAAAGTCAAAGCCTACTGTCCCCAGTCCCATGGCCACTTACCCTCAGGTCTTCCATGGTCACGCCCTGGAATTTGCCATCACCCCCAGCAATGAACTCATGTATACTCTCTGACTATGGCCTCTGTTTAGCTAAGGGTTACAAGGAGGACAATTACATACAGAACACATAATTTATTGTATTATTTAAAATAGTCACCCAAGAGTTAAATACAAAGAAATGCAGGAGATCTGTCCACAACTCTAAAGACCTAGAAAATCCAGCAAGGGCCTGGATCCCATAGCAGTAACCTGCATGAGTTCAGCTGAAGATCTAGAGCCCATGACAATGACTCATGCAAGTCTGTTTCATGGATCTGCACTGGGAAGGCCCAAAGGTCAGCGGTGGAAGCTAGAAAGTCTATGCCAGCGTGATGAAGGATCTGTGCCAGCAGGCCGAGGGTTGTGTACTGGAGCTAAGAAATGACGCTCCAAGTAAGGACCAGAGCTCCCCCGAAGTGAACCACAGCCATCCTCAACAACAAGGTCCCAAGCTCCTCTGTTGAGAACAGCCAAGTTCATATCAGGGAAGAAGCTCCACAAGCTTCTCCGGGAGAACCAAAAGCTCCAAGCAACGGCAAAGCTTAGGAAAACACATAACACTACTCTTGCTCTCCAGGTTTCCTGGCAGCAGTCCTCGGGTGGGGCCATCCACGCTCAGCACCATGCTGATTCAGTTCAGTTGGTGTTTAAGTTGACCACCAGTTACCAAGGCACTACAGCCTCCAAGCCCTTATGCACCCATACTCTCTTGCTCTTCCCTGTCTTGCACCCTTGGCCCTACCCTCCTGTTTCCTGTGCAGCTCCCAATTCTAGGCACCTCCCTGTAAAATCCTCAAAACTGTACTGCAGTGTTGCCTGGAGACAGTGCCCTGCCTCAAAGCCTGAAGCCACTGCAAAGTCATGATTTCTGTTGTAGTCAGGGGTTGGGAGGAGAACAATTACAATCAGGACACGGAGTTTATAAAATTGCTTTATGATGGTCACCCAGAGTTAACATAAGAAAATGCAGGAAATCTATCCACAACACGAAAGACATAGAATATTTAGCCAAGGGCCTGAATCCCACAGCAATGTCCCACATGAGTCCAGATGAAGACCCAGAGCTCATGACAGTGCTTCCCAATAGTCCAACTGGAGGTCCAGAGCCCACAAGAAGGACTCATGCCAGTCTCTTCTACAGATCTGTGCTGGGAAGGCTCAAAGGTCAGCGGTGGAAGCCAGGAAGTCTATGCCAGTGGGGGTGAAGGAGCTGTGCTGGCAGGTTGAAGGTTCTATGCTGGAGCCAAAAAGTCACACTCACAACAAAGACCAGGACTGTCCTGAAAAGCACCACAGCCATCCTCAGCGGCATGGAGGCCCTCGGCTCCTCCAATGACAAACACAGTCGAGTACATGCCAGGAAGCCAGCATAATGAGTTCATCCTGGAGACCAAGTGGCACACATCTTCCCCTCCGGAGCCAGGAAGCAATGCTCGATGTGAGGACCAGAGCTTGTCTAGGAGAACCAACAGCTCAAACAGCAACTCTAGGAGAACCCACAGTGTCTCACTGCCTCAACACAATAGCTTTTCCTTCTCCACATCTCTATTTATGCTGGCAACTTTCCTCAGGTGGAGCATCTATGTTCAGTGCCTTGCTGATGTAATCCAGCTGGTGTTAAGTTGACCACCAGTTCTTAATCCATAACACTGTCCATCCTCCAGGCCTCAGATTTCCCCCACATTCTGCATGGGGGCACAGAGTGAGCAGTCAGCTATGGGGACAATTAGCCACAGGAATCCAGAAAGGAAATAGTGCGTGGGCAAAGATACTCTCCTGGAGCCCCAGGAAAAAGGAAGGGTATGTGTGGGGTGCTGGATATTTTTTGGATCTTTTCAAGGACTTCTCAGATGGTTCCAGCCTCCTAGACTATGCCAGAGCTTTGGAGTATCTGCTGCCACAGGGTAGGTTCTTTGTGGACCCACAGAGCATGCTGGAGGCGCTGGACCTTTTGCAGGGTGGTGGGGTCCGTCCGGGAGTCCAGAAGGGTCTTAGTCTCAACCTCCCAGTGGCCTTTCCAAGCTCCCATTTGCAGAGCAGAAGAGATCCTGGGTACAGGGTGCGGAACTTGGGAGGGAGACGCCGTCCAGCTGGTGTCCCGAAAATCCTGCCTGAGGTGGGGTTGGGACGACCACTCTGTAAGACTAAGGAGAACTCGGGATGCGCTTGGCCTCTCTAAGTTTTATCTTAACCTGAGCAGTGCTGAGTGTCCCCATTTTACAGGTGAGAGACTGAGGAATGGAGAAGAGCTAGGAAGTGGCTAACCAGGGATTTTAATTCACATCTCACATCCAGGAGGCTTGAATACCGAATACCGGCCGCGCGCGCGCGCGCACACACACACACACACACACACACACACACAAACACACACACTTGCGCACAGGGAGGAGGTAACCAGGGCGGGGCGGGGCGGTCGCCAGCTGGGGAGGAAGTGCCCGTCCCGCTGCACGGGCACCCGGCCACGCCGAGGATCTGAGTTTCCCTCAGGTTCTGGCCATGGAGGCGAAGCCACCGCTGTACCCGGTGGCGGGGGCCGCAGGGCCAGAGGGTGACAAGGACTCGCTCGGGGTCCCTGACGGACTCGGCGTCCCGGATGGACTCGGGGTCCCCGACGGGCCCGAGGCGCCGGTGAGCGGGGCTGGGTGAGCGCGAGGGTGGCGCGTGGTGAGGGTGACCCCGAGGGGCGCGGGGCTGGCGAGCCTGGTGCGAGCGCACGCTGTCCCGCAGCTGGACGAGCTGGTGGGCGCGTACCCCAACTACAACGAGGAAGAGGAGGAGCGCCGCTACTACCGCCGCAAGCGCCTGGCCGTGGTCAAGAACGTGCTGGCGGCCAGCGCGGGTGGCATGCTCACCTACGGCGTCTACCTGGGTACGCGCGCGCGGGGGTGGGGTTGGGCGGGGGCGCGGCACGCGCGGCCCCGGGCTCCCCGGGCTTCCGCCACTCGGGCCGGGAAAGAGAAACTTGGGGCGGACAGGCCTCCTTCTCTTTTCACTTCCCAGTCGGCTGCTCTGGTAGCTGTGGCGGCCCCACTTGGGGCGAGGAGGGGGTTCCAGCGACCCAGGTGCCAGCCACAGCCTCCTTGGGGACACGTCTCGGCCCCCACCCCCTCCCTATCCGCGTTGGAATGGGGGTTCCCTGCACTGCCCCTCTGTTTGGTTGCTCCAGCTAGGCTGGAGCTAGGCTGCTCCCTCCACGTCCTCCCTGTCCCCAAGGCCTCCTGCAGATGCAGCTAATCCTGCACTACGATGAGACCTACCGCGAGGTGAAGTACGGCAACATGGGGCTGCCCGACATCGACAGCAAGATGCTGATGGGCATCAACGTGACGCCCATCGCTGCGCTGCTCTACACGCCTGTACTCATCAGGTGCGGCCCCCTGCGGCCTGGGCTGCTACTCTGATCTCAGGGGCGCAGTGGCTGTTATACCCAGGGTCTCCAGCTGCCCTGGAGGGGAAAGTCGGAGTTGGGGAGGAAATGAAACCCCCATTTGGTTTCAAGTAAGAGATTCAAGCAGGTTGCTGCACCCACTTCGCCTGTGACCCGGGTAGCTTCCTCCTTGAGACCTCTGTGGTAGCCCAGACTCACTGTGACCTTCTAGGTTGGGGCCGTGCAGTCCTCAGGAGGAATCCATCGGCCAACAGCGCGGAGGCGCGGGCTCCTGGCCCAATCAGGAGCTCGCTGTGACCCTGTAAGGGGGCCACAGAAAGTGGCTGGGCAGGCTCCTGAGGGTCCAATCTGGACCTGAGCCTAGAGGCCTGTGGTTCCCAGATTCCCCATAGAACCCTCCCTGAGGGCCCAGGAGACCAGTGAAGAGATGAGATGGGTTTTAGCTAGGTTGCTTGTTTTCTCTGCTTCTTTCAGTCTCTTTTGTCACAGTTGCACACATAGCATTAGATTATCGTAACTGGAACCAGAAACAAGAAAACTGGGCATGGTGCTGCAAGCCTATAATCCGAGCACTCGGGAGGCTGAGGCAGGAAGATCGATGCAAGTTAGAAGCCAGCCTAGGCCACATAATGAGTTCAAGATTAGCCTGAACTGCAAATCGACACCCTGTCTCAAACATACACACACACCTCTTAAACACTCCAGGTAATTGAGTCCACTGCCCCACTGGCATGTACAGATAAAGTCCACATTCTAGTGCATGTTTGCAAGGTTTATTTTTTTTAATTAATTTTAATTTTTATTGGTACCAAGGATCCAACTCACGACTGCCTGCTTGCAAGGCAGGAGCTTATGCCGCTGAGCTAAATCCCCAGCCCCACAAGTTTCATTTTTTAAAAACTATTTATTTCTTTTTGTGGCACTGAGTGTCGAACGCAGAGCCTTCACACTGAGCTAGCATCCCCAGCACTTTAAAAAATTGTTTTTAATATTTGAGACAGGATCTCAGTAAGCCGTCCAGGTTGGACTTGTACTTTCCATCCTCCTGCCTCAGCCTCCTAAGTGCTGGGGTTACAGGTGTGTGCTAGCAGGCCCAGCCCTTTATGTTCTTTTTTGTCTTTTTCCTTTTTATCGGTACTGGGGATTGAACTCACGACTGCCTGCTTTCAAGGCAGGCACTTATGCCGCTGAGCTAAACACCTAGCCCCTCCTTGATGTTCTTTCCTTCTTTTTATTCTTCTTTTTGAGATAGTCTTATTGTGTTGCCCAAGTTGATCTCTAACTCCTGGGCTCACGTGATCTCCCAACCTGCTCCTCCCGAGTAACTGGGACTTTAGTTCATATGTACTGTGCCTGGCTGGCTTTCCTTCTTTTCAAAATTAAAAAAAAAATTTCCCTAGAATAAATTCCCAACAGTGCCCTCACTAGGTAAAAGGCTTATGAAAAGCGTTGTTTCTTGGGCTGGAGATATAGCACAGAGGCATAGGGGCATAAGCCCCTGCTGAGGAAGCACAAGGCCCTGAGTTCAAGTCACCTATTGCTTTTTATTGTAACACTAACCCTTTTACCTGTTTCCTATGAGCCCGCCACTTTGGGAAAGCTATGCTGTTTTTCACTTCCCTCAACCCAGAGGAGTTTCAGTCACCCGGGGCGGGGGGGGGGGGGACTTGTCATGAAACAGCTCACCCGAGTTCTGCCACAGGCAGCGACTGGCCGGCTGCAGGGTTCAGACTGAGGAAGTGACTCTGAAACCCATCTGGTCACTCTCGACCCAAACTGCCAGCCAACTTCTCCAGAGACTCATGCCAGTCCGTGTGGCCGCTGGCGGGGTGTGACATTTTAAACTGTGGCTTCACCAGCCATGAATGAGGACTGGCGTTTTTTACATTTTGCTGTTTTGCTCCATCAGCGTGTATAGTGCGTGTTTGTGACCTGCCCTCCCCAGGCACGGATTGGGACAGGCAAAATACGGGCACTGAAAAACACCGGAAAATCAGGCCTGTTTAGCATTGAACTTCCTGGAGGTTAACACAAAGAAAAGGAGTGAATGATTTCAAGTAAAGAAAATCTGAAGATGCCAGGAGTTGGTTTTGGCTTGATCAGCCTCTGTGCTGTGATGGAGTCCCTGTGCTGTCATGCAGTCCACTGTCACTGTGTGACTTTTTCTCAGATCCAGTGTTAGAAACTTCCCAGCTGGCCACAGTGGACCCCCAGAACAATGGACAGGGAGGAAGAAGCACCAGGTCTTCCAGATCTGCAGTCCACCCAGATGGGGCCTCTTCCTTTCTTTTGTCCCATCCTGGTCTAGGTCCTTGAATGTCTCTGGGACCTATAGTCAGTCACAGGACATAAGCTTGAGAGGAGAAAGAGATGAGAGAGTTGCAGACCCTGGGAAGGCTTCGTGTGCCCAGGGGCTACTGACTTCTGTTTTGTCTCCTAGGAGAGGCTTATGGTTTAGACCTATGCCCATTTTACAGCTATGAAGACTGAGGCATGTGGACACAGGAGGCCACTGAGTCCATAGGTCTTGAAACTCCAATTTTAGGCCCTTGACTCCCTAGGCTGGGCTCTCTGCTGCCTCACACAGCTATAGGGAGCTGGAACCTGGGGTGGTGGCCCTGTCTGGTTTCAGGGCACAGTATTCTGTAGTGCTAGTGTCACTCTGCTGTCTGCAGGTTTTTTGGCACCAAGTGGATGATGTTCCTGGCTGTGGGCATCTACGCCCTCTTTGTGTCCACTAACTACTGGGAGCGCTACTATACACTTGTGCCCTCTGCGGTGGCCCTAGGCATGGCTATCGTGCCTCTTTGGGCCTCCATGGGCAACTACATCACCAGGTGAGCCTGGTGGGCAGTGAAGTGGGAGCCTAGCAACTGGACTGAGTCTCTACTGCTTTGAAGGCTCTGATGGGCAACTTTGAGCAAACTCCTTTCATCCTCTGGGCCTCAGTTTCCCCACTTGGGTGGCTGGTTTCTAGCTGTGGGTGCAGAAAGTGGAGGCAGGGCAGAGATCAGATCTTTGCTCCTTTGTGGTCCAGGATGGCGCAGAAGTACTATGAGTTCTCCCATTACAAGGAGGATGAGCAGAAGCCCCAGCAGCGCCCACCGCGGGGCTCCCACGCACCCTATCTCCTGGTTTTCCAAGCCATCTTCTATAGCTTCTTCCATGTGAGTGCCATGTGGGGTGCTGTGCGGTGACGGGGCGATATTTTAGGACCAGAACCCATCCATTGGAACCTGTCCTACCATCTTCTCAGCCCTCCATTCCTACTCCCGTTCCTAAGCCAGTCCCTGTTTGCTTATCTCTAGCAATGCAGATCTCATGCTTTTCCTGTCTCCAGTGCTGGCCAGGAGGAAATCTTTCTCTGGGCATCTCACCACCACTAGGCTGTCCCCAAAGGTGGGAGGGCCCCTGTCCCATTGAGGCTGTCCCCAGATCCTTCCCAAGACCATGCCAGGGCCTCATACCTGGATCTGTGCCTGACCCCATCTGCCCTCTGGTCCACAGCTTAGTTTCGCCTGTGCCCAGCTGCCTATGATTTATTTCCTGAACTCCTACCTGTACGACCTCAACCACACACTCTGCAACGTGCACAGCTGCGGTCAGTCCTCGGTGGGGGGATGAGGTCCCCAAAGCCCACTCGCCTCCCAAATCTGGGATGAGGCTGCCAGTGAGATCTCCTTGGGGTCGGGGCTGTGGTCAGTGCAGGGGAAGGTATTGTGGTGGGAGGTGACTGGTGCCCCTCTCCCAGTCTCTGGATTTAGGGTGAAAGGCAAGAGTTGCACCTCCTTCTCTCCCTGGACGCACACAGCCCCAGGTCCCTCACTTGTCCCCTCCACCTCGCCTCCACTGCCTCCTCACTGCATTTTGTGGTTAGGAAGACAGAACACCTACTCGGCCTCACGATGTCTGCACTCACACTTCCCAGGCACTAACAGCCACGGCATCCTCAACGGCTTCAACAAGACGGTTCTACGAACGCTACCGCGGAGCAAAAACCTCATCGTGGTGGAGACAGTGCTCATGGCGGTGGCTTTCCTGGCCATGTTGCTGGTGCGGCCCGGCTGGGGGTGGGGGGGCGAGCAGCGAGGCTGGGCGTGGGTTTCGAAACCCAGTCTGGACCAAGGGCTACCGTCCGGGCTCACAATGAAGCTGAGTCCTGGAGATGTGGCTGGTGCATGTGGACCTAAACTGAAGCTAGAATCCCAGAAACCAGGGGACAGGGAGACTGGGAGACTGAGAGGGCTGATCTGCCCAAGGTCTGGGCTGGAAGGCGTAGCTTAAACCTAAATCGAGGGCCGCACTGGACAGCAGAGAGAAAGCACTGGGGGTGTGCTTAGGGCGTGGCTGTCTCTAGGGGCGGGGCTGGGAGCCTCGCGCAGTAGGGCCGTGTGGAGGTGTGGCCTTGGGCCAAGAGGCGTGGCTAAGGGAGGGCTGAAGAGCATGAGTGTGTTTGGGAGGCGGGGCCCTTGGCTGAGGGCGGAGCTGAAACCTGGGTGTCCCTGGGAGGCGGGGTCTGAAGTGAGGGTGGGGCTTAGGTTGTAGGTGTGTCGAGGGGGCGTGTCCGGGGCGGGGCTGAGTCCAAGGGGTGGAGACTTGCCTGGCTTGTCAATTTTCACAGAGCCTGTCTGCAGGTGTTGGGCCTGTGTGGCGCTGCGTACCGGCCCACCGAGGAAATCGACCTGCGCAGCGTGGGCTGGGGCAACATCTTCCAGCTGCCCTTCAAGCACGTGCGTGACTTCCGCCTGCGCCACCTAGTGCCCTTCTTTATCTACAGCGGTTTTGAAGTCCTCTTTGCCTGCACCGGTCTTGCCCTGGTAAGTACAGGGTACAGAATTGCCAAAAAAAAGGATGTCTTGTTAAAGTTGCAGTGCATATAAACAGCAAATAACTTTTAGCGTATGTTTAAGTATTTACAAGTGTGTCCTAAATAGTTCCCTCCCTCTTTCTCTTCCCTTCTTTTCCCTTGCGTAAATTATTCAAACGTCTCTTAAATTGAAATGAGGTATCATCCATAACATATTTGGTATTGTGCGGGTTATACCCCTGTGTGTCTGGGGGTATGCGCCATGCATTTGCACATTCTCCACACCCACGCAGCCTTCGCATCAGTCTTGCAGGGAGGTAGCACCCAGGAAGTCCAGAAAGGGCAAGGCAGGCCTCATGTAAGGGGACTTTCTGACCTCCAGTGCTCTCCTCTTGTTCCTTAGGGATATGGTGTGTGCTCCATAGGGCTGGAACAGCTGGCCTACCTCCTCACTGCTTATGGCCTGGGAGCCTCAGCCGCCTCATTCCTGGGGCTGTTGGGGCTGTGGCTGCCACGCTCAGTGCCCCTGGTAGCTGGGGCACTGCTGCACCTGCTGCTCATCATCAGCCTCTTTTTCTGGGCCCCTGTGCCTAAGGTCCAGCAACACCGCTGGATCCTGTATGCGGCAGCTGTTCTCTGGGGTGTGGGCAGCGCACTCAACAAGACAGGACTCAGCAGTAAGTACTGTCATGGGCACTGAAATTGCTGAGTGGGGCCTGTGGCGACTTCTGGATGGTTGAGGGGTAGTGACATCCCAGGGCCAGACATGAGGTTCTATGGAGACAACAGGGGATCTGTCACAGCCCTCTGTAGACTTGGCTGAGAGAAGGGGAGAACCCTGGACAGTCTAGGGTAAAGTCCCACCCACAATGTAGGGCAGATGGGGAAGTTCCACAGACACTCTGGAAGCAAGTATGGGAGTTCCGTGACATGGATATTCCGGGGACACTCCAGGGTGAGCATCAGGCCTGAGAAGGTCAATGTGAGATTGTAGATACACAGGGTGGTTGTGAGCTCTGTGGAGAGCCCTCAGGGACAGTGAAACACACAATAGGGACAAATCTTTTTGTACCTGGAGACAAGGCCCACTTAGGCAGAGTTTACATGACACTGGGAGCAGATGTCAGCGCCCTTGTCCCAGGGAGTGTGGCTAGCAGCAGGTGGTCCTGACTATGACCTAGTAGGACACAAGGACAGATCTAGGTCCTTTTTAAAATTTATTTTCTGTTCTGTTCTGTTCTTTCCTTTCCTTTCCTTTTCTGATGCTGCAGATCAAAACTAGGGCCTCATATATGTTAGGCAAACACTTTATCACTGAGCTATACCCCTGGGCCTTTTTGTGGGGAGGACCCAGGAACAGATATGAAGGTTGGGCTTGCAGCAGGCATGGTGGGCCTGAGTTCAGCTGTGTGACGCTGTCTGTGCTCAGATGAGCAATGTGCCAGTGGCTTGCACTCAGTACACCCAAGTGCAGCTATGTTATTGTCCACAGTGGCATGTTCTGTTGGGCCTGTGCTATTAGCAGTTTTGAATGTCACCCCTGGGCCCTAGGATGGGAGTGTTCATGTTCTGAGTCTGGAAAAATCACCTCTCATGACCTTTGAGATACTGTGTGAATTTTTCTCACCTTAGAACTTTCTAGCACAACATACAGTGTGTGTAAGTCCACTTCACAGCTGGGAAAAGCAGTTCTGGGGACTTAAACTTGCCCCCAAAACCCCTACAGAACCAACCTTGGAATCAACATCTCTATATCCCTAAACTCTCACCTTGGCTATCTTCCATTCTCCAGCATTCCAGTCTGAGTCTCCTGACTCCTTGGTCAGTGCTCTTTTGGCCCACCCCAGGCAAGATTCTTTGTGAAACAAATCCTTGTCTCCTACACCTCGGCTTTGATGTGTAGAAATTTGGTTGCTGGAGGCAGTTTGCCCTCCCTAACCCCTGTACAGAAAGAGTAATAGCCGCTCACACTAGGCTTACACACTGGGGTCAGGGATGGGCCTACCTGAGCTTAAAGCTTTCTTCTTCTGGGGTCATATGTGTGCCTGGCAAGACTTGTGTACAACCCTTGCTTAGCTGGTACCATGGTAACCAGGGTCTCCACTAGGGGGCAGGCTAGGACCAAGGTACTGTATATTGCTCCTTGGATGCTCTAGGGCCCTGGGATGAGACCAGTAGGAGGAGGAGATGAGCAGCCTCAGGCCCCAGGTAACACCTGTCTCCGGCCTACCCTGTCCCCTAATTGCAGCACTCCTGGGAATCATGTACGAGGACAAGGAGAGGCAGGACTTCATCTTCACCATCTACCACTGGTGGCAGGCTGTGGCCATCTTTGCGGTATACTTGGGCTCCAGCTTGCCCATGAAGGTGAGGCTGGGTGGGGTTAGGAGCTCCATGCCACATCCCCAGGCAACATACCTTCTGGGCCTCCTGGCTTCACATCCTCCTAAAGGATCAAGCCGTTGGCCAAGGACTCCTTCTCCCAGCCCATTGTGTGGTCCCGAACTCAACACTCCAATTACTGCTCCACGACCTGCGAGCCTCAGTTTACCCACCTTGGAAGGGAACCACAGTTTGCTTTTTCCCTTGTGTGTGCATTCCAGTCTCCTGATGGGTTGTTCAGTCACCTCTTTGTCAAGTGCTGGGCCCCTGGAAGCCCAAGGTCTATCTTGCTTTATGGCCTGCAGGGGAGCAGACTTCTCTGTTGGTGCTGGGCATGGAACCCAGGACCTCACCCATGCTAGGCAAGCTTTTAGTACTGTGCTCCTCAGTCTCAGCAGGTCAGTTTAGCAGTGCAACACAGTAGAGAATAGCAGAGACTATGGATGCATTTATGTATGTAGGTACTCACAGTGCACAGCTGGTGTTTTTGAGTGAGAGTTAAGTCAAAAATCAAAAACATCTGAAAAGCATTTCTGTGACCCACTGTGTTTAAAGGACCAGAAAGAATTATGCCAGTTATGGCAAACCTTCCACTGACTAATCTTCACCTCTACCCCTCCAGGCAAAGGGATCATCATTCTCCCTCTTAGGGAAACTGAGGCTCCCAGGACCGCAGTAGATAGTGTTGGGATTGAGTTTTGCGACCGGAGGGTACCCTGGAAGCCTGGGTGAGGGCTGGGGTAGTTGAGGGTCTGGTGACTTCAGGGACCCGGAAGAGTCATCCTGCCCCTTATACCCAGGCTAAATTGGCTGTGCTGCTGGTGACCCTGGTGGTGGCTGTGGCCTCCTACCTCTGGATGGAGCAGAAGTTGCAGCGTGGGGCCCTCCCAAGGCAGCCGCGCATTCCGCGGCCCCAGCACAAGGTGCGTGGCTATCGCTACCTGGAAGAGGACAACTCTGATGAGAGCGACGCGGAGGGCGAGCGCTGCGGAGACTGCGGCCAGGGCGCCTGCGCGGAGGAGGAGGCGCGGCAGCGGAGGCCACCCTCTGGTCGGGAGCCTGCTGGCCGCTGTCGCAGGCCCTGCCCCTATGAACAGGCGCAGGGGGGTGATGGGCCGGAGGAGCAATGAGGACCCAAGGAGCTGACCTGGCCCTTGGACTCCGCCTTTGTGCTACTTACCCTGAGTTTACCATCTCCGATTGACGGTAATGGGTCCCCTCAGGGTCCTTCCCATTGGCAGGAAGGACCCTCTGTCCCCTCCCCTGTGTTCAAGACTGACCCTTCCAGAGCTTGGGTTTTCTGGAACTTTTGTGGCCCTGTCCAGGACGAGGTGGGCCCTGTGCCCACAAGGGCTGCCACCCAGAACCCTGCACACAGCAGTCTCCCGACCCCCTGCACCCAAAGCCCACCTCCTTTGGGCTGCATCCCTGGATGCTTGTGACATGCTTTGCACTTCCCACCCCAGGATCCTCCGCAGAAGCACGACTTTTTACAGAAGGTGAACAATAAAGAGATTTTTGTATTTTCCTGTTTGGGAGTTTGGTATGTATAGGGGAGGGAAAGCACCTGGTTTGCTTGTCTGGTGGATCCAGACCCAAGGGCTCTTTGTGCGAAACTGGTTGGGCTGGAAACTTTTGGGTGTAAAGAATGGGCGTGGTGGTACATGCCTGTAATCCCAGCACTCCAGAGGCTGAGGCAGGAGGATCCTTGTTCAAGACCAGCCTGGGCTACAAAGTGAGCTCAAGGCCAGTCTGAACTACATAGTGAGACCCTGTCTCGAGAAGACAAACAAACCAAGAACTGTGAGGGGAAGGGGGGCATCCTCCCCACCTGGGATGTGTCTCCCTAAACGGGGCACAGAGGTCCCTTCCCTCCTGGAGGCCCTGCCCCTCCCCACACCCACTGGTTCTCTGCATCCATCCCGGAGCAGTGGTGTGGTGTAAAGGTTGCCTGACTTGTGCCTTCTGAAGCCCGAGGTCCAGCTGGCCTGCACCAGTGTCACCCAAACTTCAGCTGGCCTCCTCTAGTTCTATTACAAGTGCGTCGTCTGACAGCACTCCGAGGGACACCTTTGTTATTTGGTTTTGGTCTGAGATAGGCTCTTGCTATGTAGTTCAGACCGCCCTTGAACTCACTGTGTACCCCAGAATAGCCTCAAACTCTCAGTGATCCTCCTGCTTCAACTTCTGCTTACTGAGATTACAGACTTGTACTACCCATTCGGAGACACTTTGGAGCCACACTGGGGCTCATTTCCTTGCACATTAGGCCTGGAAAATGATTGTCAAAGGCCAAATAAATTTGTTATTGCCTGGGCTACCCCTCAGGGCCCAGAGGCTATCGCAGAGGCCAGGCCCTCGTAAGACCTGCACGTGCTGCTTGCTCCATCCTGCCCCCACCATCAGAAGAGACAGCCCACTGTGGAAGAGCTCTGGATGGTTGAATGGGGACCAGGGAAGGTTGTGGAGTCCCCATCTGCCTCCCCAGAGGTTGTCTAGGCGTGCCATACCATTCTTACTCATAGCCTCTTGAACCGTGGCTGAAGGCCAGACCTGTTCCTACCTCTTGGCTTTACCCAGTTCAGCCCCGCCAGGTACCGGGGCTCCTCGCTTTTTTCCCTCTGCCTCCACTGCCCACCTCGGAGCCAGATTCTGTGGCCTCTCAAAGGTATAACCCAACTGAGCTGCAGGCTCCTTCTCTGTAGTGTACCTCCAAAGAGAGGTGTTAGACCTTTCAGCATGGTGGCTGCATGGTCCCCAGGCCTTGTGGAAAACTCCCAAGGACACAGCAGGAAGTTTTTTCCTTTTTACTCTATTCTGGTTTGGTTTTTAAAATAGGGTCTTGCTGTATAGTCCAGGCTGGCTTCAAGCTTGTGGTCTTCCTGCCTTGGCTTCCCAAGTGCTAGGATTATAGGTGTGCACCATCACGCTCACCTAGGAGGTTTTAAACTGTCTTACTAGAAGGGAAATCAGCCTTTTAGTGACAAGAAGACCCAAAAAATCCTCTCAGAACATGTCCTATGGCCTCAGTAAAACACCTTAACTCTGTCTTTCTAGCTCCCCATTGTTATCTGTTGTGAAACTTTACCCCTTTTGGAGTCAGGTGTGTGACATACTGGTGGCAGGATTCCAGCTAAACTCCAGCTAGAGTTAGGCCACTACACACTGGGATAACGATCACCAGAACCGGGTACAGTAGTTTGGAAGGATATGGGACCTGGGTGTGCTGGGCAAGAGGGGTGAGGGTCTGAACAAAATGGCTCTGATGCTGTCACAGTTTGAAGCCATCATGCATGTCCCTTATGCTAAAGGATAAAAGTATGGAGCAGACCTGAAGGCCCAGGGACACAGAGTAGTGTGGGCTATGTTCTCCAGTCTTGCTCCCGGTACCAGGAGCTCATGGGGCATGAGGAGCCTACGTGCCACCTGGCTGCTTCTGATGATGAGACCCACGTGCCCAAGCAGGCAGCACGGAGGACCAGCAACACACATGCAGGCCAGACAGTGCTACCGGCCATGGCCAGTTCCAGCAGGCTGGATCTCTTTGGGCAAGAGTCATTGAGCCATGAGGTCAGAATGCCTGTTCTTGAGCAGTTCATGGTCTCATTATCAGTTATGACATTGGTATTGGGGTCACCTCCCCTGTTTGCGTCCCTGGATAAGGTGGCTGGTGGAGTCCTGGACCTCTGTGTGGAAGATCAACCTGGGTTGTAGCCTCCACCTTTGAGCACCATTCTTGCTCAGAAGGAGGGTTCTGTAATTATGTCACCATGTAGGGTGGAGATTTCAAAAAATTAGTAACTTCACAGATCTCCAATCTAAGATGTTAGCTGTCCTTAAATTTCGCTAGCTAGTGAGGTTGCCTGAAAAATGTCATTCTAAACATCTAGAAATGCTAGATAAGAAACAAATTTCCTTTTAAATACATAGCTGAGAGCTTAAGAAAATATGCAAAGTTTATTAGGGCCAAAAATAAAGAAGGAACTGAAAACCAACTAGTGATAAAGGACCTAACACCAGAGCTGTTGCCTAAGTTTGAGGTTTAGGGGCCATGTGGGGCACAGCTGAGGTGAGGGGGCCCCTAGAAGGCAGAGAGTTGGTATTAAAGCCATACATAAAGCTGAGGCCATAGGAAAATGTTTGTAGGAAAAAAGAAAGGAAACATTTTCACCCAGAGGAGCAGAAAGATGTAAGAAAATTTGAGCTTTGGGTGCAGAAAAAGTTTCCCTTGAGACTTGGCATTTCAGGCCTACTTTCTATAAGCTTAAACTCTCTGTGAAGAAGTGATACCCTCTGTAAGGTCTGTGAACCCTGAATTTGAGACATTAACATTCAAAATTAGTCTTTGCCTAACAATACCACTGGGTTTTCCAGCAAAACCAACTCACTGTGCTTTCCATATGGATTTTCTAAGCCTGAACATGCATAGTTCCACGGACAAGGCCCTGCCAAAGCTGAGTTCACAAACCGAGACCACAGATCACAGAAGGAAACAAGTCACAGTAAATAAAAGACAATGCAGCCAGCAAGGAGCAGGATCAGGCCCCCGCTCCGAGCAGACTCCAGCCATGCAAGAGGCTGGGAAGCAAGTCTGTGTGACTGGTAGCTTCCTTAAGGGTTCTCAGCGACCCCCAACCTTTACATCTTTCTGTGATCTGCACCCCTTGATCCTGGCCCGGACTTGACTGATCATCCCTTGACTACAGCCTGGATCTACTGATTTAATTTTTTCTTTCTAGGGTGCCCGTAGGAGCCAAGCGCAGCCCTCGGTTGACAGCTAGCACAATCATAGGGAAATGCGTGGTATTCACAGCCAGAATGAGTGTGGAAAGAGACCGTGTCCTGAGGAGAACTCCGCCCAGTACCCGCCTTGGCTGTGGCCTCATGAGACCTTGTGCAAACAGTCCGCTGCGCTGTGCCAGGCTCCTGACTCATCCCGACGGGGCGGTGATGGAGACGGGTGCTACTTTAATTAAGCTTCTGAATTTTTGGTACATTTTGCCACAGGACTAAGAAGCTGATACAGTGGCCTGGAGCTTGTGGGGTCTGAGATTTTTGCTGGCACCCAGAGACTGGCACACACTGCAGTGTGACTGAACACTGAAAATTTCTTGCTACAGGAAAGAAGACAGATGCGATAAACCAGGAGAGCTGCGTGGAAAACATAGCAAGGCCCAATCTAAAAAAAAATCACTTTAAAATGAGGTTGCACCATAAAGGGGAAGCAGAATGTGTCTTTGCATCTGAGATCAGACCAGATACACAGTTTACCTAACATGAAATCTTAGCTCTAACACTGAAGTTCACCAAATAGGATTCTATGAATTTGCCATAAGTGGTAAAATAGCAATTCATGAAGTGGCCAGTTCAAAACACAGTGTAAGAAAGACTCCATTTTTGCTTCTAAGTCCCCACCATTCCCCTTTTTCCTACACTGGGCCCAACAGAACCTGCCATTCCTTGACTCAGTGACACCCCCCACCCCACTTCTCCTCTTCCTCGTCCTTTTTTTTAAGTCCTGCGAATGGATGCGGGAGCCTTAAGCATGCAGGGCAGTGTTCTACCACTGAGCTCACCTTTACCCTCCATTGGCTAACCACGAGAGTCCTGGCTTACACACAGCATCCTGTCCAGGGCTCTGTCCTTAAGCACCAGACCCTGTCCTGAGCCCCTCTCCTTGGGGAGTTCCTTCAGTGTCATCAGAAGAGTAAGACATTGATTTTTGTGCCTGTGGAGGCCTCTGTGTCCCTGGATAGGAGGCCACTCAGTGTCTAGCAGGGGATGCCAGACCCCTGAACAAATCAGTTGTGCTGAGAACAGGATGGCTGGATACTGGCCATGGTGCAACGTCTGACCTCTCTCACTTCTGCATCCATTCCCTGACACAGCAGGCTTGGAACGGCTTGGCCCGAGGCTGATAGTCTTGTGTCCCAGTGACTGCACTGTAGCCTTTTAGATTAGTTCTTTTGGTTTTTGCAAAAACTTTTGCCTTTAATGCAGCAGTCTAAGCTAGACATTAGAATGGGGAGAAGAAGAGGAAGCCAGACACTAAGGAGACTTAGGAGAGCAAGATTATACTCTACTTGGTCACTGGGAGAATGGACCCTGGTCCATACGACCGCCAGACACCAGTGCCCCATATTTCTCCGGGCAGGAGTTCCTGGGGGTGGTTGCGTGTGAACAAGTGTTACCATTTTGTTCACAGAGCCTCAAACCCCACAGCAGGTGTCATTGGGGTTCTGCAAGGCCATGCAACCATGTGACTGTTTTTGCCCTCACTGCTGTGAAATTCTGATTCACACAGATTCTCTGGAGAAAACAAATATAACAGAAACCTCCCTTCCCCAAATACTCTGCTCATAATAGGCAAAGATGAAATTACTGAGCTGAGGAATAAATGAGTACTCAAACTCAGTTTTTCCAAGTGGAAAACGGTAGATTAAAATTCAATTTATTGAGGGCACGGGCAGGCTGCCAGACAGACAGATGGACGTGAGGCTGCATCATGGGAGGTGCATGGTGGGGCTGGGGCTGGTACAGGCCTGGAAGCGCACATCCTGCTTCTACTACCAGTACCTGCTGGTCACAGCGCTCTACACGGTGGAGCCCTGGGAGCAGATGGTCTTCAATTCCATGTTGGTTTCTCTTGTGGCGTGGCACTGTACATTGGATATGTCTTCATGCCCCAGCATATCGTGGCAATACTGCACCATTTTGAAATGTATAATGACCAAGATATGATCAGGATCAAAATGTTCCTTGGAGAAGATCCACCCTACAAAGTTGGAATGAGACCTTATCAGATGTCATAAGAAACTCTACTGGATGTCAACATAACCGACCTTATAAATATGAAGACTAAAATCCATGCATAGAACAGGAAACTCATCCTGACTCATGTGTTGTGTTATTTTTCCTTTTAGAAGAGGACCTTGTGTCATACTTTTTGTCTAACATTGTAGTCATTTGTGCTTTGTATTTTCTTAACCTTTGTGACTGAATATTATCCCATGAAAGCTTTTTTAAAATGTAATTTTGAGTACATTTTAATCGCCTTCTATTTTTAAAACTCAAAATAATCTTTTGGGGCCACCACCAGGCTGAGGATAGCCGGATCCAAGCCTTTGCCTGTGAGTCAGCACCATTCGTGGACTGCAGGGAGAGAGAACAAGGCCATACCCGGAAGAAAGCCCTGTTTGGGAACCACCACAATGCACAGTTCACCACCAGTCTGGGAACAGCCAGACCCCAACCCCTTCCAGTGCTTAGGCTGGCAAACAAGAAGTACCAATCCCCGCCCTCACCCCCAATAAGCGACCAGCTGACCTGGAGAAACACAGGCTGTGATAACAGCTATCCAGGTAAGATGCAATTGGATGCTGGTGGTGCTTTGGTGTTTCACTGACCCTGCCGGTCTAGGGCCAGTGGTCTGATGACTTTTGGGGAGATCCCCTTCTGAGGGTTGTAGACATTGTTGATTCCCTATTGTCATGTTTTAAAGTCTGTGATGATTCGGACCCCAGTATAAAATCCAAGGAAGCAAGAAATTAAAATTTGGGAAGCAAAGGCTTTATTTCCAGGCCTGGTGACACAGCCTCCAGGAGCCAATTTGGAGACTGCGCACCTCACAGCTAAAAGTCAGGTCTTTTATCTTGTAAATCCACAAACAGCTGCTGGTCACACAATGTAAGGAAGGGGATGGGGGTGTGACGCACTACAAAGCAGAAATTGCAAGTCTCCCTGCATACAAGCAAGTTTAGATAAGATGAAGTCTTGTTTTTCTTAGCAAAGAATAGAGAAGTCTAACAGCAATTAACAACTTTAGTTACCTTACTTTAGCACCACAACTGCGATTTGTAGAGGGCAACAATGGTTAACATATCAATTAGGTAAGATTTTACAATTCTTTACAGAGGAGAGCATTGATTAACATATCAATTAGGTCATCCAAAGGAAAAAGGAAAACACAAACAGTAAGGCCAAGTTACAGGTATTGCTATGATACAAATATAACGAAGCTATTTTGTGAAGAATAGTTCAATCTAATACAATCTAATGCAATTAACACAATTTGTGACCAGGTAGGGAAGGGGGTGTTGTCAGGAGCTATTACCTCAGGCCTTTGTTTTATGGCCTTTTGGGAAGTTAAAACTTAACCTAGTTAGATGTGAAGGGAGAAGGGGAGGGGAAGCAGCAGGTGGGCTTATACAGAACAGGCTTCGGCGCATAGTTAGAGGGGCTTAGGTTATAACAAAGCCCTATATTTTTCACTGTTTTTTGGGGTTGGGTTTTATTCTCTTTTGTTTTGTTGGATTATGTTAAATCTGATGGTATGAGCAGCTATTCCAAAGATAGCAAGATATATGATGGTTGCCATTTTGAATTTACTATTGGCTTGTTTTGAAGTTCTTTATTGTGTTCATTGTTTTGTTTTTATTCTATTCTGTTCTGTTCAGTTTTACTATGTCTGAAGGTATCTGCAGCTGTTTTGAAGACAAAAGGTATTATGGTAACTATTGTTGATTTTGTAATGTTTTGAAGTCCTATATCACTTACACTGGTTTGTTTTGATTGGTTTTTCTTGCAGCCCACAAACAAGCCCCCCAGAGCCCCCCAACTTGGTGTCCAAAAATGGGGCAAGACATGTTTTTTAAAAAAGCAGCACTGATTTATTTTATCCTGGGCCCAGTGATGCAGTGAAGTTGGAGTTTGCAAAAGCTGTGTCTCTCACTCAAAACTTTCCAGACTTTTTGCAGAAAGCATGATTTACAAAGTAAGGGGTTATGGGCATGGATCAGGAAATAAGAAAATCCTTGATCTGCTAAGGAATGAGGAAGACCTTTGTTTCCCTTTGCAGAAGACAGAGAAGTCTCACAGGAATTTATAATCCTTTGTCAACTAATTTTAGTACTTAATTTTAGATAACATCTGTCCTTTGCAGAGGGGAACAATGGTTAACATATTAGTCAGGCCAGATTCCCAGGAATTTACAGTTCTTTGCAGAGGGGAACAATGATTAACATATCAATTAGGTCACCCAGGAAGATGGCACATACAGAACGGTATGACAGCGCTACAGGCAATTTGGTCATATAACTTGGACATTGGCAAACAAAACACAAACATAACAAAGCTCTTTTTGTTAGTGTATAACACTCTGCACTGATTTTAGTCAGTGATCCAAATCATTGGCTCATAGGGTTTCTAGACATAGGTATCTGTTTATAACCTTATGTCTTTAAAATCATAAGCTTTATAGTTTGAACTCAAACTTTGACATAGTTTACCAATTGATTTATAATACAAGGCCCAATAGGAGGATTAACAAAGGTCTCGCAGCCACTATTATTAAAGCTGTTAACCAAAGGGAGAAAGAAAACCAACATTTAAATTAGCTCTGGTTTGCCTGATGACTCCAGAATGATTGGCATACAAGGAACAATTTTTTTCCTAAAGCCAGACAGAAGCTTCCTTGGGGTCTCCATGAGGGAGAATACACAAGAACAACATTATCAGATATCTTTAGCAATCTTAAGCTTTAAAGAGTCCTTAGAGTGAACAACAGTCCACTTATCTGTAGGTTGATCCCCGTCAGAGGCCGGGACTAGCTTGAAGGGGGGAATGATGAATCCAGGCGGGCTTTTCAGTGACTTTGACAGCAGTTGGAGTGCTGAGGACCCACAGTGTAGGGATTTTTTTATTGTGGCTCAAGAGATTCATGGTGATGCCTCTTGATGAGAACTAGTGTCTCAGGCTGTACTGCAGGGCATCTGTCCTTGTAGTGGCCTGCAGGCAAAGGATGTTGTTGTCTGAATAACCAGTGGATGGAAGTCAGAACTGGCTGAAGGGCCTAGGAGGGACTTAATAAGATCTTGATTAGCTAAATCAGCTTTTTTTTTTTTTTCAGAAATCTTAGGGAGGAAGAGGAAGAGTCTCCCATACAAAGCCTCAAAAGGGAATACCAGTAACATAGAGGGTACATCACGCACGCAAGAGGGTTAAAAGAAAGGAGACTCACCCAGTTCTCACCAGTTTCTTTTCTTTTTATGTCTTTTTCCTTTTTATCGGTACTGGGGATCAAACCCACAACTGCCTGCTTGCAAGGCAGGCAGTTATGCTGCTGAGCTAAACCCCAGCCCCACTCACTCTCACTAGTTTCTAAGGCCATTAGTTATTAACGTTTTTAAAGTCTGGTTCATCCTTTTTACGTGTCTTGAACTTTGAGGCTGGTAAGCACAATGGAGTTTAGGTTAGTTTTTGAGTTATCTGGGCTATAAAAGCTGGGCCATTGTCAGACCCCATGGATAAGGGGAGGCCAAATTGGGGAAACTGCTATCAAGGCTGACTCAGACTTAGTAGGCAAAGATTTAATCTATCTAGTGAAAAATATCTATCATCACTAATCAGTACTTATTTCCTTGAAATCCAGGCTTCCCCATTTTTGTAATGTGGATTTCCCAATGTTCTCTAGGCATAGTCCCACGTAGCAGTTTGTTGCAGTTGCTTTGGGTTCACCAATTGGCACTGAGGGCATCTGAGGCTCACAGACTGGGCAAGCTTTGATATTAGCCCCCAGGGATTGCTTGAGGTTGAGCCGCCAGTTGCAAGTCTTTTCAAGTGCAAATAGGCTTTGACAAAGTAGGTGGGATCAGCAGTAATGTCAGGGCTATCTCAATCCCCACTGATTTTGTGGCTGCCTTTTGGGTGGTGGCATCTGCCAAATTATTTCCTTGTATAACAAGGTCATCTCCTGCCCGATGGGCTCTACAGTGGATAATAGCCACTCTCCTTGGCATCCAGATGGCAGCCAACAAGTCCAAAATTTGGGGAGCATTTTAATCTTTTGGCCCTCAGAGGTCAATAAACACCATTCTTGATAAATTGTCCCATGAACATGGGCAATAGCAAATGCATATTCTGACAACTTGAGGGCCTCAGTGAGGGCAATGAGTTCAGCCCATTGGGCCGATGTTCCCAGCTCCAGGATTTGTTCCCATAGATTCTGAGAGTCTGTGGTAACGGCAGCTCCCGTGACCCGCTTACCTTTATAGATGTAACTGCTTCCATTGGAGAAATACAAAGGAACTCTGAATAGTGGCTCATCTGTCAAGTCTGGTCCCCAATGCAGTCATGGAGGGGCAAGGAGGGGTCATCATCAGGTAGCAGAGTAGCAGGGTTTGAAGCCACTGTCCCCTTGAAACTGATGGTGGTCAGATCTAGAAGTAATGCCTGATAATGCATGACTCGGGAGTTGGGCAGCCATCAGTCCGGCAGAGGCTTGATGAGAGTCTCCAGCAAATGGGAGGGGACAATTAAGAGTTTCTGTCCAAAAGTCAATTTCTAAGCCTCCTTTACCAGAAAGGCCACCGAGCAAATCACCTGCAGACAAAGTGGCATCTGGCTGCCACATAATCAAGTCTTTTGGAAAGATAGGCAACAGGCCTCTGCCAAGATCCCAAACTCTGGGTCAGTCCTACGGCTCCTAGAAATTCTCACACTTGCTTTTTAGTCACAGGGACTGAAATCTGTCAGATGGCTTGCATTCACTGGGAGGAAAGAGTCTATTTTTCTTTATGGAGAGTCCAACAACCAATGCAGTCCTTCTGCCCAGCAGAAAACTCTTAAGCCTGGTCTTTAGGGTCCTCTGGTTATCAAATATCTTTTAAGCAACCTCTAATAACTGACTGAAGTTATTAGATATCTCAAACTTTTGCAATTTTCACTTAGTATCAGGGGCGACTGGGTTACAAAGGCAATATTAATGGCCCTTGCATTTTTAGGTCCTACTGGTGTATAAAAGTGATAGGCCTTTTGCAATCTTTTCAGAAAACCCCAAGGGAGAGGCATTAGTTAATTGCCTCACCTCTGCTATCTTGGACAAGTTGGTGGGTTTTCTGGGGTTCCCTAATAGCTACTGAGAACAACTGGTGATACCGATTGAGAACCTCCTTACCTCTGGTTGTCCAGTTGGAGTGAGACAAAAGGAAAGCATGGTTCTGGCATTCTGGATCAGAGGACAGGTTTCATCTGGATGGCACACTGCTTTTTTGTCCCAGGGTGCCATGTGGTAGGCCATTGTTCTACTGAAATTACATATTTAACAAAAAAGGGCTTTTTCATAGGCAACAAAATTAATTGCACCTCATAATCTCCTAGATGTCCACAGCACATGCAAGAACTTGCATTTTATCTCTATAATCACCAATCACATTAGGCACAATAGTTATTCCTTTTAAATTTAGATTAGCTTTTTCTAGCATAAGACCAATTGTTCCTTTAGATAAGGAACCCCAAATTTCTGAGATGCCCCGGGGCCATCTTTTTTTTATCTCTCTGTTTCTCCCCAGCAATCAAAATCTCAACTCTGTCTTTACAATCTATAGCATTCCTGGAAACCCCCCCCTCCCCCCGGCCAAACTCACAGTATTGCAAATTATCCTGCTGGGCTCTTTGCTCTTTTTTTTTTTTTTTTTTTTTTTGTCTTTTTCCTTTTTATCGGTACCAGGGATCGAACTCACAACTGCCTGCTTGCAAGGCAGGCGCTTATGCCACTGGGGCTCTTTGCTCTTGATTTTCAACATAAAGCTGGCTAAGAGCCCCCAACAATAGCCACAGAAAGCATTTTCTCTTTTACATTTTGGCACAGCCAGACATTTTTACTTTAAGACAAGACTACTTTTTTTTTTTTACCAGTCAATTACTTTTTCTCTTGCTTTTTAGACAACATTAAAAACCTTTAACAAAATCCTTGAAGTGACTTTCTTTTAGTAGTCTAAAATACATTTAATCATTTTATGTCTTTTTACCACCTTAAATGTTACACTTTAAAAAACTGTAACTTTTTTAACTGGCTCAATTACAGTATGACCTGGTTTTTACTTGATAAAGTTAATATGATTTTCAAAAACCATAAATATACATATATATGCATATATATTCACATGTTAACCAGAAAGAAAAATACTTTTTTTAAAAAGGCACGCCGAGGATGCAAGTAATCAATTGAGGACTAAAACATTAAACAAAGTGCCACAAAAGACAAGACCAACATTAAAGACACAAATGAAGGTTTTTCTGTCCACAGTTTGGCGAGCTAAAGGAAATAATATTATGAACCTTGAGTCCAGTGAGCTGCATGGACCCTGCAACAGAAATACGCAACGAGCCCCTAAGTTAGTAACAAATTTAACAGATTCAAATGGGCAAAAAACAAAATTAGTAACAGATTCAGACAGGTGGACAACTCCAAAGTACAAAAAACAGTGAACATAAAGACAAATGGGCGAGAAGCTGCAAAGCACAAACGGGCCCCAAAGTCCCACATGGGCCAAAGCCCCCCACACGGGCCAAAGCTACACACGTGGGCCTAAGCCACACACACGAGCCAAAGCCCCACATTACAAACGAGAGGCCCCGAAATCCGGTGCAGAAGGAGTGCTAGGCTTGTCTGCAGTCACAAATGCGTGCACCTAAATCACAAACAGGCAAAAAGCCCAAATCACAAATGGGCAGGAAGCCCAAAGCAAAAACAAGTGGCAGACCCAAGGCCCAAAGTTATGGACAGCCAAAGCCCTAAATTACAAACGGGCAAAAAGCCTGCAAAAGATGTCTCATTCCATCTGCAGTTACAAATGTGCACACTCAAATTACAAACAGACAAAAAACCCAAATACTTACAGATGTTTAGCCAATCGATCAGTGAAAAATAATTGGAGGGGTCCCCCAGTAATCCCGGGTGAGCACCCAAATCTTGTGGCCCACAAACAAGCCCTCTAGAGCCCCCTAACTTGGTGTTCAAAAATGGGACAAGACATGTTTTTAAAAAAAGCAGCACTGATTTATTTTATCCTGGGCCCAGTGACGCAGTGAAGTTGGAGTTTGCAAAAGCTGTGTCTCTCACTCAAAACTTTCCAGACTTTTTGCAGAAAGCATGATTTACAAAGTAAGGGGTTATGGGCATGGATCAGGAAATGAGAAAATCCTTGATCTGCTAAGGAATGAGGAAGACCTTTGTTTCCCTTTGCAGAGGACAGAGAAGTCTCACAGGAATTTACAATCCTTTGTCAACTAATTTTAGTACTTAATTTTAGATAACATCTGTCCTTTGCAGAGAGGAACAATGGTTAACATATCAGTCAGGCCAGATTTCCAGGAATTTACAGTTCTTTGCAGAGGGGAGCAATGATTAACATATCAATTAGGTCACCCAAGAAGATGGTGCATACAGAACGGTATGACAGCGCTACAGGTAATTTGGTCATATAACTTGGGCATAACACAAACATAATGAAACTTTTTGTTAGTGTATAACAGTTTTATTCTGTTTTATCCCCCTTAAAATAAAAAAATTTAAAAATTGAAAAGTAATTTCTTGAGTTTTATTGTTCTTATTATTATACGGCATGTATATCTGGATGTATTTCTACTCTTGTCCAAAGTTTTGTAAGAAATAACACAAGAAAAAAAAAGAAATAACACAAGATTTGGAGCAGGGGGCTAGGAAGGGAGGATATTTTATTGAGTTACTTATAAAAGACTTATCTATAAGCTTGAATTCAGGAGTAAAATTTTAGTTTTCTAGACTCTTAATAGTCTATGCTTTAAAACTATTAAGATATTTCTTAGCAATAAAACAGATTTTGTTAAAATTAAAATAAGAGGGGCTGGGGATTTAGCTCAGTGGCATAAGCGCCTGGCTTGCAAGCAGGTAGTCATGAGTTCAATCCCCAGTACCGATAAAAAGGAAAAAGACAAAAAAAAATAAAATAAAATTAAAATAAGAAACATCTCACCTTTTAAATATTTAATTCTTACGAAGATTTTTCCAGAAAATTTTGGTGATGATTCTTAAGACAATAGGTGGCTAATTATGCTTCTGTATACCATAGAGTTTTTATTAGACAAAAACCAGTTTCCTCCGAGAGCCATTATTAACAGTGTACACACTTCCTCAAACTTAGTTTCATGATTGTAATGGGTGCTGCAAATGCATTTGCATTGTTGCAACAAGATGTGATGAGATAAATTGTTAAAACAAAATAGCCAAAATCCTTTTACTCACACTTTTAAAAAGATTTGTATTCCTTAAATGTAAAATGACTACCTAAATATTTGATGTAAACTCATTAAAGTCAAAGAGAACAAAAAAGAATTCAGTTTATTCCTGGGGTGCAGTGGTGGGTACCTGTGGCTCCAGATACTTGGGCAAAGTTGGGACACCATCTCCAAAATATAGGCTTGAAAAATTCCAGGTACCAAAGATGTGAAATTTAAGAAATGTTTCTGAGCTCCCTAGAGATGAATTTGGAGATGTAAACATTTCACCTGTTGCTCAGACCTCAGGAAGGATTGGTGTCATTTAACTGCAGGCACCTTTGAAGACACAAAGGTCCCCACATAATAGCCCCAGGGAACAATGGCACCCATGGTGGCTTAAGGCTGTAACCCTCCTGGCAGGGGCCATCTCAAAAAGACCTGGGAGTTAAATTTCATAGATTGTTGTGAAATTTATTTTATCAATATTACTAGGTAATATTGATAAAATTCCTCGCGGGCTTTTGAGAAACATTGCAAGTACCCTGGAAGGACACTAAAAGAGCAGAATGAAAAGGGGCTGTTGGGTCCCCAAATTCCACTGGCTGCAAGCAGGCTGAAGAAGCCACTTCACTACAAACAGAAGCCACCTGCCATGCAAAGGAAAAGAAAGCTCAGAGGACAGGGCAGAGATCTAAGAACAGGGCTCAGTGTCACGACCGTGATCAGAAATCGCCTGTCTGAATCCCGGGCTGGGTTTCAGAGGAGCTGTAGACCAGCGACTCCATTATGTTCCTTTATGTTCTTTTCCATTATGCGCAGGAATGTCCACCGCAGCTTTCCCACACTGATGCTATGAGAAGCCATGGGCAAGGCAGCAGTCAAGACATGGTCATCCCCACGCTTGCAAGGAGAAAGGACTCACTTCCAGGTTTGCCCACAGAATCGGTCACAGAGTTCAATTCCTTTGGGACCACCTGGCTCATCCCCTCAGAGTGCTGGGATTACAGGTGTGCACCAACCTTCTCGGCTTGTTTTCATTTCTAAAAAGGGCAAAACATGGGCCTGGCGGTAGAGCTCAGTGGTACACTGCCTGCTTAGCACGATGGTCCTGGGTTTGAGTCCCAGCATCTTAAATCAAATAAAAAGCAGCAAAATAATCCTATAATGCCCAGTGAAAACACACACATAACAAGACAATCAGACTTTCCAGGGGTGCTAAACATCCCTGTATGAGGAACAGGCAGAGACGAGAGGCGGGAATTAGGGCACAAAGGCATAGAATATAACAGAACATCCTGTATTTTTAAAAACGTAATTCAAGGCAAACATTAAGACTGACAAAATTGTTGCACACATGAGTATTTATGTTATCTTTATATTTTTATAGGCCTAAAGTTTTGCATTATAACACAAAAAAAGAGATTTCATGTGTCCCAGAGCCTAGAGTGCATTTTGGAAATTAGAGCATCTCATGTTGGATGAGTATACATTTCTGTGGGTTCAGGCTCTAACGTTCAGCGGGTCTGGGATTTTTCAGATACTATGATTCCCAAGCCCTCGCCCATGGTTTCAGTGAGACTGAGGAGAGGTGTCCATGTGGCCAGCTGGATGCAGCACGGTTCCCAGCCAGGGTAGCCCTAGGCTGCTCTCCAGGGGCTTGGGGGTATTTGGAAGTGGTGAGTCAGACCCTAAGCACCCTGCAGTGCACAGGACAGCCCAGCCCCAAGGGCCCCCTTCACGTTCTGCTCTCAGAGCAGTAGCAGCTGGGGCATGGAGTACACAGAGGAAGTGGACGCTGGCCACCTAGCCCTGCTGGGTGGCAGTCTGCCTTTCCGTGGGGCCACACAAGCCAGGCTTCATGGCACTGGGTCTACACAGCAGCAGCTTCTCTGGTTGTGGGTCCCTTCGCCCTAACTGGTGCTGTGTGGCTTCTCCCCAACCTTTCTCCTCCAACAACATTTGTTCCACGGTGTCTCTGGCTGCTCTGTTCCCTGTCTGTGCTCCCCCACCCCCTGCTTCATAGGCTGCCAATCCTCACGACTCCCCCACAGAAACTCTGGCAACCTCCTCCAGTCCTGCAAGTCTAAAGATCACTAGTGGAATGATCCCCAAATCCGTACCCACCTGGCCTTGCTCCTGACCCCTTGACCCAGCACCTCCTCTGTGGCTCTCTGGGCACATCTTTCTGCCACCTCTGGTCCAGACAAGACTCGAGGTTCCTACCTCCCACGTCACAGAGCCAGTGCCACAGGACATGGCACCACACCCTTAGTTCCTGGCTGCCCGACTCCTACCTGTCCTTGGCCCTCACCTGGCTCCCAATCCAGCACAATCCTTGAAATTGTGCTGGGAAAGCTCATAATAGGCTCATGCCAGCCTCAAGACAGCAGACATGTTCACCTGAACTCCACCCCATGGCCAGCCTGGACTGCCCCAGGAGGCTCCTATGTCCCCTGCCAGCTCATCCAAGCCGTCCCAAAGGGGACACTGAGGTGGTGAAACAACTGAGCTGGGCCTCTGTTTCAAGATGGAACAGACATATTGGAAAACTAAGAGTTTAAAAAAAAAAAGACCAGTCTTCAAAGCTACGAAATTCAGACAACACCGCAGGAGGTGGGAGGATGGAGTCAGCTTGGCTTGCAGAGACTGCTGATCCCAAGAAACCAGAAGACAAACTGATTAAGATCAAACCCGCTGAGGCGGTAGTGGTCTGCCCTGCTCCAAAATGCAACTGGGGACTTCCCCAGGCAAGGGGAGCAAATTCCAGCAGGCAAGGGACAAATACATGTGTAGAACAGTCACTAAACGAACACACATTGCCTTTATTTTGTTAAATTTTGTGGAAAAGCCACACCTGTGGAAGACAAGGCGGTGATGGACCAGTGAAGGGGCGTGGTGTGAAGCCTTCGGGGGCAGCTAAAACTCCCCCTTCGGAGACGACATCAAGAGACCAGTCTCTCCCTACCCCAAAGATGTCAGGAATGCTGTACAGCTTTGCCCTTTGGGTCAGCCTGTGACTCCTGTCCCTGTGGCTTTGCCCCTTGTGCTCAAGCATAAGTATCAAAGGCTTTGTTCTCCTGCCACTTGGTTCTGTCTGATTCCCCTGGGGGAGGGAAGAGGGAAACACAGAGTTGGGAACAGCGCCCTGTGCTTGACACCACCCCAAGGCTTCCCTGTGCTCTTGGATCAGCCCTTAACACTTTACCCTACCAGCAAGGTGTTCCTAGGCTGTTAGCCGCCTTTTTCCTCTCAGGGCAGGACAAGCCCAGTAACTGCCTCCCGCCCTGGGTATTGCCTCACCTTCCTGTTTGCTGGGAATGGAATGGACACTCTTGCCTCACTTGCAAGTATCTGACCCACCCACACCCTGCAGGCACTGACTCAGCCTTCTCCTCCTCCTCAGCTGCTCTCTCTCCATTTCCTGGTGATCACCTTGCGTGACTGGGGGCTTGACTAGTGCTGCCTCTCCTATGGGCACAAGTATTTGTTGATGTCTGCATTTTTCTGGAAATCATGGTCCAGTGTTCCTCAGGGGTGGCAGAGCAGGTGGCTTTTGTTCCCTGTGGTAGACTAGCTCCAGAGATAAGATGTCCTCCTAAGCTCTCCTCCTAAGCACTGTGTGAACAGTGACCTTATGGAGAAAAAGAGTCCTTGCAGGGGCAATGAACATAATGATGCTGGGATCGGGAGGTCATACTGCAGTATCTAGGTGGGTCCCTAAGCCAGTCCCAAGTGTTCTTAATAGATAGAGACCGATTAGATGTATGCCTGAGAAGACAGAGCGGGAGTCAGAGAGATGTGGCTACAAGCCTAGGAGGGCCAGCAGCCCTCTTATTTGGAAGAGGCAGGAAGGAACACCCCCCTGGAGCCTTTCGAGTGAGCACATGTCCGTGCCTTGATTTGGGGTTTCTGTCTTTAGAATTGTGGAAGGACATTTCCTGTTGTTTTCAGCCATTTCCTGCTAATAAATCCTTACCTCGGTCACAAGGAACTAATACAAAGCGTATGGTCAGAAATCTGATAATGATTTCACTTTCCATTTTACAAATTGTTATTAAGGTTGAGCATATTTTAATTTACATATAAACTATGTAGATTTCTTGTCAGTTTGGTTCCCTTCGAAGCAGATATATTGAGGTAGAACTTATGGGCCACAAGACCTTCCTGTGGAAAGGCATCAGCACCCCAGCGGGGACCAGAGGCCTCCTCAGTGGCCGTAAACTGTCTGTGGCTCTTAAGTGGGTCCTGCCAGCACTGCTCTAGCTGGATCCCCACATTCCTTTGCCAGAGTCACATCAGCATTTACATCTGAAGCTACCAAAGATTCAGGGTGAAGGGTTTGTAGTAGTCTGTGGCTCCGAGGGACCCAGCTCCAGTCACGACCAAGGGTCATCTTAGAAGTTCTGCCGGTTGGGACTGGGGATTTAGCTCAGCGGCATATGCGCCTGCCATGCAAGCAGGCAGTCGTGAGTTCGATCCCTGGTACCGGTAAAAAGGAAAAAGACAAAAAAAAAAAAAAAAAAAAGAAGTCCTGCTGGTGCACACAGGACCACCACATGTTCCTGCCAGGAAACCTCTGTGTGGACCTCAGCATGGAGTGTGTGTGATGTCTGGCTCAGGGAGGAGTGGGACAGTGTCAGACCCCCCTGGTGGGACAGGGGGTGGGGGTCTTCTGCTTCCTAGGACCTCAGAGGCACTCAGTGCCCATGGGACATTAGGAGCCAATGTTGAGCGGTACTGATTTTGTGCCAGGAGCTGTGAACTGCCTATGCTCTGTCCTGTGATCCTCTCAGTAACCAGGACACTTCCATTCTGCTTGTGCCTCAGAGGGGTTCAGCGGGTTTAAGGAACCTTCCAGAGACCACACAACAAGTAGGAGAATAAACAAAGAACTGAATGAATGTCAACCCTGGAGTGAGCCCCCTGCCCATAGGGGCTCCCCCTCAGCTGTCATCCTTTCTCTTGGTTACAGGCCCTCATCTGGCCCAGAGGCTCTGAAGGTGGGCGTGGAAGAGTAGAGGATTTAGTGCCGGGTCCTGTGAGGGCTTTAGGGGGAGGCAGCACTTGCTGCCAGGGTCTGGATGGTTTGCCTCTTGTTACCCTCTGGGGGACATCTCCTCATGGGTACCTCCCTGCAACCCCTCCGGCAGGCACTCAGAGCACCAGCCCACACCACCTTTTGCCTTTCTGGCTGTGCCAATGAGGCTGTGGAAACAGGGCAGCTCGGGGCAAGGGGGAGGTGGGTGTGGGGACACACCCCTGCCAGGTGTGGGCTGGGAGTCTAGTAGAACAGGTAGGTGACAAGGAGGAGCAGGTGATCGGCAGTGGCAGGGGCCACCTGGGCAGGAGCAGAGCTGGGCATCGGGAAGCAGAATGTCAAACAAGGGTGCGACCAAGTGTGAAGGCTCGGATCCCACGCCAGGGTACGTGGGGCTGCAGGGGCGAGGGCCAGGGGCAGAGGGGCCTTAGGACAAAAAGCCCAGGTTGGAATGGAGGCTGGGGAAATGGAATGTGGGGCCGCAGGAAAGGAGCATGACCAGAGCCCCAGGAGGGAAGACTGGGAAGAGGCCTGGGGCTCAAGGGTGACAGTGGACTTGGAGGCTCAGAGGAGAGAGGGCCAGCCCAGCTCTCGGGCAGCCTCTCAGAGTGACAGTTTCCTAATCCTGTGAGGTTTAATCAAAATGTTGCTTGCTTAGCTCCAAATGGCTACTTGCCCTCCAGCCTTTGTTCCAAGCTGCTCTCATTCCCTGTGGGAAACTCCTGGCTCCCATGGACTGTCAATCAGTCCAGCTGCAACGAGTTTCTCAAAATCAGTCCCTGCAGGGCCTTTGCACATGGTGGCCCCTCATCCCAAATTCCTGCACTGCCTCTCTACTGCCATCAGGATGGCTGATGGGTCTCTGGCCAGGTTCGGCAAGGAACCTGCGACGTATGGAGCCTGTCTGTAACTACAGTTGTGTACCAAGGCATATCTGAAGTTTCCACTTTGTATAACCATGGGCCCATAAGATTACAGCACGGCTAGGTGTGCAGGGGCCTGTACCGTCTCGGTTTGTGTGAGCACATGCCATGCCTCTTAATGCCTTTCTCAGCATGTATCTTATGAAGCAATGAAGAATATCATTAATGTTCAGTGTGGCATCTGAAGCAGTCACCTTATGTCCCTAGCCAGCCCCTGGCCCAGGAAGCCCGGGGTGCTTCTTCCCTGCTGTGGGGCTGAGGCAGAAACTGCTGTACAATCCCCGGCCCATGGGAATTTCAGGGACCTCAGCTCCTTCTGTCTGTCAGACACTGCAGGCACCTCAATTATTTTACCAAGCACCAGGTGTGCACAGGGAGGACCCAGGTGGGATTACCTGCCTCAGCTGGCAAAGGTGACCACACTAGAAACAGCATTCTAGGTTGGACACCAGGACCTCAGGTCCTCAGCTCACCCCAGACCCCTGACATACTCAGGCCCACGAAGGCGCCTGGTCCTTCTGGATGTGCCCTGCTCCCAGGCGTGCTGCAGGGAAGGCACTGCTGCATTCTGCCCTGTGCCAGAGTGACACCAAGGCTGCCATGGGGAGGGCAGGTGTGTCTGCAGGTTGGCTGGGGACTGCTTGGCACCTGAATCCTTCAGCTGGTGCAGTCTAACTAAGATCAGTGACCACGGCAGATGCATGTCCAGACATTCAGATGCACACAGACACACACAGGACTCATGGGTCATCCTGCCGGGTGATTGGTGGGGCCCTGGGCTGGGGAGCCAGACACAAGGCTGCTGTCACCATAAGGTGGTAGATGGTGTCCCCAAAGATATGGGCAACCCCAACTACCCGACTCATGCCACTTGTTCAGCAGGACTGACCCCTTTGAGGACATGGTGCGGCGGCTTCGGGGGGCCTTCAACTTGGGGCAGACTCGGCCTGCCGCGTTCCGGATGGCGCAGCTGGAGGGCTTGGGCCGCTTCCTGCGGGAAAATAAGCAGCTGCTGCACGATGGGCTGTTCCAGGACCCGCAGAAGGTGACCGAGGTGGGGGGAGGGGTGGGATAGCCAGACAGGAGCTGCCTTCTAGCTAGGCTGCACCATTCATAACACCCCCCCTGCCCCATCCCTCTGCTGAGGGACTTTGTGCCTTGACATGACTAGCTATGTTTCCAAATTTATTCCTGTGTTTTTTTAAACAGGCCTTTCCCTACCAGGTAGTGGGCCACAGGCAAATTACAGTATGAGCTCAGGAGCATGCACAGCCACCCTGAGAGACAGGCTGGATTGCTGTTCCCAGGTGCTAAGCACTCGGGAAACTGGGGCACTCACTTGCCCAATGCCACAAGTGGAACTGGAGCCCAGGCAGCCAGAGTCCAGGCTCCCAGCCTTGCATATTTCCCATGGGAGCACTGTGCTGCCCGTGAGACTCACTGGTGCCCTCTCCACACATTGGACCTCTGGCCAACCACAGGTCTGACCTCCCATTCCACCTCCTCCACAGTCACCCTTTGACTCAGACACATCTGAGATTATTCTATGCCAGAATGAGGTGGACCTGGCCATCAAGAACCTGCAGACCTGGATGAAGGACAAACCAGCAGACACAAACTTGGTGAGGCCCGCTGGGCAAGTAGTGGTACTGGAGGTTGGTGAACTGGGCCAGCTTGGCTCAGGCCCTTGCTGCCCCTGACATGAGGGAGAATCAGTCTTTTCTCCAGGGACTGCATCACCCAGGGAGCTGAGCACGGGGCTGGAGGATGGGTTTGGGGCAGTTCTCGGCAGGATCTCACAGTCCTTCCTGCACTCCAGCTCACAAAGCTGGACTGTGCCTTCACCCGGAAGGAGCCCTTTGGCCTTGTGCTCATCATCAGCCCCTGGAACTACCCTGTGAACCTAACCTTGGTACCCCTGGTGGGGGCCATTGCAGCAGGTAAGAAGAGGGTCCCAGGTCCTTTCCCCTTCCAGCCCAATAGCCCTGTGCAAAGAGAGCCCCAAAGACCCACATGTTTCAGGGCTCTCTGAGAGTATGGGGGCACCAGCATCCTCCACTGCTACCACATTGCCCCTGCAGGGAACTGCGTGATACTGAAGCCATCAGAAATAAGCAAGGGGACAGAGAAGGTGCTGGCCGAGGAACTGCCCCAGTACCTGGACCAGGTGAAACTGCCCTGCCCCTTTGACACCCACCATCCCCATATCCCTGCCCCTGCTGGCTGGGACATTGCTGTGCCCTGAACCTGCCCCTGAGCTGCCTCTGCATCTTGCAGAACTGCTTTGCTGTGGCACTGGGTGGGCCCGAGGAGACCCAGAAGTTGCTGGAGCACAAATTTGACTACATTTTCTTCACAGGTGAGAGTGGTACTGGCCAGGGTCCTGGGGCAGGGGACAGTTCAGGATGAGGTGGGAAGGAAGTGGAAGGAAGAGGCTGTAGTTGGAGGTAAAGAGCAAATCAAGAATTGAAGGTGTCCCAGGAGCAATCGGCAGGCAGGCTGACCATGACTCCCAGCATCCTGAGAAATTGGATCCAGGGATGAGTGGGCTGAAGACAGATCCAGTGGATGGCGCAGGCTAGGGCCAGGCCATGAAGGGTCTCAAAGGAAGAGCAGACCAAGTCATATGCCTGGACCATCTGGCTCAGTGATGGCGGACTTTTTATAATTTTTGAAAACACAAGCAGCCTGCTGCAACGCAAGCGTGCCATAGGTTCGCCATCACTGATGAGGTCTTCTGACGACATCCCCAGGGAGCTCCCGTGTCGGCAAGATTATCATGACTGCTGCTGCCAAGCACCTGACGCCTGTCACCCTGGAACTGGGGGGCAAGAACCCCTGCTATGTGGATGACAACTGTGACCCCCAGACCGTGGCCAACCGTCTGGCTTGGTTCCGCTACTTCAACACCGGCCAGACCTGTGTGGCCCCTGATTATGTCCTGTGCAGCCCAGAGACGAGGGAGCGGCTGGTGCCTGCCTTGCAGAATGCCATCACTCGTTTCTATGGTGACGACCCCCAGAATTCCCCCAACCTGGGCCGCATCATCAGTGAGAAACACTTCAAGCGGCTTAAGGGACTGCTGAGCTGTGGCCGCGTGGCCATCGGTGGTCAGAGTGACGAGAACAATCTCTACATCGGTGAGCCCCTCTCTCCTGGTTCGAGAGCACAAATGCTCCAGATCGCTGTGGTTCTGAGCCTGTGGCTTCCCAATTCTAAACTCTGGTATCCACAGCTCTGGGTTTGTTGAGCTCAGACCCCAGTTCTGGAGACCCAGAGTGTGATTTAAAGGACCTCTGTCCCAATATCTGCTGTCCCTTGAGAGAGGGATCCCAGATCCTTAGATCCTATGAGCCTGGTGTCCTAGGAGGTCAAATCCCTGGACCTTCTGCCCTAGAGTTTGGTCCTGGTCCTGCCCCTATGGGCCGTCCTGGTTACTCCGCAAGGCTGAGCCGCCCCTTTGCCCGCAGCACCCACAGTGCTGGTAGACGTGCAGGAGACAGATAAGGTGATGCAGGAGGAGATCTTTGGGCCCATCCTGCCCCTGATGACTGTGAGCAGCCTGGACGAAGCCATCGACTTCATCAACCGTCAGGAGAAGCCACTGGCCCTGTATGCCTTCTCTAACAACAGCCAGGTGGGGTCCAGTGGGCTGGAGGTGACAGAGGGGCCAAAATGGGTACAGATTGGCCAGATCCCCTTTTATACCCCTCCATGAGAGGAAGGACTTTAGGACAGCAGTCACCTCAAGGATGCCTATGACTTGGGATGCCTGGTACCACGGTGTCCTGCACAAGGTTGCCCACCGGAATGCTTTGGGCAGGGGCTGGCCAGCTGTGTGTCCTGCCCCAGGTGAGCTCCCTCTGTAAGAAGAAATGTTCTAGGGACTCTCCTCTGCCTGTGCTGTGTGCAGATTCTCCATGGTGAGCAGAGCCCAAATGGGGCTGGAGGCTGGCTCAAGGCTGGGACCCCACAGGGTGGTCACAGTGAGGCCTATGCACTTTCCCACAATGTCCCAACCAGACTGCTGGGCCTCACAGTCACAGGCTCCACTGGATGCTGCAGGGGTTCCTTTGAGTTTATATCGTGCTTGTAGCAATCACACCGTTCCTGAACTATCCCTGAGAAGGCATCGTCTCTTCTGAGATGCCTGCGGGAGGGCACTGCTCAGTGGTGGTTCCCTGCGGAAGCACTGCAGATGTGGTGGTCCTTCTGCACCCCGCCCCCCCAGGATGGTCAGGCATCCAGCCTTCCTTCCCAGTGACAGGAACACACTTCCACACCTCCGCCACTTCCCCAGGTAGTGAAGCAGGTTCTGGACCAGACCAGCAGCGGTAACTTTGGAGGCAACAGTGGCTTCCTGTACATGACTCTGCCAGGCCTGCCATTTGGAGGAGTCGGTGAGGCCCTGCCCTTCCTTGCTGTCCAGCTCCCCACCCCATCGCCCCTGGCTCAGATCTGCAAGTCTTTTCACTCGCTGTTCAACTCCAAGCCTCTGAAGGCGTCAGTTCCCTGTCTATTAAATGCTCTGTAGAATTTCCAGGCTTCTTGAGCTCACTGCATTTGAGGCTGCTGTGGGGGCCAGGCAGAGTCCTGGCCTCAGACACTCATTTCCTGTGCCCATGCAGGTAAAAGTGGGATGGGCAGGTACCACGGCAAGTTCTCCTTTGACACTTTCTCCAACCACCGTGCCTGTCTGATCTCTCCCTCGGGCCTGGAGAAGCTCAACGAGATCCGCTACCCGCCCTACAGTTCCCAGGCCCAGAAGCTACTGAGGTGGGCCATGAGGTCCCATAGCTGCACCCTTCTGTGACAGCCTGCCCATCTCTAGCACCCACCCCCTGGTGGTGCTGCTGGTGACTGCCAAGCCCCTGGAATGCCCAGTGCTGCCAACTGCTGTCTACCTTCTCAGTGGTCCCTGAAGACAAGTTCCAGCCCAGTCCATGAAGATCCCACTCCAGCGCCTTTTTCTGAACAGACCTCCAGCTTGAAGGACCTCTGGGTGGCTGGTCCACAGGACTGTCTGTACCACAGTCCCTTCTGCAGCCTCTTGTCCCTCTGCTTAGATAGGTAATTCCTGTACCCCAAAGTTTGCAAGTATCTGTAGCTAGAGAAGACTATAAATAGATGTATAAATGGAATCCCACAAGGCAGAACAATTGCTGACAGCTCCTTGCACACCTGAGGATGGGCAGGCCTGACCTATGGGAGACCACTATGAAGCAGCTCTGAGCAGGATTTACATTTTGCTAACTGGCTTTCTATGTTTATCTGTGAGTCTGTCCTAGGCCTAGGCCCTTGCCTGGCAATGGGAGCTGATTCATAGTGAGTAAATCTTTATGAATCACTGGTTCTGGCTGAGGCCTGTAGTGGCCTGTGAGGCCAGAGATACCTCAAAGGGCAAGATAAGGCCACAGCTGCAGACACTTGGCTCCAACCCCAATTAACAAGGTAGAGACTGCAGCTGCAGGAATTATTCTTACAGTCTCAATCCTACCATAAATGTCATCTTCGAGATAAGATGATTCTCCTAAATTGGCATAATTTACTACTTGGAGATGTCCTTGAAGTGACTCCGAAGGTCCTGCTCATTTCCCATGCTTTCCTCAGTTTCCCCACCTTTTGTCCTTGGTCCTAATAAAAATGGGCTGGTCCAGAGAAGTCTTTGTCTTAGCCCTCAGAGTCTTGAGCTCAGCTAAAGGGTTTTGACCCTCCTGGAGCCCGAAAGCCGTACAATTTGTCTCTTTTTATTTAAACCTGCGCTGTACACTCATTTGGGAGATCGGGGATCTAGGTCAGGACCCAATACTGACCTGATGTCATCTGATCTGACATCTAGATCTGGCCCACGGTGGAACCTGCCTACAGTGTGTCATTGACTAGCACGAAGCTGTGTGTGGGACCAAGGGGAAGGAAGGTCCAACTCACTCATCAGGTCTGCAGTGGGCACAGGCAGGGGATGTGCCCATGGTGGCCTCCTCTGTCCTCCCTGCTCTCAGCTCCCAGAAGGTGGGCTGGGCTGGCAGAATCTAATGCTGATGACTTCATCTGATATTCGAGGAAACTGAGGTCTGAGAGCAGGACAGGGTTGAGTTGACAGGAAAGCAGGACAGAACGGAATGATAGTGAACTACTGGGAAGCATGGGGAGGAGGGGTCTGGCCCCTGGGTCATTCCTGCTGGCCCTGCAGTGGCCGCACAGGGTTTTCAGTGTGTCCCTGAGGAGGCAAAGAGGCATCTGACCTGCCAGAGTGCCGTGGACTGAACACCTAGTTAAGACTTCTTAGTGGACAATGAGAGTCATGAAAGCAGAAACAGAGTCTAGCTCCCTGGAGGGTCCCCAGTCCCACAGCGCTGATTCCCTGGGGGGTGCCTATGAATGAGTGAAGTGGGGTGTTGGGGAAAGAGGCAGAGATGGTGCCAGTTCATTTTTGCTGCCTCCTGACCATGCTCCTTCACAGCCAGGTCACAAGCCCTCTGAGAAGGGGGCTGAGTGTCCCCACTCGGGTGACTTCAAGCCAGGCCCTGGCCCTGAGAATCAGCCTGTTGAAGCATCGGGGCAGGCCCTGTTCCTGCAGGTCTCCAACTTGGCGTGCTCGGAGTTCAGCTCCCAGTGGATCCCTCCAGCAAGCCCCTCTTTCTCCCTATGCCTCTGTGCCCTCGCTCCAGACCATCCCAGTACCTCAGCCCCTACATGCCAAATCAGCCTGCTGTCCCTTCCACCCCACTCATGTGGGCGGCATCTTCTGAATGAAGCCGAGTCTCAGCAGAAGCAGAGCCACCACTCTGCCTGGCTGTGCCCTCTTGGCTGGCTGCCCGGGATTGGAGTCCATCCAGCAGCACTGCACCTCTGGAAAAAGCCCTAGATCGTTAGGTGGCTCCTAGGACCGAGGCCTTGGCACAGGCCACAGGGTCCTGCAGGACAGGCCCTGTGACACTGTGTTCCCCAGCTTCTCAGAGTTAGCTTTGGAACCTGATATGAGAGCCCACAGAAAAGGAGGCAGGGTGAGAGGCTGCTCGCGCCCTTGGGTCTGGGATGTGAACTTGGGAGCCCCCTTCAGGTCAATGGGAGGCATTGCAGTGGGGAGGATGGAGAAGGACCCAGACCAGAGCTGGGTTGTCCACAGTTAGAAGTGGCCCAGAGAAGCCAGTGGAGGACAGCTGGTGTCGTTTCTCTGCCATGGGGTGAGGTTTAGGGGCCTAGGTGACGTGGAGAGAAAGCAGCCTCAGGGACGTGGAGAGAAAGGCAGGACAGAGGCAGAAAGCAGGGACCACGCTGAGTCAGAACTGGCCTGCAGGGTGGAAGGTGGGCAGGGGGCTCCCAAGTCGCTCAGCCACCCTTCCTGGGCCACAGGTCCTCTTGGGTCAAGCTTCACAAATGTGGAGTTGGCTGAGGGTTCCCCAACTGGAGTGAAGATGATCCCCAAGGCACACTGTCCTGCGCCTGCACCATTGCGGGTGCTCTGCCTGTCCTGTGTCACCACTGCTCACCGCTGAGGCTGGGACAGCCTCACCCACTTCCTAGGCAGGAGCTGAGCACTGACTCTCTCCAAGCCACACAGCCTGTTAGGATAGGTGAGTTAGAACCAGGGGAGCCCTCCTGTTCTACAAATACCCACCCAAGCCGGGAAGCTTGATTCTAGCCAGAGGACATGAAACCCTCTTCAGAGATGGGGGGTCCAGCAGCACCTGTGGTCCCCAGCAACGTCCAAAACAGCCAAGTTTACTTGGCAGGCTGTTCTCTCCCCAAAGGCCCCAAATGAGTCAGCAGGATCTCAGCAGCCTGTGTGGACCCCTGGGATAAAGACCAATGTTTCAGAGTCAAGTAGCAGAGCCCGGGGGCCCCTTCCCAGAGCACAGAGGGAGCGGGCAGGGGCAGCAGGCTCACCTCTGGCTCCCTCCATCACCACCTGGCACGCAGGGCAGTATCTTGCCCAAGACGTTTTATTTTCCACAGTCTTAGCTGCCCGCAGGGCTGCTGCTGCTGCTAAACGGTTTGGTGACCCTCAGCAAGGGCCCTTCACAGAGGTTTCCACGCCCTCCTGGATACCCTCACAAGGTGCAGCTATCCCAGTGGAGCAAGGACAAGTCACGGGGCCCATGACCCCCAAGCTGAGTTTAGGGAGCCCACATTGTGGGGCAGAGAACAAAGGGCAGGCACAGACCACACGCAGAGCTGAATGTGAGCCGAGCAGCTGCAGGCAGAGCCAAGCCAGAGGTGTGCAAAGCCCTGGGCTGGCCACTGGCCTGTCTCAAGTGAGGTCCAAGCAGGTCTGGGACTTGGGCCTGGGTACAGGAAGGAATAGGTACAGCCTTTTGCCCAGTGACCTCTGGATCCTTTGGTATCTGCCAGCAGACAACTGACGATGGGGAAGGGACCAGCATGTGGGCTGGATCTTTGGTCCTTTACCCTTGCCCCTTGAGAGCCAGCAGAGAGAAGATGAGGTCAGACTGGACATGCTGGCTGCAGATCTCCAATGTGCTGGGCCTCTGTGCATTCTGTCTGAGCTTCAACTCAACTTCCACATCTGTAAAGTGGGCCTGTGGGTCATTTGCTAAAACAGAAAAATGGAGTAAGTTTAGCTCTACTCTCCCTAGAATGACTAAATGTGCTGGGTGAAACATTTTGAAGTTTTGGTTTTTTGACATAGGGTCTTGCTTTGCAGTCCAGATTGGCCGTGAACTTGCCATCCCCCTTCCTTGGTCTCTTGGGTGCTGGAATTATGAAGACATATGAAGTTTTGTTTAAAGCATCAAAGAATCATAAAGCTCAGAGCCCACAGGAGGCACAGCCTTTAGGGCAAGGGTGACTCCAGCCTTGTGGAAGCTGCAAGGACTGAGGTGATAGCTGAGACGGTGGGGAACTCCCCATCCGGGGTGCAAAACAAGGCCCATACCTGTATAGGAAATTTCATGGCATGGTCTGGTAGCCAAAACCATGTCACTGTCAAATAGTCAGCCCACCTCTTAGTAGCCTTAGGGAAGGCACCTCTCTGGCAGGACACAGCTGATCAGCCAGTGGCACCTGGGCCACTCCCTAGCTGTTACCCTTGACTGCACGCTGTGCAGTGACCTCTGAGCTAGCAGTCAGCAAAGCCGGATCCTCCTGGGAAGGCTGTTGTTCAGGTCTTGAAGAATCCCTAGCAAGTAACTCTCCAAGGCTACAGCGGCCCCCAGCAGGAGTCCAGAGAGGCCCTTGGAGGCAGGGTTAGAGGAGGAAGAGAGCAAGGACAGGAATCTGTCTGTGGGACCTGAACCATTCAGGCTGTGGCGCATGGGGTAGAACGACCTTTGGCCATATGGACCTCAGCCCACATCACTCACCCTTTGCTCAACTCAGTACAAATACTTCATGCCTGGTGATCTTGGGCACACAAGCACTGTGTGTCTAGGGGCAACACTGCAAGCCCCGGTGACTTGGAGGAGCCCAGACGCTCACTGGCAGGTAAGGAGCCTCCTCCCAAAGGTCCCCTGTGCCAGCTCGGAGGAGCAGAAGGAGTGGCTGAAAGGTACAGGGGTTGCCTGGAACCCAGACATGCTACAGCTAGCTGGTGCAGTGCACTCCACTCCCTATGTAGGCCTCAACTTTCCCACCTGTGAAATGAGCGCAGACCTCCTCCATAGAAGGTGTCCCTGGGCTTCTCTCCAAAAGGGGTAGAAAGTGGTCTCCCCAGAAGAGAAGAGGAAGGGCAATGCACCCTCAAAGAATGCTCCAAAGGAGGGACTTCAGGCAGCAGGCAGGACACATTTCAGGATGGGGGTGCCCTTGAGCTGTGCCTCTGCGGTGCAGACGGGGCCTCGCTGAAGCCAGCCACACCTCTGGACAAACAGCTGCCCTGCCCAGCTTGGGCTTCTCAGGCCTTGGAGAGCTCACCACCACTGACCCTGCTCTGGGCACTGAGCCCTGAGCCTGTGCTGGGTCTCCTACGTCTGTCCACCCACCAGGTGTCCCCATGTCACACAGGGATGTGCTCTCTGCCTGTGCCCCAGGAGCCCCTGCGCCGTGTTGCTGTGACCGGGGGCACCCATGGCAATGAGATGTCTGGGGTCTACCTGGTGCGGCAGTGGCTGCGGACCCCCGTGGACCTGCAGAGACCCAGCTTCTCCGCTGTGCCCGTGCTGGCCAACCCAGCAGCCACAGCTGTCTGTCGCCGCTACATAGGCCGCGACCTCAATCGCACCTTCACCAGCACCTTCCTGACGTGAGTGCCACCCCTGCAGCTGCCAGCAGGCCCTCCCTTGCCTCTGCTCTGCTCTCGCTTCCCCTCTGCCTGTGCTTCCTGGTCTTCCCTTTTCACTTTAGAGAAGTCTGGATCCATGGCTCTCCATTCCTGGACCATAGGCTGGGTCCAGGGCCCTCTGGGTTTCCCGGACATCAACCTGCCCTCCGAGCAGCCTCACAAGCTATGTTTAGTGATCTGTGCTCCAGGCACTGCCCATGCCTCCTTTAAGGGGGTGCTCCCATTCCAGGCTAGGCCCTGGCTAGTAGGTGAGACAATGGGGTATAGCACTAAGTGTTGGCCTCAGTTGTTGGGTGACACAGAGAGGAGCTGGGCAATCCCAGCACAAGAGGCCAAGTGAAGGGATGGGGAAGGCACACACAGCATGTAGCAAGGTCATCAGCAGCCAAGGAAGACTTCCTGGAGGAGGTGGCTTCTCAGCCAAGTCCTGGAAGTGAGTAGAGGTTAGCTAGGTGGAAGGGAAGAGAGAGCACAGGACATAGCACACACAAAGGCCTGGAGGTGCAACCAGCACAGTACTCGGGGGACGTGAAGGATGGGTAGCAGCCCCAGCCTAGGGCCAGCATTTCATGGGGAACTAGGAAGCCAAGGAGGGCACGGGCACGGGCACGGGTGGAGGAGGGGCCCCAGGCCCGCGCTAAGTGTCTCCTGCCAGCTGCAGGAGCCCCTTCCCCAGTGGTACCACTGCAGACTGATTTTGCCTACTGGGTTATGTCCCCTCCTGCCCTACAGTTCCAAGGCCACCCCAGATGAGCTGTACGAGGTCACAAGAGCCCGGGAGTTGAACCACCTGCTGGGGCCCAAAAACTCCAGCCAGGCCTTCGACTTTATCCTCGATCTGCACAACACGACTGCCAACATGGGCACTTGCTTCATTTTGAATGTCACAGACACCTTTGCCATGCACCTGTGCCACTATCTGCAGGTGGATTGAGTCTTTTCTTGGGGGGGTTACTGGGGATTAAATTCACAACCTTGCACATGCCAGGCAGGAGCTTGTGCCACTGAGCTTAATCCCTGGCGATGGCTCCAATCTTATATAGTCACCAGAAGGCAGCAAGAGGGCAGGTGGGGAAGAGGAGAAGGAGCCCAGACTGCACTGGCCCCTCTCCCTGGGTTAATTTCCCCTGAGGGACAGTCCCAAGGCCACCACCTACAGGACCTTGGCTAGGCCAGAGCAGGTGGTGCCCAGTACTGCTCTGCCCTACCCCAGTTTTCCCTCCCAAGTAGACCTGGGTCCCTGATCTGCCCCTTTCACCACCAGCTGCAGAACTCCGAGCCACCCTCCCGGGTCTTGGTCATCGAGGCATCAGAAGACACAACATTCAGCGTGGACTCGGTGGCCAAACACGGAATGAGTGGGCTGCGGGCTCTGGGAAAGTGGGAGGGTCCGGATGAAGGGGGCAGGGCTGTGGTGCAGGAGGTGTGCCCAAGGGTCAGGGAGTGTGCTACGGACCAGGGGGTGGAGCCTCTCAGTGCTAGGGCTTCAACATGGGGCTTGAAAACTCTTGAGATGCCAATGTGACCTCTTTCCTCACGGTCCCCAGCCGTGGAGTTAGGTCCCCAGCCTCAGGGCGTGCTTCGGGCCGACCTTTTCTCCCGGATGAGATCCTTGGTGGCCTCTGTTCTGGATTTCATCGAGCTCTTCAATCAGGGTGAGATCCTGAAGCACGGAAACTGAGGTCCAGAAGGAGAACTGGCTTCCAGACCCCCAAGGGAGATAAGGATTGTCACATCTGCCTCCCATGTAGGTGCGGCCTTCCCGGCCTTTGAGATGGAAGTCTACAAATTCCTGGGCTGCATGGACTTTCCACGCTCAGAGGATGGAGACCTGGCTGGTATGGTGCATCCCCAGCTCCAGGTACATTGGGCTGTAGAGCTTCCGAGGTCACTGCTTGGGGGTGTCAGGGGAAGCAGGCCCAGAGGGAGGCACTAGGCCCTGCAGGGATCCTCAGTCCTCAGAACCCGGAGCAGAACAGGGGGCTTTTGTCTTCCCAGGGACCCCTCATACTCAGGCCCCGCACCGGGGCATAGTAACCCTTGTGGCCTCCTTGGAGGACTGGGGGTGGTAACGGAGGAGGAAGGACATGTGGCGCAGGCCCCGCCCAGTTTACCTGCAGAGACAGAAGCCCCTCTTCAGTTTCCAGCCCATCCCTGAGTGTCCCTGTGCCTGCGAGCCGTAGTCCAGCATGCCCTCTCCCTGCCTTCCCTCCCCAAATGTTCCAGGGTGGAAATCCTCCTCCACCAGGCAGAGGGTCAGTGGCTGAGACTTGGTCGCTGCCAGCTGCTGCTCTGTTTGCTGCCCACAGGCCCCCATTGAATGGGGTCTTGTGCAGTTTCTGGGCCTCTAAGCTCTGCAAACTTAATTTTGAAATGTTATGTTACTTGCAATGACATTCTGGGGTAAGGACACCATCCTTTCAGTGTTTGGGGTGGACGGTCTTAAACCATCTACTTTGCAGATGTTAGTGGTCATTTTAGGTCACTTATTTTAAAAAGCACAATCATGTAGCCTGGTGTGGGGGGAGGGCAGCACACCTACAATCTCAGCTACTCAGGGAAATCGAGGCAGGAGGATCAAAAGTTCAAGGCCAGCCTGGGCAACTTAGCAAAATTCTGTCTCAAACTAAAAAATAAAAAGACTGTGGATGTACCCTAGTGAGAAGGCCCTGGGTTCAATTTCCAATGCTAGAAAAAAAAAAAAAGGACAATGACCAGTCCCTGTATAACAATTCAGTGACATTATGGTCGTCTTAGTTTATGTAAGTGTACTCTGATGTTTCCACAATGACAAGCACACCTAACAGCACATTTCTTGGAACTAACCCTGTCATTAAGTGACACCGACTTAATATGTAACTGTGTCAGGCACACTTTAAGTATTATTAACTCACTTAGTTTAGAACTCAGGATGATAGGAGAAGTCACCCCTGGTTTACAGACAGAGAGGATAAGAAACCCAGGACTTAAATAGACAGGTTAGACAGCAAATAAGAATCCGAACCCAGGCTTGGAGCGCTGAAATGTCTGTCCTGTAACCATGAAGCCACACTTCTGTGCTGATAGTTGTTCTTCCAAGCTGACTGAAGTCTCTGTTTCTAGACATATGATAAGGTGGCATGTCACTAGATACCTTGTCACACGAACCAAGGAAGGAAAGTTTGAAGGGGCAAGGCTGTGGACGAATGGGCATCTCTTGGGCACCACTAGCTGGGGTTGTGGCCCTGCCTCCGGCCAAAGGGAGCAGCTTGGCCCCAGCAACCTTGGCCTTGGCTACATCCCCAGGACCAGGATTTTGAGCCTGTGCAGCCTGGTGCACCCATCTTCCAGCTGTTCAGCGGCGAGGACATGCTCTATGAGGGGGACTCCACCATGTACCCTTTGTTCATTAACGAGGCTGCCTACTATGAGAAGAACATTGCCTTCATGAAGTCAAAGAAGCTCACGGTCTCAATACCCGCCTTGCCCGTGCTGACCCCCAACCCCACCCCACTAACCTAGCCATACCCACCTGGCCTCAGCCTTCCCATCTGAACAGTGGATGCTGAGTCACAGGGCTGAGCTCCTTGTCAGGCTGCCTAATGCCAGGCCTCAGTTTCCTGTTATAAAATGGAAAACCATCAGGGGCTCATGGCTCATGTCCTCTGTCATACATGCCCCTCTTGGGCTAGGAAAATGGACAGATGGAGCGGGTTTGAGCAGGTCTAGCCACGTATGCTGTGTATCCTGGGGCCAGTGCAGCTGTCTCTGTGCTCATGATTGTTCACAAATGCCTGGAGAAAGATCCTGTGCTGTACTGAGGACCCAGAGGATGACTGTCTTAGTCCCAGGAGAGGGGCTTCCAGAGACACAACTCTGAAGGCCTTGAGTCAGACGGTCCTGGGCTAGAGGGTCAGCATGGGAGAAGTGTTCCTGCATGTACACGTGTGTGTGTGTTCATGCCTGTGCCTCCCCAGAGTGCCTGCTGGTGTGTGTACATTTTCTCACATGCACGTGTTCCTAGGAGCTCTACCACCTTGGGTGCTCTTCTGAGGAGCCCAGATGTGTATTTCCCAGTGTTTAATCAGCTCCATGCCACAGTGGTTCAGGGGGCCTCAGGGCTGGGGCTGGGGACATCCAGAAAGTTGTGCAGCTGTCAGAGCACCAGAGAGGTGCCCAGGGCAGGAGAAGAGGGAAGTTGATGCTCCCCGCCATCACCTCCACCATTTCCAGGTCTCCTACTCCAGTGTCAGAGGTAGGAGCTGGCACAAGGTCCCCTCTGTTCTCATCCAGGTGCCTACAGGGCATCCACAAACTAGGCAGGCCAGGATGAGGCCTGGCCAGAGCCCCACCCTGCCAGGCAGAGTGCAGCTCAACAGCCAGGGAGGCACAGTCCAGAGCTCCACCCTCTCAGCCTCACTCCTCTGCCCCCCCCCACACCCCCTGCCTGGCCATCCATCTCCCTGCGGCCATAGCTGCTACACCACTGCCTCCTGGTATTGAGCGGCGAGATGAGAAGGTGTGAAGGATGCTGGGGCACCAGGGACAGCCTGGCAGACAAGATGGATGAGGGGGCAAGGGGCCAGGAGGTGCCTCTGGCAGGAAGGGCCGGCCAGCAAGGAGGGGCAGGCGTGCATGCAGATGTCCCCATCACATGAAGGCATGCCCGCCCATATCAGGAGGTGAGAGAACCCCCGGCTGGCCCACCCATGAGACTGAGCTGAGGAGGAGCCACTGAAAATGGGGTGAAATCCCAGCGCCTCTCTTCCCCAGCCACCATACTGTGAATCTCGGGACAAGGTGGCATGGTCACACTTTCTTGGTGGCCCCTGGGAGCTGCTGGGACTCACCTCTTGCACACCAGCTGGGCATTCCCATTGGGCCAGCCTGCTCTCTCAGTATGGGACCCTCCCAGCTCTGCAGGTGACAACCTGGGGTATGGGGGGCTGAGCCACAGGGAGGAGAGGGTCTCACAGCCTGAGGCCCTGGGAGGGTCTGGAGCGTCCGCTCAGAGGGAAGCAGCCCCTCCAACGCTGAGACACTGAGGCGCTATGGCGCGTTCTTTTCAGACATCTTAGCTGGCACCTGCCTCTCCAGGGGAGCTTTGACCTTTGCAGAGAACATGCAGCCTGGCCTGGGATGCTGCCTCTTGGTGTGAGCTGACCTAGGACAGTCCATCCAGGTGGCTTACTCTGGGCCGCTGGGCACAGGTCTGAGAGCTCCCTCAACCTCAACCAAAGGATAGGCATTGGCTTAAGGAGCACCCCACCCTCTCTGCCTCCCAATGCCTGGCTCCAGGACATGCAGGAGCAGCTTGGGGAAGGTGCTCGGTGAGGCTGGAGAGGCACAATGGGCAAAGCAATGCTCTCCCAAGGTCTCAGACCTGGGTCAACTCAGAGTCTCCACTCTCCCAAGGACACAGTCCCCAGCTCCAGAAGGGGAAGGCTTACTGCTCCCCAGGCTGGGCTGGACCACCCCGGGTGGAAGGGATTATGCACTGAGGTTTGTCAGGGAAACTGAGGCACAAGGACAGCCAGGGACCAGCCATTGTTTCCCTGTTCATGGGGCTGAGCTGTCAGGAGGGCTGAATTCCTTCCCACCTGGATTGGGGCTCCATGATCTGCTCTTGGTGTCGCTGGCTCTGTGTTTCCATACCCCTTCCCTCCCCCACCACACCCACAGGCCCCGATGGCAAGCCCGGTCTGGGGGTCTGGATCTTAAAGGGAGGGCACCACCTCTGCCATTCAGTTCTCATCCGCCGACACTATTGCTGCTTCCCAATCTCCCTAAGGCCTCGTCAGCCCCAGCCCCTCCAGCCAACCAGGCCTGGGCCCCTGTGGACACCCAGCCATCCTTAAGATGGGGACCCCGCCTCCACCTGTGCCTGGGCCCATTGATCAGGAATAGCTGGGGGGCTCTCAGCTGGGAAGAGAGGAAGCTGGGAAGGGAGACTAGGAAGGGGGGCGCCTTGCCACGTCAGAACCTTCCCACCTGCCCCCTCCCACATGGGTCCGCCCCAGTTGGTGGCCCAGCCTCAGACACTGCAGTCTGAAGGTGGCTTGGAGAAGAGTCCAGCACACTCCAGAGCCGGGAGCTCATCTGTGAAGATCAGGTGCCCAACTCAGCTGGGAGAACCTTAGCCAGGGGACGTGGACAGAGGGCAATCAAGGAGGGAAGCACAGTGCTGCAGAGACCAAGGATCAACCGTGCTTGCCTGGGACTGAGCTGAGGTGCTGCAGACAAGCAGACCAAGAGCCTCTGACCATCCCTCCTGGCAGGCGGGGCTCGAGTGGCAGCTGTACCCTGGCCCAGCTGAGAGGTTTTCTCCAGGAGGTGGATATCCAGATTGTCCCCATGGCAGGTATGGTCTGGACAGCACAGGCGGCTTCAGGATGAGCTCAGACTCCAGGGTGGGTGGGGCAGAGCTGATGGAGATGGGGCAGGAGGGTGAGGCAGGGGTTCCCCAGGCTGTGGTCTCAGAAGGGCTGGTAGTCTCTCAGGTGCACTTATGGGGTACCAAGACGTGCCGGAGCTGTGCCACTTCGGGGAGATGAGAGTCCCATTAGGTGTGTGTGAACTTGTGCCTGTCCCTTGCCCTCTCTGGCCTCAGCCTCTTGAGCATCAAGAGGATGCTGGGCAAGAATCCTAAAACTTCCCTTCCAGACCAGGTGCTCCAGTTCCCTGAAAATTGTCAGCTCTGAACTGGCTTCTAGAGGTTTCGAGCAGAGGACTGTCCTCTCCTCTGCTGAGGGGCAACAAATGACTAGAATGGCAGAGGGTGACCCATAGAAGACCTGGGGCCCGTGACCATCTGCAAAGCTCCCAGGCCAGGGGAAGCCATGAGCTCTTCTGCTTTGGGACCCACCTCCAGGGACTTTGGGGGCTGGCGAGGCAGCTCAGCAGGTGGCCCTAGGTCATGTGGGCATCAGCTCATCCAGGCATCCTGTGCAGAGTCCCCAGACCTGACATCTCATCCATGGGTCTCAGTGATGCTGAGGGCATGGTCCCAAACCTTGGACTCCACACTCAGCAGGCACCTACTAAATGCCAGCTCTGGCCAGGAACTGCCCCCTGGTACATCAGACATGGTGGCTCCTGGAATCTCCACCCTCTGTCTGCCCAGCACCTGACCTCCTGCTCTGCTCAGGGATGACTGTGATTTTATGATCGAGTCAGCGCCTCACAGCCACTGGGCGAGGCACTGCTGGAAATGCGAACCTTGTCCCCCGACTCCTGGCCTCTGCGCTTTCTATGGTCCTGCCAGAGCCTCAGTCCCTCATGGGGCACTGGGAGCTAATAATACCTCTACTTTTCAGTTCTCTTCCCTTTTAAAATTTCAGGATGTCGTAAAACGCATGTAACAGAATTTACCATTTTAACCATTTTTATTTTGTAGCGTGGTGGCATTGAGTACATTCACATTGCTGTGCTACCAGCTCCAGAGCTTTTTGTAGGTTGCAAAACTGAAACTCTGCATCTACTGAGCAGCCCTAGTTCCCCCTTCTTTCCCTTCTCTGTGACCTCTCTCAGGGCCTCTCATAAGAAGAATCCTACAGTCCCTTCTGCGTCTGGCTTTTTTCACTCAGCGTAAGGATTTCATGACCCCTCCACGCTGCGTGTCACAGCATCCCTCCTTTTCAGGGTGAATGCTTTCCCACTGAATGTCTACCCCACCTCTTATCTATCTATTCATCTGTCCATGAACACAGGTTGCTTCTACGTTTTAACTTCTGCAAACACCCCCACTCTGCTCGGGGTGTTCACTTACCTTTCATCATTTGTGTAGAGGCTCAGAAGTGAAACTGCTGAATCCTGTGCTTACTTTTTGCTTTAGTACCAAGGATCAAACCTGGCTTCACTCTACCATGGAGCTAGCTAATCTCCAGCCCTTTTAATTTATTTTTTAAAAATGTTTACACAGGGGCTAAGTCACTCGGTTGCCAAGTGGCCTCAAACTCTCCATCCTCCTGCTTCAGTCTCCCCTGCTTTTTCATATTTCAAGGCATTGCTCACCGGCTTCCACAGTGGTTGTTCCCTTTTGCATTTTCACCGACAGCACAATGAGGGTTCCAGTTTCTCCACGTCTTCACCACTTGTTAATTCTTCTCCCCCTTCTTTTCTTTTCTAAGCAGCCATCTTGATTCTGATTATGGTCTGGAGGGTGTCAAAGCTTTTGGCCAGATTATGTCCAGACTGCATAGCAAGACAGGACCTGAAGGGAAGAGTGGAGAGAGGGAATGAAAGCTGCTGAGCCTCTGGAGGCAGGATCTGGGGGTGTTGCCACGGTCTGGGGCGGGGCTCCCTCAATCCAGTTCTCCTGCAGCAGCACCAGGAGCAGGGGCTCCGCAGAGCTTGGACAGCTGCCCCTTCCCGTTCCTGCAGCCTCTGTAACAGGTGTCATTTAGGAAGGGCCGGTGTGCTCCAGGTCTCGTGTTACCACCAATGCTCACGTCAGCCCTGTGAGGACCCCGTGACAGGTGTGGAAACTGAGGCTCCAGGAAATGAAGCGATTTGCCTGAGGCCTCATAGCCAAAGGATGGCTCAAAAATTCCCCCTGGGGAGCAAGACAGGTCCCGCCTCCACTCCCTAGGAGCTTTCTGGAGAAAAGCTTTAAAGTGAACCTTAACATCACCAAGTGGAACACAGGCCCGGCAGGCAGAGAGGGCATCCCGGAGGAAAAGGCATGTGGGGGCAAACCTAAGCCTGAGGGCTGGCTGGGTGATGACTGGGGCCCACACTACAACCTCTCTCCCCAGCCTTCCTGTCTGCTGGCCTCGGTGTGCTCACACCCTCAGAGACCTACTCTGTACCTGTGAGCAGCTCCAGCTGGGAGCCCCCACTGGGGACACCATTCCCATCAGGGCCCTGTGCCAGTTCATCAGAGGCTGAAGCCGTGGCTGAGCCCCCTGGCCAGAGTCCCAAGAACCCACGAGTGTCTAGTGTGACGGTTCAGCTGGAGATGAAGCCTCTGTGGGAGGAATTCAACCAGCTGGGCACTGAGATGATTGTCACCAAGGCAGGCAGGTATGGCCATGGGCAGTGGGGCAGGGCAGGGCAGGGGCTAGGGCTGGGGTCACTTCTGGGCTACTGAGCATCTCGCTCCTGCAGGAGAATGTTCCCCACCTTCCAGGTGAAGATTCTGGGCATGGACACACTGGCCGACTATGCCCTGCTCATGGACTTTATCCCACTGGACGACAAGCGATACAGGTCTGGGCCAGCTGGGATAGTGGGTGTAGCTCTGGGGCACCGAAAACAGGAAGTAGATCTGTGGGACCCTGGCCTAGTGGCAAAAGGGAGTCCCAACTCAGGGCAGCGGGCCAGCCTGGGAGAGGGAAGGGGTCCTGACTCGGGCCAGCCAGGGATGCTGCAGGGAACTCAGAGCTGGCGGTATCCTCTGAGGCTTGGTTCCTTGTCTGCAAGATGCCCTCCAGGCCAGGTGGGGTGGCAGCCCCTTTGCCCAGGAGTAGTGGTGGGGCCTGGGTGGGGCAGCCCTCAACACCTTCCTCTGCTCCCAGGTACGCCTTCCACAGCTCGGCCTGGCTGGTGGCAGGCAAGGCTGACCCAGCCACGCCTGGCCGTGTGCACTTCCACCCCGACTCACCGGCCAAGGGTGCCCAGTGGATGCGCCAGATCGTGTCCTTCGACAAGCTCAAGCTGACCAACAACCTCCTGGATGACAACGGCCACGTGAGGCCTGGGCCGTCATGGGAGGGACTGAGCTGGGTAGGGGATGGAGATGCTGGGCCCTGACGGTGATAAAGCCTAGGGCCGGCTTGGGCCCAGTCTTCACATCCAGCAGCCCTGCCCGCTGCTAATGGTGAAGCTCACTTGGCAGCAGCCAGAAGGCACACAGATCTGTCCAAGCAGGAGGGCAGTGGGCTGGGGTTGGAGGAACGGACTGTATGGAAGACCTGACATAGGCCAGGCTCGTAGGTGTCAAAACAAATCCCGGTTGACTCTTTGTCACGCTCATGGCTGGGGTCAAGGGCAGATACTAAATTCCGTCACAGATAGTGACAAATGATAAGCAGAAACAGGAGCCAGGGGAGCGGGAGGCAGGTAAATGAGGCAATATTTGAACTGAGACCTGAGGAAGTAATAAAAAGAGGGAATCTATGCATATGAGAGGGGTAGCTGCTCTAGGTGCAGGAAACAACAAGTGCAAAGGTCCTGAGGCCGGTGACTGTAGAGCAGGTTGGATAAACTATAAGGAGGCTTTTTGGAGCATGAAGGGGAAGTGGAAGGAGAGAGCTACACCCAGGGCTGACTGGGCAGGGCCTTTTGCCTAATGTAGAGACAAACTTTTCCTTTATATAGACTGGTTGTACACCAGGGGAGCCCTATGATGTGTTTTGCTAGGGCTGTGTGGGCAGAAGGGTGAGGTGGAGGCAGGGAGGTCAGCAGGATACAGCTGAGGAACTTGGGAAAGTGAGTGTTTGTGCGGTGATAAAGGCAGTGATGGGAGACTGCTCAGATTCTGAACAGTTCTGGAGGCAAAGCTGAGTGGGGGACTATGGGTGACGGCAGGCAAGGCAGCTCCAGCACACACGGGCTCAGACTCAGCTTCGGAGGGTTTGCAGTGGCTCCGCCCCTCCCACAGATCATTCTGAACTCCATGCACCGCTACCAGCCCCGCTTCCACGTGATCTTCGTGGACCCACGCAAGGACAGCGAGCGCTACGCACAGGAGAACTTCAAGTCCTTCATCTTCACGGAGACCCAGTTCACAGCCGTGACGGCCTATCAGAACCACCGGGTGGGTCTGGTCAGGGCTCCTTTCACAAGAGTAGGCACTGAGGCCTGGGGCTTTTAGCCTCCACACACCACGGTCACCTGTCCTTCCTGTCTCCCTGGGCATCTGGCCCAGGCATGTCCCTGCCTTCCTATCTACTAGCTCCAGAGTTCCTGGGCCAAGATATCTGGGTCCCAGATGGGCAGGGTGGCAGACTCTGCACCCTACAACTGTTCACTGGCTCAGGGCCAGCCTGTAACTGTGCCTTCTCTCTGTAGATCACCCAGCTGAAAATCGCCAGCAACCCTTTTGCCAAGGGCTTCAGAGAGACTGACCCGGACTCCTGGTACTGTCCAGCTTCTGATGTGCCATTCAGCCGCCCTAACTCCAGTCTCCCATCCCTACCCCAAATATTTCTTAAGACCTCTATCCCTCACCCTGTTGTAGGATCATGTCCTCTGCCTTGTCCTGGGGTCCCAATCTAACTCTGACCATTATCCCTGTCCTGAATTCATCACCTTGACCCTCTGCCCCCCTTCTTGCTTGTCCCATCTTCAGGCCTGTGGCTTCACGACCCCTGCTCCATATCCCAACTCGGAGTCACAGTCCCTGCCTGCTAAAGGGCCCCCAAGAGCAGGACAAAGGTAAGGCCCCAGCCCAGACACAGTGGGCAGAGCTGTAGGGCCTCAAGGAAGTCAGGAGGGGGCTCAGCAGGCTCAGCAAGCCCACTGGGCACCTCTGTGGGCACACACAGGTGGCAGAGTTCCTAAGACAATACGAGGCTCAATGGAGAGAGAACAAGGCAGGGATCAGATGCTGAAAACAGTGTGGAGGGGTGTGCCAGGTGGCCTGCCTGGAGATGGTTCTCCAGCTGGGCCTTGGAAGACTGGGAACAAACTCTAGGGAGAGAAGAAAGCAAGGCAAAGGCTAAGCTAGGACAAGAAAGGCAACTCAGGACCACAGCGGCAGGGAAGGAGACAGAGCGAGTCTGGGTGAAGTGAGGATGTGAGCCAAGGCCTGGAGTCCACCTGGACCATTTTTTCCCCTCAGATCTCAACAAAACTTCAGTCTCTACCTCTAGGACCCCTGCCCAGCTCCACCAACTGCTGCCTCCTCCCGACGTCCTGCTACCTCCAACCCCCTGTAGGCCCCTTGTTTACCAGGCCCGGTACCCTGGAGCCCCAAGCCACCTTGGGATCCCAAGGATCCGACCAGCTCCATACTCAATCCCCAACATCCAGACTGATGGGAGTCAGGGAGGCCTGACCCTCCAAGCTAGGCTGGGGCTGCTGTCTGCCACCATGTGCCTGGGGCCTGGGCAGGACTCTCAGTGATGGCAGAAACGCTGGGCAGGCCCTCCTACTCTGGACCCTCACCCCATGAATCAGCTTCTGCACCTTCCCAACCCCTGCTCTGCAGACTCCTCCCAAAGCAAGCAGAGCAGCTGGAAGTCCTCAGAGGGAGGCTACTTGCCCAGTCACAACCAGGCTGGGACAGTGGCAGGCCTGGAACTAGGCCTCCTACCTATCACCCCAGCAACTGAGAATCCTTCCCCTCCTGCTTTGGCTGCGGCTCTTCCAAACCCAGTTTTACCTCTTCCCTTCCCCTCAACATTAAACCATTTGGCATGAATGGTCAGAGCACTTCTGTCCTCAGGAACTCCTAGACATGTCAGTCTCCAATCTGGCTCTGAATTCATTACCACGTTCCGTCCAGTGGCTTTCACATTTCTGGGAATCCAGTGATGGTAAGGGTGGTGACACTGGCCAAATGGCAGAGCTGAACTAAACCCTATGAGAAGCTGGGGTTAGCATGTTGTGTGCCCTGATGAGGACTGAAACTGTGGCCCAAAGAGGCACAAAGTCACACTGCAAATACGGCTGCTGGCACATGCCATTCCATTGTTCAGTTGCTTTGAGCAAGGCTAGGCCATCTGGTCCTCAAGGGATGCAGAACCACGATGGGCGGTGACCACAGGGTAGGGATGGGACTGCGGATTTGTGGGGCTGATCAAGTGTGGCTGGAGTGGGTCGGGTGGAGCCTGCGGGAAGAAGACCGGGGGCAGCGCGTGCCACCCAGCAGCCCGACTTTCGAGCGCGCGACGGACACCCGTGGGGCGAGGGTGCCACATAACTCCCGAACCTCACGGTCAGAAGGGCCGAGCCCGGTCGTCAGGCCGCATCTGGTCCAGGTGTTCAGAGAAAAGCCTTCCTACACCTTCCAAACCCGCAGCGGATAACCTCCTCGAATACCAAGCCTCTGCCGGAAACTTAGCCGGCCCCGTCACGCCCCTTCCGGCTACACCCCCCGCCAAACTGCGAGGCCACGCCCCGGTCCCTGGGAGTAAAGGTTCCGGCCCAGGCCACGCCCGGTAATGCCTCGTTCCGGCTCCCTCGCAGCCCTCAGTCGCTTGCCGGCTCCGGCTCCACCCCGTTCCACGCGAGAGCCCGTCCCTTCTGCGGCTCCGCATCCCTCCCACGGGGCGGGGCGCCCAGGCCGACCCCGCCCCCGACCGCCTAGGTTCGCAAAGCCCGGCCGCCAGAACCGCCCGGCCCCTCCCTCAGCCGGCCGGTGTCCTCGGTGTCCCCGCCGCGCAGACATGGTGCTCGACTCTCTGTCCGCGGAGGGCGAGCGGTGCTGCCGGCAGCTGTTGAGAGAGACCACGGCCCGGTTCCGCGCTCGGCCCGCGGCGGCCGCGGTGCTCGTGCCGCTGTGCTTAGTGCGCGGCGTCCCGGCGCTGCTGTATACGCTGCGCTCCAGTCGCCTGGCCGGGAGGCACAAAGGGGACGTCAGGTACACCGGCCCCGAGCCCCGGAGATGGCAGGGACCTTGGGCAAGGCACTTAGGCCCTCTGAGCTTCGGTTTCGGTCTCTGTAAAGTGGATCTGGAGAGAACCCGACCTCCCGCGGCTGCGGCGAGGACTCAGGGGCCCTTGTACCTCCTCGCCGGCGCCCTTCCCCAGGCACGATGTGCCGGCGCGCAATGTCCTGGGCTGCTTGGTGCGACGCTCTCTGAGCTCTTCCTCTCTGAAAAGCCAGGACACCGCCCCCTACCGACAGCCACAGAGTCAAGTCCAGTGCCCAGGTTGAACTTGGGGCCGCCTTGGCTCAGACCCCAGTGGGGACTGAAGACACCATAGGATCAGTGTCTGCACCACTCACTGGGCCACCCTGGGAAGAATCTGGGCATCTGAGCCCCAAGATCTTCTTGTCCCAGTTGCCAGACCCTTATATCTTGCAATGTCCCGGTCTCCCTCCCCCTTACCCTATTGCTTAGGGAAAAGAACCGTGTAACTCCCTCCAGGCCTCCCCGCACACTTAGTGGCACAGGCCAATGCTTACCAAGGTCACTAGCCTTCTGCCACTGCTGATACCCCTACCTCTCCAAGAGCCCAAGGACCACACTCCCTGTGCCTGTTCAGTTTCCCAGGCGGCAAATGTGACCCTGCTGACCAGGACGTGGTGCATACTGCACTGCGGGAGACCCAGGAGGAGCTGGGCCTGGCTGTGCCCAAGGAGCACGTGTGGGGGGTCATGCGGCCTGTGTATGACCGGGTGAGTCACCAGTTGCCAGGCCACCCTCACCCTCACTCTGCATCTTCCCTGGGCTGGAAGCCAGAACCTCAGAGATAAGGGAGTCAAAGATTATTACAACCTACAGTGTGTCAGAGTCCGTTCTTCATTTCCAAGCAACCCCCAGTGGAGGGAACAGCTGGAGGCAGCTCCAGGTGAAGGAGGAGCCAGCGCTGCTCAGCATGGGACAGGGATGGAGGAAAGCTTCGTGGGGTAGGCAGGGATGGATCCCGGACTTGAATGACAAATAGGAGATTTTAGGGCCTTGAAAGGAAGGGTAGAAGGTCCTAAATGGGGGGATCCATCTGCAGAGGGCCAGAGGCCTAGTGCATTCGGGACCCTGAGCTGGTCAGCATGGATGGGCTAAGGATGAAGGCAGGTGCTGGTGGACCAAAAGCCTCTGGATGGCAAGTAGGGTCTTCCTCTCAGACTCCCCATTGCAGCCCCAAAGTCCAGCTGCAGCCATGCCCCCCTGACTGCCCACCCTCCTCCCATCCCAGGCAAAGGCGTCCGTGGTACCGGTGCTTGCTAGTGTGGGCCAGCTGGATCTACAGAGCCTCAAGCCTAATCCCGAGGAGGTGAATCGGGGGAACTGGGCTGACCCCCTGGGGAAACATACAGAGGCTAGTCCTCTGTCCACCCTCTTTCTCACCCACAGGTGGAGGAGGTGTTTGTGCTGCCCTTGGCACACCTGCTACAGACACAGAATCAGGGTTATACCCACTTTTGCCATCGTGGCCACTTCAGCTACACACTTCCTGTCTTCCTGCATGGACCACACCGTGTCTGGGGACTTACTGCTGTCATCACGGAGTTCGCTCTACAGCTGCTAGCCCCTGACACCTACCGATCACACTTGGTCTGCGTTCAGCTGCCCAATGACTCAAAGCCTGCCCTGGAGGACTGAATAAAGTGTCTCTGGCCACTCTGGGCTCCTGCATCTTCTGTACAGAAGCCCTGACCTTGAGCAGAACCTGAGGCCACTGGTGGGGCTGCACTGTTTCCTATGGCAGGGACACTTCCTGTGTGTCAGGTACTTGGAGTTATTTCATCCTCAACAATCTTTTATGAGGTCCCTGGTTGGTAAAGCTTGGAGCTCAGAGGGATAGAGTCCTTGTCCTAGGCCACTCCAGCTGGGATTTGAGCTCGGCCTCTCTGGCTTGGAAGCCCACCCTCTTATTGGTGCACTTCATGGGTCTCCCATCTGCTTTTCCTGGTCTCTCCTTTGTGCCCGGCTGCCCCCTGCTGGGCTCTGGGTCCAGAGAGGAATTGAATGCAGCTACTCCCCAGATGCTACATGATGAGCCCCTGCTGCATGCCGCACACAGTGTGGGCACCAGGCAGATGCCACCCTGCCCTGCATAGGTGGCGTGCTCAATCCAGGGAAAACTTAGACCAGGTCGCACAGATAATGGTATGACTGTACACTAATAAATCACAGATAATAGTGGAATTATACATCAGTTATGGAAGAGCAAGATTCTGGGAAACAGTTGAGGGGTGGTGGTCCAACCTTGACATAATGGTGTAGGAAGACTTCTTGGGCTGTGTAAGGCAAGACAAGTAATGGAAAACGCCACCTACCAGCTACTCTTATCTGAAGAGGAATGGTCATCACAGACTCCAGAGATGGCCAGCTTCAGGCATGGCTGGATTCAGGGGCTCAGCGCTGCCCTCTTTTCCACTGTGTTGGTCTCAGTCTCAAATGGGAGAACCTCTGGTTTCGAAAGGGCGACAGCTCTAGAAGGGCGCAGCACCACCATCCTTCAGGAGGAAGCAGCTTCTCTTCACCAGGGAGTCGAACCCAGAATTTACTCCGTTGGCCACCTTAGGCACACGCGCTTTCCTAAAGCCATCATGTGCCTGCTGGATTTAGAGTACACTGGCAGGTCCTCAGGACAGACCTAGGGCAGAGAGTGAACCCCTTGGACTGATAGGTGAAATACATTAACGCACTTTAGCGTAATACCTGAAATGGCAAAACGACTAAAAGGAACCACAGAGAAAATGTCCAGATATTAGTATAGGTGATGGTTTCCTTTATAAGTCCCCAAAAGTACAGGCAAGAAAATAAAAAATAAGGGATTGCATTTTTAAAAACCTGCAAAGAAACAAACCAACCAACAAAAAGGCTGCAGAGGCTGGGGATTCAGCTCAGCGGCATAAGCGCCTGCCTTGAAAGCAGGCAGTCGTGAGTTCGATCCCTGGTACCGGTAAAAACGAAAAAGCCAAAAAAAAAAAAAAAGGTGAAAAAGGCTGCACAGCTAATGAAACAACAGTGAAGAGACCGTACAGACTGGGAGAAAATGTCAAAGGTATCTATGCCGTGAGACACTAATGTCCAAATTGTACAAGGAACTCGGAAGTGACAAAGCAACCCATTCAAAAATGGGCAAAGGAGCTGAGCAGACATTTCTCATAAGAAGACCTACAGATGGCCAACGGATTCAGGAATAAACGCCTACACCTAATTATCTGGCAAATGCAAATCAAAATCACAAGATTTTTACCTCACACCTTAGAAAAATAATTACCATAAATTTACCAAAAATAATTACCAGTGTCTGTTAAGGGGGGAAGGAGGTCCTAGGACCAGTTCCTTGCATCACAAAGTAAGTAAAAAGATGAAATAAGTGTCTGGACCATGTCAGGAAAAGAAAAATTCCTTTTATCATGTTGGTGGGAATGTAAGTTGTAGTTTCCTTTTTGGAAAAGCATATAGAGGGTCCTTAAAGAACTAAAAATTTCCATATGACCCAGCAATCCCACTTCTGGGTACATATTCGAGGAAATAAAAATTGGTATGACAGAGGTCCCCATACTCCCATGTTTATTCTGCAGTATTATTCTCAAATCAAATGTGAAATCGACCTCAGTATCCATCAGTTAATAATGAAAATAAGGGCCCTACGTACAGTGGAATACTATTCAGCCTTGAAAAGCAATTCTTTTATTTGCAAAAACGTGGGTGAAGTTTGAAGACAGTTTTCTTGGTGAAATAAGCCAGAAGTAAGACAAAGACTGTTTTCAAGTGGGACCTAAGAAAGTCCAACTCCTAGAAGCAGAGTAGAAAGTGATTACCTGGGGATGGGGTGGGGAGATTGGGGAAGGGAAGTAGTCAAAGGGCACAAAGTTTCAGTTTTTTGAAAAATGAGCTTTAATGACCTGTACAGGGCATGGAGATCATAGTTAATAATAACACAGTATTGAAATAGTAGATTTTAAATTGGGCGTGGTGGTGCATGCCTGTAATCCTAGCACTCTGGGAGGCTGAGACAGGAGGATTGCAAGTTTGAGGCCAGCCTGCGAAATTTAGCAATTTATCAAGACCATGAGTTTATTTTTTTTTAAGGTCAGAGATCTAGCTCAGTACAAAGATCTAAGGTTTAATCCCTAGTACTGAAAAAAATTTTTTAAATGTTTTTAACCCCTAAGTCAGGCAATAGTCAAGGCACTGGATATATTTGTTAGCTTGATTTAAGATTTCTGTATTGCACACTTATATTAAAAACATCACATTGTAGTCTGTAAACATCTACAATTACTGTTTCTTGATTCAAAATTTCAAAATACAAGAACACCATGAAGAAAAGGGGGAAAGAGGGCTGGGGAGTTGAAGCCAGCTGGGGTCCACTGCAGGGGCCACCTGGGGCCAGAGGTGGCAGGAACCCAGGTGAGGGTGATGCAGGCAGCAGGCACAGAGGCCCCGCAAAGCTGAGGGCCCCCATGAGGTCAAGGGGACACCCCTGGAGTATGGGTAGGATTGTATTCCAAGCCAGGAGAGGGTAGAGAAGTGCTGAAATGTTCCTGTACCTCAAGGGCAACTAGATTTCAGGATCCCAGATTGTGGGGCTCTCCTTCCTGTACCCCCAATGCCCATCTGCTCCTTCCCTCCTCCCAACATGAACCTCAGTAACCCCACTTCCTCCCTCCTCACACACCTCTACCTCCTCCTCCCCCAATGTGCCCCCACTTCCAGGCAGCCACCCTCACCCCTTTTGTCACCTCTGGCCCTCCAGCCTCCTCACTTGGGTGCAGGACCACATGATGGTGGTAAAAATAACTCCCTCTGACGGTGTGTGAACAGGGGCAGAGGCAGGAGGGGCTGCTGAGGGTGAGGATGGGAAGATGTGGGCTCCAGATTCTGTGCCTACTCCTGCTGCCTGTCACACCTGTCCAGTCCCCTCAGTCACAGGGCTCTGTGGCCCCAAGGGCAGAGCCAGCACCAGCAGCAGCACAAGCAGCAGCAGCAGCGTACCAAGCCAGCGGTGCCCAGTGGGTGAGGAGCTGAGTGCGGAGGACTCCAGGCCCCGGGTCCCTCCCACGCCTGCCTGACCCTCCAGTCTAGGGTTCCAGCCCTGCCCGCCTTGACCTTGGAATCTCATGCTGTGTCCTAGGACAGGCGACCCTGGGATGCCTCTCCATACCATCTCGATGGCTGAGTGTGGTGGCCCGGTCCCCAGGCTGCACAGATTTCCCTGAGCCTCAGGCCCCATGTCAGAGACACCATGGCAGCCACGGCGCCAGAGGGCTGGCGGCGGCCACGGGTGAGCATGCAGGAGCATATGGCCATCAACGTGAGCCCGGGCCCCATCCGGCCCATCCACCTCATCTCTGACTACTTCCCGCACTTCTACCCCTTTGCCGGGCCTGGGCGTTGCACCCCTGACTTGCTCTCAGCCACAGCCTCAGCCAACTGCTCCACAACCCAGCTGCAGCATGACCCAGAGCCAGAGGCAGACTCGGATGACAGCAGTGAGTCGGGGAAAGGCCAAGGGGTCATCCCTGGAGGGGGCAAAGGCACGCCTAGAACCCACCTGGAGGGACAAGGCATGGGGGCCAGCTCAGCCAAGCAGGGACTGACTGTGCCTGTCACCCGCCCTTAGCTGCCCTGGGGACCCTCGAATTCACGCTTCTGTTTGATGCAGACAACAGTGCCCTGCATTGCACGGCCCATAGGGCCAAGGTGAGGATGGGTTGGGGGTCCCTGAGACCCAGGGCTGGACCATAGGCTTATCTCACATCCACTGTCTGTCCCCAGGGTCTCAAGCCACCAGCCTCAGGCTCTGTGGACACCTACGTCAAAGCCAATCTGCTTCCAGGGGCCAGCAAGGTGAGGGCAAGATGGGTCCTTGCTTTGCCCCTGTCCCCAGTGCCTGGATCTCAGTTGATGGGATCAAAAAGGCAGTGGACGGAGGAGGAGGGGTGGCTGATCCCCACCCCCACCTGGCCCCCAGGCCAGCCAGCTTCGGACCCGCACCATTCGGGGCACGAGGGGACCTGTCTGGGAGGAGACGCTCACCTATCACGGCTTCACCCGCCAGGATGCTCGGCGTAAGACCCTTCGGTGAGGACTGGCGGGGGGGGGGGGCAGGCATGGGGAAGGGCAGGGCTGGGGGACAGGGCTTGCATGGCCAAGCATAACCCAGGTAGCCATCAGGCTGTGTGTATGTGAGGACCCGTGGCTGCCACGTCGCCGGCGGGCACCTCCCCTGGGGGAGCTCAGGGTGCCCCTGAGGAAGCTGGTACCCAACCGAGCCAGGAGTTTTGACATCTGTCTGGAGAAGCGGAGGCTGGTGAGTGGGGCTGTGTGGCTGAGCCTTGTAATAGAGCCGAGGGGGAGGAGTAGGCCCCGGGCAGTGTATGGCTGAGGTGACAACCCTCTCTGCTTTTTCAGACCAAGCGGCCCAAGAGCTTGGACACAGCCCGAGGCATGTCCCTGTATGCGGAGGTAGGTCGGCCGCTGGACTGAGCAGGGGTAGGGGGTGGCAGACTTGACAGTCCAGGCTGAAGTACATCTGGCTAGACGTAGGTAGGCTGGGCAGGAGTCTAGGCTCAGGTGGGCTTGAAGAATTTGGGCCCACTTTTTCCATGGGCTCTGAGCCTTCCTAGACCCCAGAAATGATCTGGGCCTAACAGCTGAACAGGGGGACCATGACTCCCTTGCTGGGTAGCATGACAGCTGGGGTCCCAGAGACAAACCAGCAGAGACATGGCAACCTTAAGGCAGAGGCTGAACGGTGGTGTCTGACTGTGGCCAGAGGCGCAGGGCTGGAAGGAGAGAGCAGGCCAAACAGCCTAGAGGTACGAAAGGTGACTGCAGGGTTTCCCCAACACTGAGACCAAATACCCGGTCACGGGCGGTGGGCCCAGGCGGGGCAGGCCCTCCATCAGCTCCCCTGTGAACAGTGGGTCTGGTCTTGGCCCCCAGTGGAACAGCTAGTGGTGCAGCTGCCGATTAGCCAAACCAGGCCTGCCAAGCCCCAGCAGGGTGGCAGGCATCACTGAACATCCTGCGCCACAAACCTCATCCCAGACACCACACACCATGTGCTGCTCATGGAGCGCCAAGAGTGAGGAGGAGGCTGGGTCCTGCAGCCTGGATCTGACTAAGAGTAGGGAAGGGGCACATACTTCTGGGCACAAGCGTCCCAGAGTGCAGTAAAGCACATTCAGGTTCTGGCTCCCAGGACGAGGGTGGGCAGAGACAGTGAGTGCTGAAGGTAAAAGGAACCCTCGTCCTTGGGCCCCTGGGTAGAGGCCAGACCCCCAGAGCTGCTTCCATGGCACCTGGGCTGGCACTGAAGAACTGGTGCTGGACACTTGTTGGAGGCCACTTAGGATGGCCCCTTTCCCTTCATGACAAACACATGCTCAACTGACCAACAAGCCCCCACTTTCTCTGGTCACAGAGTATAGCCAACCCAGGAAGGCAGCTGTTTGAGAAAATTAAATCTTTGCCTCTGCAGCCAGTTTGGGCGTGCGCATCTGGGGCCCAGACACGAGAGGGGTGTCAGGCTGGGTGGGGCTGACTGCAGCCTGTATTTGCAGGAGGAAGTGGAGGCAGAGGTGGTTGGGGAGGAGCGTGGGCGCATCCTGCTGTCCCTCTGCTACAGCTCCCAGCGGGGCGGCCTGCTGGTGGGGGTGCTGCGCTGTGCCCACTTGGCCCCAATGGATGCTAATGGCTACTCAGATCCTTTTGTCCGCCTGTGAGTACCAAGGGGCAGACCGGTGGGCAGTGAGGGTGAGGTGGCGGAGCCTCACCTCTCCAGGGCCATACTTCATCCATCCACTTGTTCCCCCCACCAGCTTCCTGCATCCAAACTCGGGCAAGAAATCTAAATACAAGACCAGTGTTCGGAGGAAGACCTTGAACCCTGAGTTCAATGAGGTGAGCCAAGCACGACCCTACCAGGGCCTGTTTTGGAAGTTGTGAGAAACCAGCCTCCTCCGTCCTGCCCTCTCCTGCAGGAATTCTTCTATGCAGGCGCTCAGGAGGAGCTGGCCAAGAAGACGCTACTGGTGTCTGTGTGGGACTATGACCTGGGGACAGCCGATGACTTTATAGGTGAGCTGGAACACAGGTGCTTGGGGGAGACCCTGGGCCTGTGTCAGCTCCTGACCTCTCCCTCCTGCAGGTGGGGTGCAGCTGAGCAGCCAGGCCAGTGGAGAGCGCCTGCGCCACTGGCGAGAGTGCCTGGGTCGCAGTGACCACAGGTTGGAGCTGTGGCACCCGCTGGACGGTGTGGCCCCCCAGCTCAGTGAGCAGGCACAAAGCCCAGCCTACAGCTTCCCCTCATAGCAGCGAAGATGACCCTGGAGCTGGCAGGAGCATCTGGCTCCCACCTTTACCTTTCCTGTCCCCAAGTTTTACCTTCATCCTCTGCAAATCATGACGGCACAATACATATCTCCTGGCTAGACCTGAGCCTGTTCTTTCTCTGGCTGTCTTCTTCCCGGCTTCCACTTCACAGGACAGACCTGCCTGTTGTCTCCCACCCTGCAGAGACCTGTGCTGGGTGAGACCCAGCCCTCCCAGAGGCCACACCACCCTGATTCCTACAAAAGAGAAGGGGGGACGTGACCCGTCTGGTAACAGGCCTCTGTGAGTGGAGGAGGGTAGCTGGGTGAAGGGCAAAGTCACTGACAAACTGCAAGAGAGTGAGGGGCACTTGCTTTAATGCCAGCATCCCAGACAGGAACAAGAGACCGCGCTGGGCTCAGGAGGCGGCCTGCCGGGCCTGGTGCTGCTGGGCAAAACGCTGCATCCGATCTTCAAGCTCAGGCCGAAAGTGGCGGATCAGACCCTGGGAGAGAGGCAGGGGAAGGCACTGTGTGAGGCAGAGTCCAGCAACTCCGGTGCCCTGGGCCCCCAGCACATTCACCTAGCCCCATCTGTACCCGAGCGCCACCAGCAGGGCAGTGAGTACCTGCACGGGCCAGGCAGCCCCATCGCCCAGAGCACAAATGGTGTGGCCCTCTATCTGCTTGCTGATCTCCCACAGGGAGTCGATCTCAGCTGGCCGTGCATCCCCCTTCACGAAGCGGGCCATCACCTTGTTCATCCAGTCCACGCCTGCAGCCACAGAAGCAAGAGGGAGACTTGGTCTCCCATAGTCAGGATGGGGGACAGCACCCAAGGAGGCCAGCCACAAGAAGGGGGGTGGAGACCACAGGCAGCCATGGCAAACAGACCCCAGCCTGTGCGAGATGCTCACCCTCGCGGCAGGGGGTGCACTGGCCACAGCTCTCATGCTTGTAGAACTCAATGAGGCGTGCGATGGCTTTCACAATGTCGGTCTGGGAGACAGGAGCAGTAAGCGGGTGCCCATGCCCAGACAGAAGCCTGGCCCTCGGGCCCGGGAGCAGCCTGCCCACCCAGGTGTGAGTTCTGTCCTCCTCTTCTAGCTTCCCCAGGACCCCTCACTGTCTGGACACCAGAGCATCCTGAGGGGCCCTCGCTCTCTTCCTCTCTCACCCCATGGCTATCTCAGGCTACAGAAGTGGGACCCAAGAGTCTGCCAAAGGGTTTTCAAAGGGCCCCAGAGAGGGATGGCAAATAGGCCGGTACGAGGAGGAATGGGTGGAACAGGAGGCCAGCCCTTACCGAGCGGTCCATGACGATCACTGCAGCTGTGCCCAGCCCCGACTGGGCCTGCACGAGTGCATCAAAGTCCATCAGCACCGTCTCACACACGGACTTAGGGATCAGTGGGGTGGATGAGCCGCCAGGGATGACGGCAAGGAGGTTATCCCAGCCACCTGTGACACCTCCTGGGTGCCAAGTCAGTCCCCAAAAGGAGAGTTAGGACTGCAGGCATCATACCTGCCTAGTCCTGAGCCAGCACCTTGGTGAGCCCCCAGGTGCAGCCCAGTGTCCCAGCCCCTCACCCTGGCTCCCGCCTCACCACACCCTCCCCCATTGGTTGGTCCCTGTCCCTGGTCTCACCGGCGTGCTTCTCAATCAGCTCCTTCAGGGGCACAGACATCTCTTCTTCTACCGTGCAGGGATGGTTGACGTGGCCAGAAATGTTGAACAGTTTGGTGCCCGAGTTGCGTTCTCGGCCAAAGCTGGCAAACCAGGCACCCCCTCGACGGCAGATGGTGGGGGACACGGCCACCGTCTCCACGTTGGCCACAGTAGTGGGGCAGCCAAACACGCCTTCAAGGAAATGAGAAGGGACCTGCAGCCACTGGGGAGTGGGGCGGGTTTCCTGGTGGTGGGGTCTGTCTCACTTTTGTTCCCGTAGCAGAAGGCCTCTGTCCTTAGCATTCTTCCCCCACCTGAACCCCAAACTCCAGATGAGTTGTTATCACCTGTTCGCCATCACACCCTTGGCTCCCGAGTCAGGAAGCAGAGCACAAAGCCTGGGGGGTTCTGGGTGTCTTTCGGAGTCTGAGGGACTAGGAGTGGCACTGGCCAGGGCTACATGTTATCACCACTGCCGTCTCTTGACTGACCTCAGCCCAGGCAGCACTGAGAAAGACCATGAGGCTACCCGGGGGCACTGGCCAGGGCTGCACAGGACACAGTGAGACAAGGCCCAGGTCAGGCAGGGTCTCACCCACGTCAGCAGGGAAGGGTGGCTTCAGGCGTGGTTTTCCCTGCTTGCCCTCGATGGACTCGATGAGTGCTGTCTCTTCTCCACAGATGTAAGCCCCGGCTCCACGCACCACAAACACATCAAAATCATAGCCTGAGCCACACGCATTCTTGCCAATCAGACCTGCCTCGTAGGCCTCTCGGATGGCCACCTGTGGGACAAGGGTATGAGTTCCCCAGCCTGCCCCGGCTCCAGGAGTCAGCCTATGAGTGCAGCGTCATGTGGCTCTTGAAGGGTTCCTAGGTTGAGGCTCAGGATGTACAGAGTGGTCACTGTGCTCCCAGCTAAGCCCCTGACCAGCACGAATATCTAAGAACAGATGTGCTGGGCCAGGGCACGTGAGTATGCACTGGACATCGTCTGCCTGCCTATTCCTGCCCCACCCACCTGCAGATTGGAGGCCTCATTGTAGAATTCTCCACGGATATAGATATAGGCGGCACGCGCACCCATGGACCGGCCCCCGACCAGGCAGCCTTCCACCAGCTTGTGAGGATCGTGGCGTATGATCTCCCGGTCCTTGCAGGTGCCTGGCTCCCCTTCATCTGCATTCACCACCAGATACTTGGGCCTGTGGGGTCCACCGGGCAGACAGACCAGAGTTTCACCAGGACTGAGCCAGAAACCTCATGCCATCCCCGCTCCACCTGAGCAAGCCTCAAAGATGTTTCCTCCAACAGCTGACTCTCTTTGCCCTCTCAACATGTCCCCAGGGACTGTGCTAGCTCACCATGGATGCCAGGGAACTCACTGCCTAGTCCATCTTTGGAGAGTGTAAGTATCTCTGTGCTTTCTCCTGACAGCCAAATTCTGTTCTGAGTTAGAAAGAGCTTTCCTCAACCTCTACCACATCTCTGGGGTCAAAAGAAGTGGAAAGAAGCTGACTTTTATTATTTTCTGTGTGCCAACCAAGGTGCACATTATTTCTTTAATTCAAGCATGGTATCATTAGACCTGCATACAAAAAAGAAACTTAAGTCCAGGTATAATGGCGCATTCCTGTAATCCTGGTACTTAGGAGGATAAGGCAAGAGGATGGCAGTGAATTCAGGGCTGACCTAACTAACAGTGAGTTTAAGACCAGCCAAAACTACTAAGATCCTGTCTCAAAAAAAAAAAAGAGCTAATATTCAAAAAGGCCAGGAGATTTCCCAAAGTTCAACAATTACTACGAGGTAAAGTCAGGAATTGAACAACTCTGAATTGAAATATTGTATTGGATTGATTCTGCTCTACTTCCAAATTTCCCTGAGGAAGTCTTAAGAGAACCACCCCATCCACTTATGGCCCAAGAACATTTTCCCATCCCATTTATGCTATATTTTCTAAGGAAATGGCTCCAAGTTTCAGGCAAGCCCTGGTCACCCCCAAGGTCTCCACTGCAACCATAACCCAGTCACTCCCCACAAACCTGCCATCTGAGGGCTTGTTCATGAAGCTCCACTTGAGGCCAGTGGGGAAGCCAGCACCCCCACGACCCCGCAAGCCTGATGTCTTGATCTCGCCCAGGATCCAGTCAGGCCCCTTGAGGAGGATCTCCTTTGTCTTGTACCAGTCACCTCGACTCTGGGCGCCTTTCAGCCTGCATGGAATGGGGAAGGTAATGAAATGACAGAGAGGCCACCTATGGGACCCTGCAGGTCCAAGGGCACAATCTCACCTCCAGTCATGGCGGCCATACAGATTAGTGAAGATTCGGTCCTCATCCTTCAGTGAGCCAAATGAGGTTTTCTTAGCTGCTGTCTGGGGAGAGACAGGATTAGGAAGCCCAGTAGAGCTCTGAGGGGTTGGGCTAGAACTACAGATTCCTGAGTCCTCCTGCTTAGAAGGGGGTAGGCAGGAGAAAGAGCAGATGCTTACACCTTGAAACTCTTTGGGGCTGGGCATGGTAGCACACCCCTGTAATCCTAGCACTCCAAACTGAGGCAGGAGGATTGCTGCCAGTCCAGAGGACACGCTGGGCTACACAGTGAGTTCAAGGTCAGCCTGAACTACATAGTGAAACCCTGTCTCAAAAAACAATGTCTTTGAAGCATCATAGTTAGTACCACCACTTTAACACTTCCTGTTTAGTGGGTACTAGGCTAAATATTTTATCAGAAAAATCTCAATTATGAGACAGAAACAATCTTCTATCATTTTAAAGGGGAGGAAACTGCGGCTCAGAGTAAAAGGAATTTATGGAAGTCACACAGCCAAAGATACAGATGGAATTTGAGTTCAACACTGTCCCTGGCCAAAACCCACACTTGAAACTTGCCAGCATACTGTCTCCCCAAGACCAGTGTGATGGCATGTGCATTTATTTGCCTTCTGCACCAAAACCTGGGTTACACAGAGGCTTTATCTTGTTAACTTTGCCAATGAGAAAAAATGTGTTTGCTGATGGAAAACAGGAAAGAAGGAAGAAGGGAGGAAAAGAAAAAAGGAAAAAAAAAAAAAGGCCCACTGGGTTGGGAAACAAACGGGATGGAAAGCACCTACTTGGGATAAAATCGTCAGGTGGGGACTGGATTTCCATATACTCTAGCAAAAAAGCAACCTGGCTGAAGGCTAAGTCAGGGACCTGACTTCCAGACTTCTACTCCTTTAAAAGCGCTTCTCGACCACTATATGGAGCAAAGCACTCGTTGGTAGGGAACTCGGGAGAGCAAATCTCCCACTACGTTTGTTTTATGCGTGTACAAAATTGGGCCAGCGATCCTGTCACTCTACAGGCCTGTAAGGAGGTAATGAGAAACTAGAATTCGAGGCTGTTAAAAGTAAGCCGGGTATCCAGCTGGGGACAAGCAGGCCTTCCGCTGGGACCATTCCCCTTCTACGA